AGCCCGATATTACAATTCCTACCTCTGAGCAAGTTGTTGAACAAGTTATCACGGACGTTGTTGTGACTGAGACAAAGGAGGAGATCAAGAAGGACATCGTTCCTGTTGAGAATGACAAAGACACCACAACGACCACGATCACTGAGACTGTTACGATCCATAAAACAGAGGATAAGACCCCTGTGATTGGAGGAAGCAAGATCAACGAAGTCACTGTCATTGATAAAACGAAGGAAGATGATGAGATCAAGGAGACCACTGCTACAGGTTCGGATGTGAAGGATGCTCCTGCAGTTGTGGAGACCAAGGAAGGAACTATCGTCCCTGAACAAGTGAAAGACAAAGACACCCCAACAGCCACTATCACTGATGAAACTGTTACGGTTGTAGAAGATCATCAAGTCACTACAGATGTGGAAAGCCAAGAAAAACAAACCACTATCGATGAGGAGGTCGATACTGTCGATACTGTCGATACGACTGTTCCCATCAAGAAGACTATTGCTTCAGGCTCAGATGTGAAGGATGTTCCTGCAGTTGTGGAGACCAAGGAAGGAACTATCATCCCTGAACAAGATAAAGACAAAGACACCCCAACAACCACCATCATTGATAAGACTGTTACGGTTGTAGAAAAGGAGCAAGTCACTACAGTTGTGGAAACTTCAGAAGTACAAATCACTGTCGATGAGGAGGAGGTCGATACTGTCGATACGACTGTTCCCATCAAGAAGACTACTGCTTCAGGCTCAGATGTGAAGGATGTTCCTGCAGATGTGGAGACCAAGGAAGGAACTATCGTCCCTGAACAAGATAAAGACAAAGACACCCCAACAACCACCATCATTGATAAGACTGTTACGGTTGTAGAAAAGGAGCAAGTTCCTACAGTTATTGAAACTACAGAAGAGCAAACCACTGTCTATGAGGAGGAGGTCGATACTGTCGATACGACTGTTCCCAGGAAGGAGACCACTGCTACAGTTCCAGATGTGAAGGAGGTCCCTGCAGTTGTGGAGGTCAAGGAAGAGGTCATCGTCCCTGAACAAGATAAAGACAAAGACACCACAACAACCATCATCACTGATGAGACTGTTATGATTGTAGAAAAGGAGCAAGTCACTACAGTTGTGGAAACTTCAGAAGTACAAATCACTGTCGATGAGGAGGAGGTCGATACTGTCGATAAGACAGTTCCCATCAAGAAGACCACTGCTTCAGGTTCGGATGTGAAGGATGTTCCTGCAGATGTGGAGACCAAGGAAGGAACTATCGTCCTTGAACAAGTGAAAGACAAAGACACCACGACGACCATCATCACTGAGGATACTATTACGATTAAAGAACAAGAGCAAGTCACTACAGTTGTGGAAACTACAGAAGAACAAAGCACTGTCGATGAAGAGGAGGTCGATACTGTCGATAAGACTGTTCCCATCAAGAAGACTATTGCTTCAGGCTCGGATGTGAAGGAGGTCCCAGCAGATGTGGAGACCAAGGAAGGAACTATCATCCCTGAACAAGTGAAAGACAAAGACACCACAACAACGACCATCATTAGTGAGACTGTCACGACTGTAGAAGAGATACAAGTCCCTACAGATGTTGAAACTCTAGAGGAACAAACCACTGTCGAGAAGATCATCATTAGCAAGGAGGCTATTGCTACAGCTCCAGAAGCGAAGGATATTCCTGCAAGTGAGGAGGCCAAGGAGGGTGTCATTATTGCCGAGAAGAAGGATGACAATAATGTCACAGAGACCACCATCACTGAGAAAACTGTTACGATTCAAGTTGAGGAGCAAGCCCCTGTAGTCGAGCAGACGAAGAAAGATGAAGTCCAAGAGACCACTCGCGTCAGGGAGACTTGTATCGTCACTCAGCCTGCTGTTCCTAAAGAGACTTCCTGGCTCCGTCGTATTCTTCCAGCTGGTGAGGCTGTCACAAAGGGTGCTATTCTCACAATTGGAGGTGTTGCATATGGCGCTTTCCAGAAGGTTGACGGTGTCTTGAAACGCACAGTCCAGGTTTTGACCACTCGTAAGGCCAAGGTTGACGAAGTTGCTCCCATTGCCAAGCACTCATTTGTCTACTATGATGACGAGGTGTATGACTGTGTCTTGACTGAGAATGGTACAGACAAGAAGTATGTCATTCAGCTGCTGTTCGACTCTAAGCAGAAGGTCTACTATGTCTACTACCGCTGGAACGAGACCGAGTACACACTCGATGGACCTCACGAAGATGTTGATCGTGCCAAGGAAGCCTTCAAGGTCACCTACACTCAGAAGTTCGGCATCGAATGGAAGGACCGTGAGAATGCTGTTTCAGGTAAGGATAAGGAGTAGTTGCTCAGTATTTGTTTGTGCTAAAAGAATAGGGCCAGAGAGTGTCAAAGATACTGACTGTTATGTCTTTGGATGTGTGTAATAGATCGCTTCACCTATGTCCACCAGATCTATGAGACCTATGAGGAAGTCGAAGAGGTCGAAGAGATCGTGGAGGAGAAGGATGTCGAGGTCACTGTCGTGGAGGAGAGACAAGCAGTCATTGAAGGAATCCCAGTACAGGAGGAGACTACCACTACCACCACAGAGACCGTTACTGGTGAGATTAAGGTTGAACAGACCGATAAGGCCGAGGTCATCACTCATGAGGACAAGAAGGTCATCAAGGCAGTTGCCACTGTTACCCATGTGGGAGAGGTCCCTCAACCTGCCATCTCTAAGGAGACCTCATGGTTCCGTCGCATTGCCTCTGGAGCTGAAGCAGCCATTAGTGGAGCATTGGAGAAGGTCGATGGCGTTTGGAAGAGATCTGTCGAGGTCATAGTCACTCGCAAGGGTAAGGTCGATGAGGCTGCACCCATTGCCGAACACTCTATCGTGTACTATGATGATGAAGTATATGATTCTGTGTTGGTTGAGAAGGACACTGGCAAGAAGCACGTCACCCAGCTTTTGTATGACACTAAGGAGAATGTGTACTATGTCTACTACCGCTGGAGTGAGACCGACTACAAGCTTGATGGACCCCACAAGACAATTGCGGAAGCCAAGGAAGCCTTCAAGGTCACCTATGTAACCATCTTTGGCATCACTTGGACTGAGCGCGAAACAGCTGTTTCTGGTAAGGATCTATACCATCTCTACTATGTACTGTGAGGCTATATATGAATGATGTTTACTAATCTATCTACTGAATGTTCACTCTATTATAGAACGCTTCACCTACCAAACAATCACACATGAGGTAGTCGAAGAAACCGAGGTGATTGAGGAAGTAATCGAAGAGACAGAAGTTACCACTGTTGTCACTGAAGAAACAAAGAGTACCACTGGTGATGTCATTATCAAAGAGGAAACCAAGACCATCAACCAAGGAGAGGAGATCATCCTTGAGCACCACGAGCAGAAGGAGACAGTCATTGAACCCAAGGATGAAGTAGAAGAGAAGGAAGTGACTGTAGCTGGAGAGAAGAAGGTCATCGAGGTTGCCACCAAGATTGAAAAAGGAGTTGTCACTCAGCCAGCCGTCCCCAAGAAGGCTTCATGGTTCCGCCGTGTTGTCAAATCAGGTGAAGACACAATCAGGGGAGTTGGATCAGCTGTCGCTGGTGCTGCAGAGAGCGCTGCTCATGGTGTTGGTCAAGTTGCCCAGGATGTTGCCACTGGAGCTGAAGGTGTTGCATATGGCGCTTTGCAGAAGGTTGACGGTGTCTGGAAGCGCACAGTTCAAGTCCTGACCATCCGTAAGGCCAAGGTTGATGAAGTTGCTCCTATTGCCAAGCACTCATTCGTATACTATGATGAAGATGAAGTATATGACTGTGTCTTTATTGAGAAGAGCACTGGCAAGAAGTACGTTACGCAGCTCTTGTATGACACTAAGAAGGAGGTGTTCTATGTCTACTACCGCTGGAGCGAGACTGAGTACACACTTGATGGACCACATGAGGATGTAGAGAGTGCCAAGGAAGCCTTCAAGATCAGCTACACTCAGAAGTTCGGCATCGAATGGAAGGAGCGCGAGACAGCTGTCACAGGTATAGATTGTAGTTTTTAATTTATTTGACTGATACTGTTTATAGAGGAAGTTGATCTAACAATTCTCTCTTTGATGGTTATAGAACGCTGGGTCTACCAAACCACAGTCCATGAGACCATCGAGGAAGTTGAGGAGGTCGAAGAGGTCGTGGAGGAAACTGTAGCCAGGGAGATGATCAGTCTGGAACAGGTTGTTGTCATTGAGGACAACGCTATTCGTAAGGAGAATGAGACTATCGTTGTCGAGGGCGGTAAAGTTATCGAGCAAGTTCAGACCACGGTTGTTGAAGTTGATAATCAAACCCAGACCAAGGAGGTTCTAGCTGCGCGTACTGACCAGGACAATGGAGGTGTTACCATCGAGGCAACAATTGAAACAGTAGTTGATCACACAGCTGTGGCTGGTGTTGATGCTGGTCTCACTAAGGAAGTTGTTATCGTTCAGGAGAGTGGTAAGATCAGCCAGCCCGTTGTGCCCAAGGAGACTTCCTGGTTCCGTCGGGTCATCTCTAGCGTTGGTGGCGCAGCTAATGTTGTTGCCACCACTGCTGGAGACGCCGCTAATGTTGTTGCCACCACTGCTGGAGACGCCGCTGCTGGTGCCCTCCATAGGGTTGATGGAGTTTTGAAGAGAACCGTTGAGGTATTGACTATTCGTAAGGCTCATGTCGACGCAGTTGCTCCTATTGCCAAGCATTCGTTCGTCTATTACGACGAGAGAGATGTCTATGATGCTGTCTTGATTGAAAAGGACACTGGCAAGAAATATGTCACTCAACTGCTCTTTGACAGCGATGAAAAGGTCTACTATGTCTACTACCGCTGGAGTGAAACTGAATACAAGATGGATGGACCTTATAGGACAGTTGAAGAAGCCAAGGAGGCCTTCCAGATCACATACAGAGTACAGTTCGAAGTTGACTGGAAGGAGCGTGAGACCGCCAGTTCTGGTAAGTTTTAATATCAAACACTGATTAATTTTCTTCAAGTTTTCAGGGGACTGACACTATTGGGTGAGTTCATTTCTGACTAACTGTATCCTGCATGCTTCTATAGGTCGATTCATCTATGTGAAGACAGAGTATGAGACCATTGAAGAAACTGAGGTTATTGAACAGGTGGTGGATGAAACTGAGACTCAGGTAACCATTGTGCGCGAGCAGGAAGCCAAGGTTACGAAAGACAATGCCATCGAAGCCCAGACTACGACTACGACTACGACTACGACCACCACGACAACCGCCCAGAAGGAGGATGTTCCCGTCCTTGATGAAGAGGAGATTACCAAGGAGATCATCACAATTCAGCAAACCGGTGTTGTTGCTCAACCTGCTGTCTCGAAGGAGACTTCGTGGTTCCGTCGCATTCCTTCCGAAGCTGCGACTGCTGCTACTGGAGCCTTGACTCAGGTCGGTGGCGTCTGGAAGCGTACTTTCCAAGTCCTTACTACTCGCAAGGCTAAAGTAGATGAACTCTGCCCCATTGCCAAGACTTCTTACGTCTATTATGATGATGAAGTCTACGACTCGGTTCTTGTAGACAAGAGCAGTGGTGTGATCCATATTATCCAACTGATCTATGACAGCAAGGCTAAGGTTTACTACATCTACATCCGTTGGGGTGAGAAGGACTACCAGTTGAAGGGACCCCATGCCACGATCGAGGACGCCAAGGCTTCGTTCTATCTCATCTTCAAACAGTGGTTCGGATTGGAGTGGTCTCAACGCCAGACTCAGCACAGTGGTAGGTTGAATTTGGCACAGTTCACATGAAAATATTCATTTTGGGTATAGTTTTTCTGATCACTAATAATATTTATTACTATACTATGTTTCGATAGATCGATGGATGTATCAGATCAGAACCTATGAATCCATTGAAGAACTTGAAGAGGTTGAGGAGATTCTGGAGGACTTTGAGGTTTCGAAGGTTACCGCTCATCAGCAACAAATAATCGTGGATGGTAGCGTTCAGTCGACTACTCAGAAAATCACTACAACTCACGATGACACTGTCGCCAGCACAGTCAGCGAGAGGACTCTCTTCCAGGAAGGAGGCTCCACCATGGACTCTAAGGTGCTTTCTCAGGCCCAGTACGAAACTCTGACCCGTGCTGGAGGTGCTACCGCCGGTACTGGAGGTGCTGGTTCTTCTTCGAGCTCGACAGTCATTAAGAAGAATGTCTTTGACATCAATACCTTGCCTTCGTTACCTATCGAAGCCGGCATTGATCCCAACACCGGAGCAAAGGTGGAAGTGTCTGAATTCACCTCTAGCACTGTAGAGATCCAGAGAGAATCAATGCCCACACAATCGCGCCCTCGCGCCTGGGTCTCTCTTCACGTTGGAGGCTGGCAGAATGCCCCTCATGAGTTGCAAGGATTTATGCGTCTCGACGACCAGTCTGGACAGCATCTGATGGAGCAAGCTCGTGATGCGGCCCATGGTAAGGCGCAAGAGGCTACTCGAATTGATAACCTCCGTCTACCTGAGATTGTCGCTCTCTTTGCTCAGAAGTTGTACGGACATTTTGGTGAGGAGCTTCCCGAAGAGCTATCTTTTGAGCGTCTGAGCGCCCTGGGGCCTCACAGAGGTTAAAGAACAAGTTCATGGTGGTCCAATAATTTGAGTAATCGCAAAAAGAGATATTTACATATTTAAAAAAAAAAAAAAAAAAAAAGATAGGAATATTTATATTTGTATTTGAATAAATCAATAGTTAAAATTTTATTAAATTTTATTAATTTGCTTCGTATTAAAAAAAAAGGAAAAAAAAAAAAAAAAAAAAAAAAAAAAAAAAAAGAGACACACTAAGCAGAGCGCTCTGGCTCGCCAATGATAGCGAGGAGAGTGCGGCGATAATCTCCACTTGTTTCGCCTTTGATTCTGTCGCGTAGAGATTTCTTATACTTTGCAGCGTAGGCGGCCTTAATGTCATTCATAAATGGTTGCGACCTGTTCCTAACGAGCAGGCGTGTCAACGATGCATCGTCCGTTCCCATACCCTCCATGGCCTTCTCCAGGTTTTTGGCAATACAATGAGCAGGACTATTGATCCAATTGACTGTGTTATTTCAAAAGAAAAACATAAAAGGTCAGAGAACGAGATGTTAGCACATATTACAAGGTTTATGTTCAATAAATGTCTATAAATGGCTTGTTCATGTTGTCACGAGTTGTTTACCTAAATAGCAAAGTGCAGTCTTAATCCAGCCCGAGAACTCCTTCTTGATAACTTTGGTGAATTTCTTCTTGTATCGTGATTGATATTGTTGGAAGACAAGGCGCAAATGAGCATCGGGTCTGTTGGTGAGAATATGGATAAAATGCGATTCGTCTGTGCCCATGCGTCCTTCTCCAGCCTTGTATAGACTGTGAACGTCTGCTTCCACATTATATTGATAATGTCCAACCTCATCCCTCGTACCCTGGCATTAAAATAAATGTGGCCGTTAGTTTGTTTTATTTATTTATTTACTTTTTTTTTTTTTTTTTTTTTTTTTTTTTGAAAAGACATATTTGCCAACTTGTTAAGAGCAACGTTAAAAAAAAAGAGAAAAAAAAAAAAAAAAAAAAAAAAACTCACCTGCATACAGACCATAAACAACTTCTCAAGATACCCGCTCACATCCGATTTGACATCACTTTCCAATGATTTATGGTATCGGGCATAGTACATTGCCTTGAGCTGCGCCATATCTGCATTCGTTCTTCCGACCAGGACTTGGATCAAGCACTATAAGATAAAATGAAGGAATGGCATTATAGGATTTGTTAAAATGGGTTTTGCTTGCAATGCCAATATTATATTTTTCCCTTGCACTGAGCCTATTGAGCTGTTTTCGAGGTATGTAAATTGCCGACCATGACGATATTCACTGTTTTTAGATTAAAATTTGCATTTGGACTCTTTTTATATCCTTCTCCTGTTCATGTTGAGAGAGCTACTCCAGATTTCCAGATTTTTTTTTTTTTTTTTTCACCACTCTCGCCCACATACTCTTGGGGTCAAGCTTATTGTCATGTTTTTTTGCGAAAAAAAAAAAAAAAAAAAAAAAAAAAAAAAGAGAGAGAGAGAGAGAGAGAGAGAATGTTACTTACTCTTTCGTTAGTTCCTGCACCGACAACTGCTTCATGAATAAGTTCAGCATCCAGAGTAATTGGTGGCAAAATCAAATAGTGTAGTGCTCTTCCAAAATGTCCACTGGTTTCCTTTTGTAGCACCTCCACCAAGTCTCGACCATAAAACTGCCTATAGACCGATGTGACCATAGCCAGATGATCTGGTGTTCTGTTGGCTGTGGTCAGATAAAACAATAAGAGCATATGCATGTAAATCGACTTTGTTTTTTATTTTTATTTATTTTTTTGAAAGTAATTATAAAATGACGCTTACCAACAACACTAATGACACGCTTTTCATCCGTGCCAAAGCCTCTGCATGCAGCATGAATGGTCTCTGCATCCTGTTGTGGTGTTGGTATATTGCTCATGCCCGTTGGTTGGAAATAACTAGATCCTACAGGTGCCATTGTAGGGGCATGTTGCATTGTAGGAGCATGTTGCATTGTAGGAGCATGTTGCATTGTAGGGGCATGTTGTAGTGTTGGAGCATGTTGCATCGTTGAATGAAAAGGCGCTGTAGGAGGTGGCACAGGAGAAGTAGCTGTAGGAGGAGCGTATCCGTAACCTGCTGATGCAGGAGGAGCCTGTGGTGGGGGGTATCCATGTGCAGGGGGCGCTTGTGGTGGTGGGTATCCATAGGCTGGTGCACCTGCAGCAGGATATCCATATCCACCCGAGGCAGGCTGCGGAGGATATCCTGGATAACCAGCGGGAGCAGGATATCCGCCAGAAGCAGGGACTGGAGGGTATCCAGGTCCTGGGATGGGAGTTCCAGCAGCATATTGCTGTTGCGGAGGATAGGCGGGATAGCCATAGCCTCCTTGGTTTGGTGGGTAGTAGGACATGTGGAAATGATTATTAAAAAAAAAAAGAAAATGTGATGGTGAGTTTGAGGAAAAAAGAATTAAACAAAAATGTTACATTTTATAATTTTGGATTTTCGTGACAAGTTCAAAAATAAAAATTTCAAACAAATGTTTGGCACCGCCACGACTTTGTGTTGTGATGTTTCTCTTAGGTGGCAATGCTTAGTCATAGTCACACATGGCAACCTCGGTCGGATTGGTCATTTTGCCACAATTCAGGTTACAAACTACAGGTTTAAGCGGATCGAGACTTTCTCGTTTTTCATTTTATTATTGACAATTTCTATTAGATGGTTCATTGGAAATAAAGTGGACATGTACTAAAGAAAAGCAACAATAAAACTATCAAAAAAAAAAAAAAAAAAAAAAAAAAATCGAGAATCATTCCCAACTATTAAAAAAAAAAAAAAAAAAAAAAAAAAGGAAAAGAAAAAAAAATAGTTGGAGAAAAGAAAAAAAAAAAAAAAAAAAAAAAAAAAAATACCACCAAGGAATTATGATGGATTTGAAAAGTGCCTTTTATCCAAAGGAAAATCGGCTAGGATGAACCATGGGCGGTATTGAAGGTGAACTTGGACGACTCCCAAGGAACATCAATTCCGAGAGTTTGTTGAACCCCGCCAGTGCAAAATCAAAGCACCGATCATCATTCATCCATGTTGAGGAGGACGCCGACCAAGATGAGCTCAGTCGAGAACTATGGGTGTTGTCGTGGTCAGTAAAGGTTGCAGTCATGTTTGTGTTTGTTTTCGTGGTGGTATTGTCTTTAAATTTATGCTGTTGCTGTTGTTGTTGCTGTTGAGGATTGAGATAGTTAGAGTCATAACATTCAAAAGGATATTGGAGATAGTTGGTGGGGGTGTAGTCATCATCGGGGTCATTAGGGTTTATGGCACATAAGATGTCACCAGGATTAAGATTCGCGTCTTTTGTAGACTGCGTAGTGTTGCTGCCTGTAATGCAAACAATTGGAGGGGTGCTCTCTAGAGCTGCAGAGTTTGTCTCATCAAACTCCACAGGCAACGAAAAATCCATCTCATCCTCTTCGATCATATCGGACCAAGACTTGCCAGATTGGAGCAAGGAGGTGATCGGCCAGCTGGAAGAAGAACGAGTCTGTTCAACAAAACTTGATGAGGATCGACCGGCTCCATAGTCATCCTCCATACGGAACAAAGAGTCAATCTCTTCGTCTTCTGCCTCTTCTTCCTCATCGGCAGAGCCGGTGACGTATTCCTCGGTGGAGGACTCGGATGAGGGAGAGGAGCCCATTGAGGAAGCGTCAAAGACCAAGTCAGAGTCAACACGTTCTTCACTGCAGTTCTCCATGGCAGCATAGTCCTTGATAAATAGATCTTCACCCAAAATGATGTCAATACGATGGAGGAGCTCCAAGGCTTCAAAACAGTCCGCGCGCTCGTTCGGATCTACACACAAGACACGCTGCAGGAAATGGAGGGCACTCGAGGACAACTCTGGGAACATGTCACGGAGAATGTTTGGGTTTTGAACATATGCAGCAAATGTCGCGTCCATGTCTACGCGCGACAGCTTCCAGGGGTTACGACCGAACCGTAGGTTCAAAAAAATGATTCCCAGGGACCAGACATCGGATTTCGAAGGGAGGTAGGGACGTCGACCGACTAGGGATCTGGTTGGCTGTTGCTCAGGAGCCATGTAAAACGAGCTACCACAGCCAAAATCAGAAGAAACCCGCTCCCTGGTTGCTAAGCCGAAATCGGCGAGCTTCAAGGTACCATCGCTGGCAACGAGAATGTTTTCGGGCTTGATATCGCGGTGGAAGACCTGGCGACTATGTGCATGTGCCAAGGCAGAGGCGATTTGGATCATGGCATCGAGAACGGAGCTATCTGAATGGACATTGAGGAAGCGGCCGGGCGGGCTAGCCAACGGAGTAAAGTCCACGCCAGAGTCACGTACGACAGCATGTTGGGATGTGATGGCGTCGTAAAGATCACCGCCGGAGCAGTACTCCATGACCAAGTAAAGGGAGTCTTTGGTTTCGATCACAGAGACCATATCAACGATATGAGGATGGTAGCCGTTATGAACAGATGACAGAGAAAGGTGAATGTCGATTTCCTGACGTTGAAGAAGCAATTGAGTACCAGTCAAGCCCTTTTTTGAAAGACATTTGATAGCCTTGTATTCGGGAACGGAACGAGCGTTGTTAGAGACGATTTTTGCAAGATATATGCAACCATAGGTACCATAGCCAAGGATGTTCAGGATTTGATACGAGACTTGCTTGGTACTATCACGCAAGAGCTCTCCGATTCTTTCTCTTGGACTAGTCATTGAGTCGATAGTGGACAATTGATTCATAGTAGATGCAGGATCGTGTGGAATGTATAGCTGAAAGCAAAGAAAAAAAGAAAAGAAAAAAAAAAAAAGGAGGGGGGGGAACAGCGTAGGTTTGATGTGCGAGATGATGTTTTTTTTTATTTTTTTTTTTTTTGCTTCGCAGAGAAAAGGATCTTTTTCAAGGAGACAAAAAGCGGAGACAAAAATGAAGGGACGGTTGGATTGAATGACTCGACCGAGCGAACCAAGTGTCCTACTGGGAGTTGTTCAGTATGTCAAGAGATTAAAGAGAAAAACGGAGGAGCTTTGTGAGGGCTTTTGTACAAGAGAATGGAATAATATGTAGTTTTGAATGACACACACCAGATGATGTTTTTAAAGCTTTTTGATTTTGTAACCGTGCTTTTCTTTTTCTTTTTCTTTTTCTTTTCTTTCTTTTTTCGGTTTTTGCTTTTTTTTTTTTTTTTTTTTTTGCGTCAATTTACAATGGGAAAGAAAGAAAGAAAGAAAGAAAGAAAGAAAGAAAAAAAAGAAAGAAAATAATACAAGGACGATAAAAGAAAGATAAAGAGATTGCGGGGTAAGGGATTTTTTTTTTTTTTTTTTAGAGGTTATAATGCTGAAGAGAAAGAGCTGTAGTGGAGAGGGTGTTGAGATGAATGCAATAGCAGAGAGTGCTTGCTGATTGAACAGATGCAGACAGAAGGTACGGCATAGCTTGGGATGATAGTGAAATGTACGTGAGAAGGATGCGAAGGAGTTCTCAAGCAGAAGAAAGAGAGGGTGAGGAAGGTCTCGTAAGCGAAGAGAGTTTAGAGAGCCATGACATCCTTTTCTGTTAATAAGATGCTATGGGGTATAATAATATAAATAATCAAGAAACAAATAAGGTGAGAGGATAGGAGGAGAGAAGGAAGTGAGGGAAAGAGTGAAGGAAGGAAGGAAGGAAGGAAGGTTGAGAGAGAGAGAGAAAGAAGGAAGAGGAGAGAGCGAGAGAGAGAGAGAGAGAGAGAGAAAGAGAGGGAGAGGAGAAAGTGGGAGTTGCAAAAAAGAGAAGAAAAAGAAAAAGAAAAAGAAAAAAGAAGAGAGTTTTGCTAGGCTTGGCTTATATAAAAAGATGTCAGACAGATTCTCAGATGTCAGACTGGGGAATATTTTAGAGCAAAGCAAAGCAAAGCAAAGCAAAACAAATGCAATGGCGTTTGTCTGTTTGAGAGCAATGGAGGACAAGGTTGAGAAGCAAAAGAATACAGGGATATATAAATGAAAAATGAAAAGAAAAAAGGGATGCAATGAACAAAGAAGAAGAAGAAGAAGAAGAAGAAAGAGGATGAGGATGAGGATGAGGGTGAAAGTGAGATGAAGAGTGAGAGTGAGAAAGAGAAAGAGAAGGAAAGAGATCATATCATGTCAGTCCAATGGCTAGACTGGGCTGAGCAGAGCAGAGCAGAGCAGAGCAAGGCAGAGCAAGAGCAGAGCAGAACTGAATTGAGCACTATTTTGTTGAAAAGTATATTATAATAATAGTTGAACAGACAATGGACATTCTTTTTGTAAAGAAAAAAAAAAAAAAAAAAGATGGTCTGCAGTGGAGGTTCATGCGTAGTTGATAATTGAGAGTGAATTGTTGATTGTTGATTGTCCACGATAGTTCATGCATAGTTCATCCCTAGATCATTGCATTACATTTTACACCAAACATACGTACATCTCTAAATGTATGTATGCACTGTGCAATCAATGTACATAAATATTAGTCCCATACATATTCAATCCCCAATAAGCTCATCCCGCTCTTTTTTTTTTTTTTTTTTTTTTGCTCTAGATTCTCTCTCTCTCTCTCTCTCTTCCTTTTCTTCTTCTTCTTCTTCCTCTTAGTAGTTGATTGATATGCTTGACAGGAAAAGAATCTATTCGAGGCTCGTTTGGCGGGAAACACAAAGTATTTCACTCATCTTTCTGAACCTTACAAGAGATGGAAAAGGGGAACATCAATATTATTAAATAAATGTGCTCGTGCCAAAAAAAAAAAAAAAAAAAAAAAAAGAGAGCGTCTTATTGCTTTAATCATGGACAGGAGCAGCGCAAGACAAGACAACCAATAAGAGACCGTTCAGAAGGAAATTAGTTTATATAATATTGTGACAGATCACAAACTTATTGCACCGATGAAAAAAAAAAAAAAAAAAAAAAAATACGAGGAGGCGCGGAGAGAGAGAGAGAGAGGGAGAGAGAGAAAGAAAGAAAGAAAAAGTGGTCAACCCCGTGTTTATCAATCTTTTGTTGTATTCCTGCTTCTACTTTTTTCTTTGACAGGAAAATAATTGAGGATCGCCACTCCTTTTGGCATTGTCTGTGTTGTCTGAATTTTCTGCATCTGCATCTGCATTTGCATTTGATCCTAAAGTCTGAAAGTTTGAGGAGATGCATGCACCAATTTTTTACTATTGGCGGGAATTTTTTTTTTTTTTTTTTTTTTTTTTCTTCCACTCCTGACGTTCAATCGAAAGTGGCGATGCTTCATCGGCCATCAGGCATTTCTCCGGTAGCATAGAGAAGATCCTTTTCCATCCTTCTACAGCACAGTCGCGAGCAAGTTCATAAACTACAAGGTCTATGCAGATGCTGGAGTAAACACTTGCTTACTCTTCAAAGCATATAGGCTTCCTTGTTCTAAAGACATCAACATTTTGGTGTAATGAGCCCTTGTCCAAGATGAACCCTATGCTTTTTATTTTTTATATTATTTATTTTATTTTTTTGCATGGGACCCCACTACCTTTCCCCTTGTAATCATTTGCAACGAACCGTAGGTTATTAACAGAGATCTCCTCCCTCCTGACTTGGTTCTCCTATTTGAAAATCTCATTTATAAAACACTTTTTGAGAGGACAGAGAGAGAGCATGATACAAATAGGGGTGCTCATTTCCATTTTTATCCATTTTTACCCCAAATGAATCGTTTTACACTCGAAAAATATTGCTTACGACACCTTTTCATCTTTGCCGTGTTTTTTTTTTCTCTCACTTCTCCTTCACCTTCGCCTCCTCCTCCTTGGAGGGGGAGGCCTTTCATTGTTTCCATGCATTCGTCACATTTGCCTGTAAGTAAAATCTGAGCCGATGATGGCAATCGTATCTTTATTTACACAAAATCTCACTAGTATCAACGAACGCACTGTTGGTTGACATGCTCTCATCAACCCCATCAAATAAATAAATCCCTATTCAATTCCAATTTACCAGAATACTCTACTAATACACAGATAAAAAAAGAGGAGCTTGACATGATCTTTTTTTTCTTTTTCTTTAAAAAAAAAATAAAACCATCTTTTATATGTGTAAATGTATTATATATATACACGTACACAGTATAAATATCTATATACTTTCTGGAGCTTCTTCAGGAATAGAAACAAAGACAGTTGGCGTGGGGTACCTGTACATATTAAGCACTTCAATGGCTTTAGGAGCCCCCACGCTAAAGCTTCCATTGATCTGAAGAAATCATTAAAGAAATATGACAATATCACCTGTCTGATACTTTCATTCAAGATTCCGGTCCTATTGGCCTCAAGAAAAGATACTGTGCCAGGCGATGTTGTACGTGAGAGACATATCGCGTAGTGATATTCTTGATGTTGTGATTATAAATGTAGCAGACCTGAGAGTCATGGCAGTATCTGGCTGTCTACTGCTTCTACGCAGCAGGGGCCTTTCGCGCTAGTCACAAGCCTCTACTCCGGGATCTTTCCCCTATGCTTCCGAGTCGCATGGGTTTAGGTGAGAAGTTTGGACGTGAGACAGAGCTTCTGCTTTGTCTCCTGTGTTCCCCAGAATACCTGCGAAGCTTTTGAACTAAACATTCGCATATGCTTGCTCTGACTTTGCTTAAGACTAACTGGATTTTTTTTTTTATTTTTTTTTAATAATGTTATTATTCACAGCGAATTCGTGTAGTTGTGCCAAGAATTAATGATATGATGCGCAAACTTATAACCTACAAAGCCTTTGCATTGTAGTGGCTATCTATTATTTAGCAGGAGAGACCTGAATGGGCATTTTCCAATCCTTGCCCAGTACTCGACCATGGAATTGTTCAATAAGTCGTTCAGCGGTCCTAACGTCTTTTACTCTATTCGTAAAAAAAAAAAAAAAAAAAAAAAAAATCCACAACAAATCTTTCTTTCGTTAGTGACCAAGGATGATTCGATAATGCAAATGCATGACAATGGGAAACAGGCACACTTGATATGACAGCCATAACTTACTTAATAAATCCCACGCCTCTACTCTTCTCTGTCTTAGGATCTCGGAGGATATTACACGACAAGAGATTAAAAGGCCTGAAATAATCACGAAGCTGTAATTTTTTTTTTTTTTCTTTTTTTTAGATTTTGATTTTTACCTCAAGTTCATTATCCACATTCATCATCGATTGCTGATGACAGCAAAGATCAAATAAACTATATACCTTGTTTTCTTTGATATGAGGTGGAATATTCTGAATAAAGAGTAGGTCTGACAGTACCTTGCAGCGTAACTTTTCTGTGGCCGATTCCACAGCAACCTCAGCATGGTATCCTAGCTCTTTCAATCCCTCGATCGCACGATCTGCACTCTTTTTACCAATATACATAACAAAACCAAGGCCTACACAGGCTCCATGGCTTGTAATAGTCCTACATGACATGACAGGCCCAAATCTATCCATGTCATATTTTTCATTTCCCCCCCCCAAAAAAAAAAGAAAAAAAAAAAAAAAAAAAAAAGTCAAGCAGTCAGGCTATTAGCCACCTCATGCCTACAAACCCTACTAAAAGTTCAAAGCGCTGATCATAGCGGCTTGTGGCTTACTGTACATACTGTACACAAATCTCATAGAGCTTGTATTCATTCATAGTTGGCTCCAGATTTCTAAGGAACAGGTTGAGTCGATATTCTGACTCGTCCAACGACGTGTTCGTGTTCCCTCGGCGCTTCAGGTCCTGGTAGAGCGCATCTTCCTTATTAGGACTTTTGCTTGTAGGCTTGGGCGGGACCTTGACAATATCTGAATACGACAGAAACTTTGAGGAGCCTTGAGGATAGGTATCAGCACAGGTCTCGGACTTGCTTGATATGGAAGCATTAGGGGATGACATTTGTGGATAAAAGTCTTCAAATGATCCCTCCCGAGAGACTAATGGTCCTTGACCTGTACATTCACATGGCGGAAGCAAACACGTTGGAGACGAAGATTGTAAACTCGAAATTGAATGAGGTGTCATGACCTGCGGAGTGCCTTTATCATTTTGGTCCGACACACCATTGCACTCAGTACATCTACCCTGTGAGAGCTCAAGCTCTCGAGCCATAAAGTCAAACTGCTGCGGGGGGCGAGATGTAGGCGTGTTCCAGGAGCGCCCACGGTCACCAAAGTCTTCCTGAATAGGCAACAGCGGAGTAGTCACAGGGCTTGTTGAAAAATAACCAGTTTGGCGCCCCAAATCCAATGAATCATCTGAAATCCCCAGGGATTTCAAATGTCCGAGTCGGAGAAGATCATCTTGGTGCTGTTGATAATATTGATCATACAATAGATCGTCTATGATAGGTTCACTTGGGCCTGTATCTTCGGAATCACCGTGACGCACGGTAAACTTCCGTTCGAGAAGAGATGCCAGAGCAACCTTGGAGTCTTCATACTGTTCAAAAGTCACACGCCCCTGGCCAAAACAATCTTCATTGATATAGCGGATATCAACCGATGAAAGCACAAGCGAGCCAAATCTAACGCCCATTTTTTTTTTTTTTTTTTTTTTTTTTAGAAAAAGCATTATTAAAAGTGCAAGTGAAGCGATATACCGACTTGAAAGAAGCATTGTGGCGGAACAGGCAAGACACATACGAAGCACAGATTTCAAACATTTCTTGGTATTTGAGTCCGTCAGGCAAGTTTTCAAAATGTAATGTTGAATCTCGTCGAGGATGAGCTTCGAGCACAAAGTCGTGTAGTGTCGTGTTTGAGATATGTGCGTCGCTTGGATGCATTGGCGGACGCTCGTCCGAATTTCCAGATGATTGGGGGATAGCATCAGCTGCAGCTGCACTAAGCTCAAGCATGTTCTGCTAATTTTTCATTGATATTTGAGTTTTTCCTTTTTTTCCCTTTTTTTGGCGCTTTCACTCACATACTCCTTCTCTCTTTTTCTTTTTCTTTTTTTTCCTCTCATTTTCTCAATTTGATCTACATATGACGTGTCATTTAGAAGCAGCCATGAGAATGCTCTTACCATGTATCTATCAATGCCATCGATACCTTCAAATGGCTTCTCGTCTATGAACGATGTGTGACGCTCAAATCTACCAAAATCATTGTAGCCGTTAGATAGGATCTGCTGGTGATGGCCAATGAATCCACTGTCAAAATCCAGGTAAGCTTGTCCTAATCCGAATGTGCTGCTGAGCTCATAGTTGTTATATGACATTGGCATTTTCATCTCATCAATTACATTAGGTGGAGTAGTGTTGGACGATGATATAGCTTCTTCATATTGCTTCTTGGCCAAGGGGCTACCAAGTTGATCAGCGGGTGCTTGATTGGCAGCTAATTCAGTTTTAGAGGATGAGATAGAAGGTGGTGCATCCGATAACGTTTTCACGGATGAAGATTTTTTGCTTAAAGGTTTTGTTGGGAGACTAGGAAAGTTTTCATTATTGTCAATCTAAAACGCATAGAAACAAGTGTTGGACTAGTTAATACATTTATAATCCAATTGATGCCCTTAAAGTTGTTTTCAGCGGTAGATAGCAGCGTGGAAATGTTGATCTTGTTATCTTACTTCTGGCACCTCTTGCCTTTTCGCCCCAAGTATTCCGTTTTCTACAGGAGGCAGGTTTTTGATGCATGCTGATTCATTTGCAGGGGTAACATAAAGCCCTTGGAGTGTAAGCTCTCTGCGTGCTTGATTGCAACTGTCTTGATTATCGAACAATACGAAGCCTCCTCTGCATAACCCTGTCCCAACATCACGATTAATTTTGCAAGCAAGGATATTCCCGAACCTAAAAAAAATACATCGCCACATTGATTTTTTTTTTTTTTTTTTTTTTTTTAGAAACAGAAGAGAGATGGGAAAAACAGGATGAAACGCTTTTGAAATATGAGCAAAAGATACAACTTGACTTACGGTTCAAACAAATGAAAGAGTTGCCTAGTTGTGGTTGTAGGTTCTAACCCTTGAACGTATAAGTTAAATCGATAGTCCGGTGCGTATGTTAGCGGCTTCATAAAGAAGCCCTTTTCAGTATCTGCCGAGCGGCCATGACCATGAGCGCCGTTATCACCGTTCAGAGCTTGTGGAGCTAAATAATGTTGCGATTGTTGGTTGGATACCATGGTAGGGCTGTTATTACTTTGGTGGCGTGTCCAGGTCTGGTTTTTGCGCTGTGTATTATGCTCCATAGGAGAAGCCTGTAGAGACTGTCGTTGTGCAGGCATATTAGTGAATGTCACGCTTGAGTTTTCAAATCTTTTAACTTGGATGGGTGTGAGAATGAATGATGCTTATAAAGGATGAACTACTGATGAATGATTCCTCGTAAATAAAACATGAAGAAGGACAAGGAACAGTGCAAACAAATAATAAAAAAAGTCCCTGGATGACATTTGTTTTTTTGTCTGGAAAAAGCTCTCAGTCCTTTTTCATGGCCCCTTCGCTTGCTCCACTCTCCACGGCTTGCAATTGGGTGGCCCCTGCACTCAGCATATTTTATGCCGCTTGCTTTAATGAGTGTAGATAACTTTATTTCTTCTAGTATCGAATATTCTACACTGAGCCTACGCCCAATGACTGGTAACGCGCCTCGAGTTGCCCTGCAGCTTCTTCAAACGATGTATATCTTTCACCATCCTTTATCGAGGGCCATCCCTTTGGAGACGGGTTATCATGCTCCTGATCTTGGTCACCCAAATCCTCTTCTACATACTGATCACGACTATTCTGGTCATTAGCTCCATTGGGAACAGTGTTCACTTTGTCATGCTTTGCCTTATCTTCCAGACCATCTTTATCCTTAATTTTATCTTTGTCTGACTTTGGAGGACCGAATGGATCGATATCATGCCCATACGGGAAGATAATACCCTGTCGGAACTGCTCAAGCCTTTCCCCGGTCAAGTTGGTTCCTTCTTCATCTCTCACGCTGGCCTCTTGACCTTCGTCTGATTCATTGAATTTGGTTTCATCCACATCTACAGCTAGAGCTTCATCAATGCCAATCCCATCAATTGGTATGTCTTCTTCAGTATCAGGAGGTGGTATGTAAAAAGTCTTTGGTTGGATACCACCCCAGATCCTCCCTTTAGGTCGGTACATGAAACGGTCTTGATATCCATCATTCACAATGTGTTTATCAACATTTGTATGTCCATCGCCGCTATGACTGTTGTTTCGACCATCGTTCCCAACAATATTACTTCTATATTTTTCGCCAGAGTTAGAGTCAGAATTATCATCAGCTTGTGAAGCCGGTGATTTCAGTTTCCAGTCCGTATTTGCTCTATATCGTCTTTGCTCACTATCCGCCTCGGACACATAAATGGGTTCTTCCATCAAGCTGTTTGAATTTCGTTCCTCATACTCTTTTGCGAGTTGGTCTGCAGACGCTAGAAAATTGTCAAACTCGCTACATTGATGTCGAAGATTATCGGCCTTGCTAGTATACCACTCGCCAGTGACAATCATGCGCTGCAGTGTCTTAAAACAAATTTCTTGTTGAAAATGGACGAAGAGCTGCTTGTTCAAAATCCGCCCATTCTTCCGGTTTGTGGTTGGGTAGTCGTGGTACTGATGGATCAAAAAATCTTGTGGCATTACCCAAAAATCAATTCCTGAGATATAAATCTCAAACAAGCATGCCTATTGGTAAATGCAGGAATGATGGGTCCAGTTAGCATAGAGGACAAATGGCGTTCTAAGTATTATGGTTAAGCATAGCACTGCCCAAATGCTAGGTGATCAGATACTTACCGCTTTGTTAGCCCCATATCCTACAAACCGTTCATCACACCATGGCGTGCCTTCGCGCTTCAATATAATGTAAGGCTCATATTTGGGTTCAAAAGCTGTGACCTTATAAGGCCGCTCTCCTCCAGCTTCCTGCTCAAGATACTCCTCGCGCTCATGTTCAGTGATACGCCCAGTGTCCTTAATAGTATCTTCAATAGTGTCTTCTTCCACTTCTCCGATTTGCCATCCGACGGGACGTTCAGCATTCTCGATTGCTCGTTTACTCATCTTTATCCATCGAGGCGTATCTGTGGCAGCATGGCCAGGTGGGAAGGAGTCATGAAAGACTCTGATGTGTTTCTTTTCCAGCAGGGGCAAGAGCTCAGCTTTGGTGTCCGGAAAGTATTTAGAATCCTTCGGATCGTGCTTAATATCGTACTCGAACGCAGGGATGACCAACGCCGCTCCGGATGACAATAACTCCTGTATTCGTGGATCATGATGCATGTGATTTTTGAGGCCTGAGGGGATGTGAAAGTCTACTGCTCACATGTAATATCAAAAGAGCAGAGACAGAAGCGGATTATTAGAAAACTAGCGAACAATTCATGCCATATAAATCCTGTAAAGTCAATCGGCAGTCAAGTATTTTTCATGTGCTCCATTTACTATTTACCATCAAGCATCATAAAATAATTTGTCCTCGCAAACATCCTCGCAACGTTACGCCACATATTAAGCTGAAGATCCACCTGATCCACAATAACATGAAGATCGACGTATTTCCGCAAGATAGAGTGTTCTTTGAAGAATTGATTTAACTCATGAAACCTGGCATCCTGATCAGGACCTTTCCGGATATGAGTTGCCACTGATATTGGGCCTCTATATTGCTTTACGAGTTTCAAGAAGACACCATAACGATCTGGTGTGATAAGTGTAGTGATCGTGACTAAGGATGGATCCACATGGACTGGAGTATCGTCATTGGTGTGATCTCCCCTTGCTATCGGTTGTGATCCTTGTAATCCATCATCATCCATAGGCAAGTCATCATCATCCTCCTCGTCCCTAAAGGATGCTTTAAAATAGAACGGTATCACCTGTGTCGGATGTATCGCCCCACTGAACGCTTTTGATAACATGTAGTCTTCTCCTACATGTACGATTGCCTTTGCTAGCAAAACAGTGTGATTAAATAAATAAATAAATTGTACGTATTTGCTACTTCCTGATAGTAAAAAAAAAAAAAAAAAAAAAAAAACTCACAGCCATTGATATCGTAAGTATTCAAGGCCCATTGATGCTTGCTATAGTTCTGTGCCTCGACATCGAATACAGACAGAGTTTTTTTTTTTGTAGACGACTGGCCCAGTATCCGTCGAACCCGTAGTTGTTGTTCTGTATAGTCAAAACTGTTCCGCAATCGGTTATTGCTCCTAGAAGCTTTAAAGATTATATGAAAAGTAGTAAAGCATACAGACCCCGCCAGGAACAAGAAAACAATTAACCGCACTACAGGATGTAATCGTCGACTTCGACGCAAGCAGAACAACCGCGCTCGGAGAGCTCTCCTAGGATTACTGAGAAACACTGGATATTGGTTTCGACCCGTATGCTGTCTCATATGCGGATGTCTGTCTTGATACAGCAAACCTTCATCGCGACGGTGGTGATGCTGGTGCGCCCCATGGTCCGAACTTTTACTGTTGAAAAATGTCACTTCAAGTGATCCTGTATTTGTACCTTCCGGGCTGACTGCTTTAACATGTTCCCATTCTTCATCGAGACTGTAATCAACGTCATTATTGCCTTGGTTGCTGGCGGGTATATTTAAGGGAGTGAATTCTCGTTGGTTTCCTGGTTGGGGCCTAGATGAGACTATGCTCTTGAACCGTGGCCTACTATCATTATCATTGGCTATTGAAAATGTAGGCGATGATCTTGATCCCGACAGAGATGTGGGCGATCCATGATCTGTTGGGCTGGAATGCCCTCCCCCACCTCTCCAAGTTGAGGTGAACCGCCCAGTACTATCGTTTCCTATTTTGCGACTGGCACCTCTACCAGCAATTGCGGAAATATAACGAGGCCCAGCTGGAGAAAGTGGAGAGGTGACAGTCAAATCTGCATTCCATAATCGAGCCTCAATAGGCTGTTGCTGTTGGTTTTTACTAGAGGAGCCGTGTAAATGCGTCTTCCCGCTGGTATTCGGATTCCCTGAAGAAAATATACCAGGTAATTTCAACATCATGCTTTGAGCTTTCTTTGACGTATCTGAGGGGGACACGACTGTGGATGGGGGCGATAAGACTCCAGGAACTGCAGCATCGGGGGCCCCATGTAAGTGAGGCCTATTGCTGGCGGTCTTGGTTAATTTCCGAGGATCCCATGGTTTCCACGGCTGATGTGGCTGCACCTTAGGACGATCACTACTGCTGCGATGATTGCCAGAGTAGGTTGAATCCTCGCTTATTCTGCTGGGAGATGGTGGCTCCAACGCGTCATGGGGTACAGAGACAGTGATGGTGGGCGATGTAGACTCATCATCGTCGTTGTTCTTTTCCTTTCTGCTTCCTGGAGTACGCTTAAACATGATCTAATGGCAGAAAAGAAATGAGACGAGTTGGTGGATAGGGAGGCGATGCAATTAGTCAGGACTCTATCCCCTAATTCCTCTGGCACAGCCCCAGCACAGCCACGCAAGTAAAACATGTTCATAAGCGACTCATATCTTTTATTGCTTGAAGATGACGGCTGTTTTATCTGTGTCATGGGCCCTATTCTAAAATTTCCTCAATGCATTACAACTATTGCCAAGGTTATGAAAAGACTATAGCTGGAGATACATCATGACATATTATTCTGCTCACGACCCTATTTTTGTCGGTGGGAATAAAAGTCCAGAAGCTGACTTGGTTCAGTTTGATTCTCGATTCCTGTGTCAACTTTCTTCACCGTTGTCACCCATGAGACTACGTGGTTTGCCACCTTGTCTTTACTCAAAGATCGCGTACTGCTTGTGATGGTATTATCCTCTATCGTGATCTTCGTAGTCGTAATCTGTGCAGTCGAGCTCTGATCCAAAGTCGATTCTGAAGGCGCAGACACGGATGCTGCAAGCGATGTTGCTGCTAATGACTGCCTACTAGGGGCCGCAAAAGTCTTTTTGCGCCTATTGACATCCACTACAGCCCTGCCGGCAACGCTTTCTTCGCCCATAGCGGAAAGGAAGTGATTCTTTCGCTCGTCCGCCAAGAAGGTCGAGCGCTGTCGATTCAAGACCCGTGATTTTGCGATTGACCTCACATCCGCATCTGCTGTGCTCAAGCCGGCGATCCCCTCATTTTCCGCAGAAGACTGTCTATCAACAATCCTGTCCACCACATCGAAGGCCACAGACGGGGTTCTCAGCGATGGTATCCTCCATTGACTGGAAGACAATTGACTTGCACTGTCTACCGGGTCCTCCACCCCATCAACGATATCACGAATGAATTTGCTCCGCTTCAAAATAGTATTGTAGTCTTCGATAGAGTTACCCTTCTCTGCTTCTTCATATATATCTGTCACAACCTGCAATGGCTTTTCTACCTCAGCCCTATAGGTATTGGCCATGAAGGATGGCATATTGGAGCTGGGTGCGAATGGCAATGCTTGCGATTTGGCTCCACTAGTAACATTGGCATCGCTTCCCATGATTGACGCTCCGGTGTTATTGAAGCGGAGCATTTTAGCTCTGGAAAGAGTTTCCCTCCGTTTATCTATATTTAACGGCTCTTCTTCATCATTCTCACTCGCTCCATTTTGCAGATACATTCGGTTCAGATCCTGTGCGTTATTATTACCAGAATCAGCACTTGTGCACCCCATATCCTCGTCCTCGTTTGCAGTTTCACTCTCCTTTTCTCTCTTACTCTTAGAATTAACGTTTGCCTCATCGTTACTTTCATCAGGATCGCTCAAGAACATGAGATGTTCATCATCTGCTTGCTTCTCAAGCGCCCTCGCGAATGCAGCCGTCGATGGGTTGTCCGCTACGATATGCAATCATGAATCCAGTTTAGTGCTGAAGTTCCCTATGTTATAGAATATGTTACTCATAAGGACAAAGTCTCAACGTACCGAGCTTTTCAAACTTCTCAGAGACTTTCAGCCTCTTTTTTCGGCTAAAACGGCCATCTATATCATCTTCATCGAAAATATCGAGGTCCTCGCCCTGACCGTTGCGACGCTTCCAAAGATTACCAGCAGCAATTCCATAAACCAAATCTGAAATTTCCTTGTCATGCTGAACTTGCTCTTGCTGCCTAGTTGGATTGCACGCGAAATGTCAGCATAGATCCTGCTTCAGTAATGCTATGGTTCATCCTTGATCATTCCCTACTTACATATGCAACTGACGGATATTTTCTACATCCTGGCTGTTCAGCGTAATTGCAGTGTCGACCATACCATCGTCTAAATCGTAATCATCCTGATCATTCTCGGACTCATAGTCAATTCCTCCCTTCCCCATATGCTCGTCCTCCTCTTCCTCGGCTTCATATTCAATGAATGCCGATTTCTGATTCTTGGGAAGGGAGACACGAGGAGCTTTCTTTTCTAGACGTCTGAGAGCCGAAATGTTACCCTGTGCTGCATTGGTTAAGATGTCAAAAGCGTTGTTCATTTTGACTGCTCCAGTCATACTAGTCGTTGAAGAGACTGGTTGTTCAGAGACAAACTTTCCTGATAGGATATCTGACGACATGGTCAATGGCACACTGCCATCTTCGCCATCCAAAGGAAAAACTGAACCGCTAGGTAACGTTGACAGATCATTCGGACTCATGGTCTCAAACTGTGATACACTCTCCCTGTGTTCATTATGCTGCGTATCAATATCTTCTTCGTCAATAACTTCATCATCGGTGTTTTCTCTAGTATTTTCTCCTTCATCATCACTATCAGGATGCGCTAGAGCGCTCCGATCGATGATTACGACCTTGACATCAGCCTCCTCTTCAATAAGCGCCTTTTTGTTTATTGAGCGTTTAACATTAACCACCAACGCATCATCACCACTATCCTGCTCCCGATTCTTGTCGTCATCTTCCTGCCCACTATCCTTTTCGTCCTTTTCGTCCTTTTCGTCCTTTTCGTCCTCTTCGTCCTCTTCCTCCCCTTCCTCCCCTTCCTCCCCTTTGTTATTTTCCTCTTCCTCTCCGTACTCATCCACGCTTCTTCCTTTGTCTTCGTCCTCTGACACTCCTGACAGCACATAATCTTCATCCGCGCTGCCAAGCTCCATCTCCTTGTCATCAATATCTTCGCCTGTGGGACTAGTCGCACGGTTTGCTTTGGAAGTATTATCTGCGCTACCCTCATCATCAGCATCCTGTTGACCTTCTTCGAGCGCCATAAGCTCTGCGGCACGCTCCTCAGGGGTCATCCAGATTCCTGATTTCTGGGCTTCTTCTAGTAGTTTCTTACGGAGTTTCATATTTGTTTTTGCCTGTCTCCGCCTCATTTCGATATTATGTTTAGCAACATCCGTATATATAGCAGACTTTGTGGCTTTTGGGGGTGAAGACAATGTTAAAGGGCCTCGATCAGCGGAGGCGGCAGGAGGCTGTAACCCATTTGAATAATTACTGATAGATAGTTTACCAACAGTGCTGGATAAAGGGAGGATCTGCGCCGATGCCTCGTCCGATAAACGCTTACGTCTAGGTGAAAGAAGAAAAGCTTTGGTTGCTGCAAGTCTGGCCTGAGAGAATTCGCTGGAGGCTTCTGTCTCGAATTCATCCTCTGAGCTGTCATTTAAAGATATGGTCCTGATCCCAGGACAGGGTTTGGAAGATATGGAGTGAGCTGGGTCAGTATCAGGCGAAATGTCGCTTTTTAAAAATGGCGTTTCATAAGCGGCGTTCCTTTCGTCCCTTAAAAAAAGAAAAAAAAAAAAAAAAAAAAAGTGTACATACAAGGTCAGTCAGAAATTCTTCTAGAGCCCGAAAACAATACAGCATTCAGTAAATATAGACAATACTCACAACATGGCTTGACTTTTCTGCAAAAGCGATCGCAAATCCATTGCTTTGCCCATGCGTGGTTGAACCGGAAGCGAAGCTGATCGCATCAAGCGATCCATGTCTTTTCTCGTTTGTAGAAGTTCCTTTTTTGATGGAGGTTTGATGCGATCCTTGGGCTGATGCTTCTGGGACATTTCTTTATCAAGATTCCAACCATTGATAGGTCCTTCTAAAGGGCCTTCAAGATCGCCGAGGTCTTTTGATGTTAATGAATACTTTGCATGTGTATTCGAAGTTCTTTTTGGTACCAGCATTTCTATGTCTGCATCTGCGGGAATAGAAGCTTTCAAGATAATGTCGGTTGTACAACTATCGTTCGCATGGATACTGCCTTCTAGAGAGCTGATATCAGAATCACTATCCGAAAACATGCTCGAGTTTTTCATATTCAGCGCGAATGAAGTGACTGGGGAAGAGAGATCATATCTGAAATTAGTGATATCCGATGATTGTGGGGATGCATTACTTGTAGGTGAATCAATCCTAGTTTTCATTGGCGAGATTGACTTTGGGATGAACACTGGCTTGCTTTGCTGTGCTTTACGAGGGCTGAGTGTCGGACTGAATAAAGAGGATCCTTCTTTAGTTGATTCCGTAATTGGTTTCTTCTTGACCCGGATTTTGTCGGGAGATGAGTGACTAAATGGATTGAATTCAGACGAGAAGATTGAGCGAGATGAAGGCAAGGGTGCTGGCTTTGGAACAGTGGTCTTTTTCTGTGAGAGTTTGCTGTATGAATCAGCTTCGAAGAAACTGTGCTGAGATTCCTCAGGAGGATCAAAGTTTGCGGGAAACAAAGAGGTTTCTTCCACCTCCTGCACTTGGGACGAATTTGAAGCAAAGAGTGCTGAAGTGCTGGCACGCGGTACAGCTCCATGAATTGTTGAGCGTTCTGAGCGTGCTGGCCAATTTTTCTTACTCCTGTAGTCCTCCATCTCCGTGTCAGCTTCATTATCAGACAAGAAAGAGACCCTATCCTTGCCAAGATGTCCGGGCCTTGCTTGCAATGTCATATACTCGCTTGATCTATTGGTTCCAGATATTGTGCCATGATCAGAAGGCGAAGTACTACTTAGGTTGTCAATGAGCCTTCGTTGTCCTTCTGAAACCTCTTGAGAAGCATCCTCCTGCTCCGAGTCTTGGTCTGTTTGTAGATTATGAGTTTGAAGAAGACCCTGGTCCTTAGGTTCGTCATCCTCAATGCCCATTAGTGCCATGAGACTCTTGTCCATTCCAGATGCCATTGTGAAGGGGTGAATGAATTGACACTTTTTCTGAATTGAAGCTGGTAGTATTTTGAGACAAGACAGAAAGTAAGCATCACAAAAAACATATTTGTTGTTTTGATTTTCGAATAACATGACGACTTGAGCTTAATCTAAGAGCCAGGACCATGTTTTTTATGACTTCAGACGCGTACTTTTAAATGAAATTTATAAACAACATGGGTATTGAATAATAACAGAGTTCTCTCCAATCTCAAGAACGCTTCTTGGATTGCTTGCAGGCCCGGTCGTAGTTGTAGTAGCAACTGTGGTTGTCGACGGCTCCTTAGCGAGGTCTCTTAAACAGTATGCTAGTAGAGACGCGCTGTCCTCCCTCTACCTCATTCTCAACGCCGTTTCCTTTACTGTTACTGTTCCCCAGAACGGAATGAATGCTCCGCTTGTTAGTGTGTTTGCGCGGGACCTTCTTGAGGGTGGTCTTCTTAGTGGATACAGTAGTAGGCATCCCCTCTACAGAAGTGCTTGTTTCAATCCCTCTAGATGGTATACCAATAGTCCTGACCAGAGGCAAAAATAGATGCTAAATTTGGCTCGGCCGTCGTACTAACTTTTGGCCCAATGTTGACAGCCTCTTTCGAGTTGCGGCCAGTCTTACCAGTATTATTCATGTCAGGTTCAGAAGTCGAAGTGGAAGACTCAGTCGTAAGCCCGATGTGTGAATTATTCACTATAAGGTATTGGTTATTAGTATTAACCACCCTTAAAAATAAAAAAAATAAAAAGATACTTACTGTTCATGTATTTGAAGAGTTTCGCCTTGACTCCTTCTGAAGGAAATAAACCATGGTTGTGGTCAATAAAAAGTGTTACTGGGAAGGATAGGCAACAGTCATACAGGGACGAGTGTGATATAAAGTACTCTCCTACCTTGATGGCAGCATTGAACAAGGATTCCAGAACTGAATATTCAATTTCATATGTGCTGTGAATATAGTTCTTAAGGTAACCTCGAGTTGAACCACTAATGTTTCTCCCAGCCTCTATTCCATTCTAACCAAAACGTCCTCCCACTCACCCCAAAAGAAAGTAATTGATCGAAGCATGAGCCACGAGGATCATACAGCAAAGTAAGCATGAACAGATGTAAAAAATGAAATAGTACAGTAATAACAGTGAACCCACGATGATCATCTCGATGTAGGAATAAGTCCCATCACTCTGAACCTGAGTCTTTTGTTGCTTAGAAGATTTGACTCTTTCCGCCTGAAGGCTGTCTTTACCATCCTCCTCTTACTCTTCATCGCCCGTGGCCTGTTCGATTGTTCGTTCTTCGTTTGCTCCCTGACTATTTTCAGCCCCTTTGGGTTGGCCAGTTTGAGCCCTGTAATCTTCATCATGTGTCTTCCGTTGGCCTGTAGGCTGAAGGTTGGTGCATTGTTGATCGCCCTCCTGACATTTGTGTACATTTGTGTCACTGTGTGCCTTCGACTTTGATTCCGTTGTCATGGTATTCCCGCTTTTAAATCACTGTGTGAGAATGATGAGTATTTAGGTATGCTGGGTAGGTGTTTGTTTATGACTAAGAGAGAGCGAGATGAGTGGAGAACGTGCATTTTAAAGACTTACCATTGTGTTGATTGGAGCCCTCAGAACGCATATACTGGACTGACTGTAGAGGGGCCATCTCCTGCCTCAACTGTGGATTTTTTTTTTCCTTTTTGCACTCGATATTCATTAGAAACGACCCAATAGTTGAGGACAAAGCTGTGGTGTCAAAGGCGACATTCTGATGATTAAGAAGAAGGATCCACATGCATCTGGTTGTGTGTCCCAGTGTAATAACTGACTTGTTAAATCGCCAAAGTAATTAGTTTCATACTTAAAAAAAAAAGACGTAGAGAGAATGTACGCTGCTCTGTATCAGCTAACCACATCATCACATTCTTCATATTCTCAATGTGTTCTTGTGTTCCGTTCTAAAAGTAGATAAACGAAAATAACTTAACCAAAGGTTTAGTGCATCATTTCAGTTGTGGCTGTGGCCGCGGCTGTGTCTACATCGCCCCCATGTTCATCAAACAAGAGCTCAGAGTACATTTTGGCTGACATTATCATGATCATCAAAAAGTTTTTCCTTGGCACTCTCAGAACTCTCAAACACCATTAGGAGATGATCTGTACCCCGAGACATCCTTGCAGTTAAAGCAATGACTTCTAGTCCAAGTCGCAAAGGTATTTGGGACAGAAGATTCAATATGCAGGAGAAGAAGAAAAATTATAATAATAGGTGATAGAGATATCCTGTTCTTACAACCTCCAAAGATCCATTCCCTTTGACAAAGAAAGCACCAGATCGGTTAGCTTGTTGTGCTGACATGTTCCTTCTCCTCTATTTTAAACATGCTCATTATGAAGGAGATGAAGGGGAGTGTCGGATTGAAGGGCTCAGCAACCGTACCTGTCCGTCAATAGATCCTTTGGAAAAAAGCCTACACTTGTAAGTGTAAAAACATAACGGTTGGCATGTCCCCTTCATATGATTTTTTAATTTTTTTTTCTATTTTTTTCTTTTTCGTCATCAGATCAGCGGTATAAAATCCAACCGACTTCCCCTCCACTTCCCTTTTTTTTCCTCTCATTTCCTCACTCACACGCACACACTCACGCAAGTACCCTCTCTCTTTTACTTTTTCACTTCTCACATCTCCACAAATCCCTTTTAAAGTCCTTTAGCCTTTCCTTTAAGCATTCACAATATGAGGTCCATTGCTCTCACTACCGTTACCATCCTTGCCTTGGTCGCCCGTGCCTCTGCACAGGTTCTTTCTTATGCTCATCCCATTTCTGCAGATCGTTGGACGTTAGTATATTTCTTCTAAAATTTTGAGCCTTAATTGTCTTTTTTCTTCCTTTCTCGCGTACTAATTTTTTTTTTCTCGTGATCGCTCGTGTTATGCAGGGCCGGAGGAACCGGAGAAGTTACTTGGTCTAATGCTTGCACAGAGGTGACCGGAAATACGACATTCCCTATTATGCTAAATCACCAAGTTGGGCAATTTCAGGTCGATTATCCCGGCATCCCTCCTCTCGGATATTTGGACTGCTCTAAGCCAGGCACTGTCACCGTTCAAGTTCCCATGGTCCCACAAGGATCAAAATACTCCATCTTAGTGACCAATGGCTCAACTCAGAGTTATTCTGCTCAATTCACTATCGAGAGTACTATCCCTCCATCCAATACTACTAGCACTGGCACGGTTTCTGCAACGCTGATTCCTACGACTACATCCGCAGCACCCATCACTACGACTTTAACTACGACTTTAACTACAACAGCAGCACGTCTCCCTACCATCACAACGGGAACAACAAGTGCCCCTTCTCCCATCCGAACAAATCAGGCTGGCACAGTCAAGACTGGTTCGTGCGTAGCGTTGGTAATGGTTGCAGTCCTCGCATCCATTATGCTCTAGGCTTGAAGAGGTGTATTTGTAATAATAAGCAAATAATAATAACAGTAATAAAAAAAAAGGGGGGGAGGAGAGGACAACTGTCAACGTCTTCTATTTTTATGTCAATAAGGACATCATTGCCCAAAAATTCCCTTCCTCCCTAGTTGTATACCAAAAATATGACAGAAATGAAATCAAGGACTCTGAAATACTTGCAAGAGTTTTTACTACATATGGGCCCTGAGTATGTCACTCAAAATGCTAGATGCATAAATTGTCATCTTACATATACAGATACAATGATAGTGCGGGATGTTCTCGACAAACACAACCTCCTGAATCAGAAAGCATAAGGAGGACACCCGCAAGGTTCATTTATAATGTGCACATGTTGATGCATCTCGGTAGAGTCTTTGCAATGCCACCTTTAAGAACTGGCAGTAGCTCTGAAGAAAAAGGTAAAATCACGGATCTTTCCTTGTATACCCACTGGTGGCACTGAGGAAACACCATGGGGATCCCAGCTCTAAAAGTGCCTTCGAACGCGCCTAGCTTGTAGGGCACAGTACATCACATGATTTACATATCCACTTTGTTCAGCCAATCAGAGAAGTAGTGTACTATAAGCAGATTCTGTTTAGATTCAAATAACCAAATAAACCACAAAAGTGACAGACAGCTTCCACTTACACTCGTTCCTCAATGTCGATCGCACCGCCACCATTACCTGCTGCCATCAGCGGCTTTGGCACCCAGAATGGAATTGGGAATAATGAGCCTGCACAAGATATGGAAAATGGACCAGAGGATGTTGCATCGGTTGGAATTATCTATCCCCCCCCCATATTCGAGGTACTAATCACATTCATATACAGATCATTGAATCAAGCAAGACGAGAATCCAAAAATACATGTTAAACGACAGATCCTGAAAAGAACAAACACAGGCACGAATGAACGTATATTTATCTCATTGCTTCATGCTTTTTATCTTTGCCTCAATGATGTCAATAGTTCTCGCGGACAGGACAGCTGCATTTGTAGCAGGAAGCGAGTTGGGAGCCATTGTAGAGGAACGTCTTCGACAAAAGGAGAAGAACAGTACAAAATTCAGTTTCCTTAATCCTACAGACCCATATCACGCGTACTATGCTTTCAAGGTTAAAGAAGCGAAATCTGGAAATGGTATGTTAAATGAACTCTAGTGGAACAAATTTGGAAATATCATGACGATATGAATGACAGTGATACGTATTTCTATTGACTATAATCGCCCTACATCCTATAGCTACCGCTGCTGCGGAGATCCAGGCAGAGGTGGAGGCAAAAGTAGAAGAAGCGATCAAGCCTCCTCCAGCAGAACCCCCAGCGCTTGAATTTATGACACCTATGCCTTCAGTGTCTGCTCAGGATCTGTAAGTTGATCGTCTTACCAGATAAATATATATTGTTATTTACTTATCAACTTTGCTATTATGGTTGCTAATAAGTTTCTTTTCGGCTTTGCACAATCATCAGGGATGTTTTGAAGCTTACAGCGCAGTTTGTGGCTAGAAATGGGCGACAATTCATGGTATCTCTAGCGCAGAGAGAGGCACGTAATTATCAATTTGATTTCCTTCGCCCCAACCACAGTCTTTTCGGTTATTTTTCAAAATTGGTGGAACAATACACCAAGATCCTGGTACCTACGCCAGATATGTTGGAACAGATTGATTCAAGATCAGCCAACAAATACGCAGTCCAGGATATTGTCATGAAACGAGTCGAGTATACTGCATATCAACAAGAGCTCCGAAAGAAGAAGGATGAAAAGGAAGATGCTGAAAGACGTAAGCTTAGCCTCGCGGATCTGATCTTATTTCTAAGGATTGAGTTAGTCAGTTGCCAATACTACTAGTGTATCAACGGTATTTCCATCACAGTATCTCCCTAACGTCAATCTCACTTTATTTTTACCTTATTTAGAGGCATTCTTGAGCATCAATTGGCAGGACTTTGTCGTAGTTCAAACAATTGAATTCACCGAAGCTGATGATGCAGTTGAGCTTCCACTTCCGAAGAGTTTGAGAGAGCTAGAAACAATGTCATTAACACAGAAGCGTATGATGCAAGTATTAGCTGAGACTGAAAGCGCACCAGACATGCCTCAGGATATTGAGATTGATGATGACAATGATGATGTGGACATGGAGGACTCTGATGACGAGCAGGAGCAGACTTCAGTACCAGCAAGCAGCACTCAGGAAGAAGTTAAAAACGTGAATGAAGTTGTAATGACCGCTCCTCAGCTGACGGCACCAATGAAGATCAGAGAAGATTATGTTCCAAAGGCATTTAAAGGTCGTACGGGCGCTGCATTGGAGGAGGCAACACAGACATGTCCCCGCTGTGGCGAGCAAGTTAAGGTTTCAGAGATGGAGGAGCATGTGCGTGTAGAATTACTGGACCCCCGATGGAAGGAGCAACGTGAGCAAGCAGAAGCCAAAACTAAGGCTAGCAACATGCTTACAGATGGTAAAGACAGGAGAGAGATATTGAAAGCCCTACTTTAAATATTGAAATGACAGTGCTATTATTTATTTGCAGCAGGTATTCCGATCAACCCATGCCTTTCATTTTATAACACCTTTTTCTATTTTGCGAATAGGTACTGATGTGGCTAGAAACCTGAACTTGCTGAAGGCTCACCGCTCGGATATTTTTAGCACGGAAGAAGAAAAGAAGAATGCCGAAGAGGAGAGGAAACGACAAATTGAAAAGGAGAGGAATGTTTGGGATGGTCAAACTAGCACTGTAGCGATAACGGCCCAGAGGAATGCTGCTGCTGCTGCCACAGCAGGAGGATACAACCAGGATGGTTCCAAGGCGCAATTAGAGTCATCTATTGGTCCTCAATTCGCACAGCCGCCAATTCAGCAGCCACCTTTATACCGCCAACCAGGGACATACAACCAGACATTCCGTGTCCAACCTAATGTGTCTTCTTCTATTCCAATTCCTGGTATGGTCCCACCACCAGGGATGCCTGGAATTCCTCCGCCACATTATGGACAGCAGCCTCCGCCGGGTATGCCAGGTGCACACAATCTTTTCCCTGGCCTGCTTGGTTCTATTCCTCCAGGTGTATCCAGTCTCCCAGCTCCTCCAGCATCTGCTAATTTACCTCTACGACCACCTGCGGCAGTGCCAGGTTTACCTCATGCTCCTGGAACTGTACCTGCACAAACGCCACCCTCTGGACGCCATCCAGAAGAAGATTTCCCTACCTCAGATAGAGACTCAAAACGCCTCAAGTCTGAACATATTTCGTCCTTACCTTCTACACTAGCACCGCCTGCATCGTCCTCTAATGCATTACCAACAGCATCAGGACCAAGCTGGATTACTCTTGATATTCAGTTTGCAGATCCGGATGAGTTTAAGCCAGAGTGGAATAGGGACAAATTGTCGAGTTTAACCGTAGAAAATCTTGTAAATGGCACAAAAATATCAGTAGTCAAGGACCGCATTTTTGCTACCATGGGCTTCCCTGTAGGCAAGCAGAAGTTAATCTTACCTGATGGTACAGTAACCAAGAACCAAAGCACATTAGGAGAATACGGGTTTAGAATTGGGCAACGCGGAGAGCTGCGCCTTGCGGTGAAGAAATAAGATCTCAAGACTTGCAGGAGACACCATGTCAGATCTAGATAAGCTATTCTTTCATTCATAGTACATTAAAAAGACTGAAAGTCATACCAGAAAAAAATTACTAAAGAATGTTATTGAATGGCTGCTGTGCTTTGTCTGAAGCCTTCATGTGATAGTACCATGTGGGTAAGAGCCAAATGGTTGCTTACTTGCTTTCTACACAACATCAGCGCATATAAGCTGCTCTTTACCTTTGCTAGTCATAAACGGGATTGGGATTCAATGAAAACATCCCATCCATCAAGTTCTCACCCTTCAATCTCCGTCAAGCCGCCCTCGACCATGAACAAGATTTTAATCATGCCAGCAGCCATATTACAGTGTATGGCTAACCTCAGCTCGTTCTATTTCCAGCACGAGCAACCACATCAAACCATACTCCGAAAACATGTTTGTTATTTAGTCCTGTTGATCTTTTTACTAAACTTCAAGTCGCTGCTGGGTGCGTTTCATGCGAGGATGGGTCTTCGCATTGCGGTCATGTAGTTATATTCGATCCGACATGGAGAGGGCTTCCAGGTCAAACCTACGGATACAAGTGTTATCCGTGAACGTGTTTGGTTGGATGATGTAAACCTCAATTTCCACTTTTCAAATAAGTTGGTGAAAAAAAAAAAAAAAAAAAAAAAAAGAGAGTACATGTATAGAATGCTTGTAGAAGCATACAAAAGTATCGAATCAATCCTAGCTCCACCATTGTTTCGTTTATCACATTCTAAAAGCTCGTGTCAAGTTCGTAACATCACTACTGGGTCCCAGTATACTACCATTGCATCCAATGCAGAAAATTGTGTTTGTACTCGGTGGTAATCAAATGTGGTTCAAGAAGGAGACCACTCATTTTTAATCATATGAAATTCGGACTCGACTTTTAACCTGGAATCAGAAATGGTTTGTCATTGAACATGGAATATATATGCCTTCCCGCAGCAGCAGCAGCAGCAGCAAGCTTGGAGAGCAGGAACTGTGTGCAATCAGTATCTTCAAATTCATGTTAAAGCATGCAAGTGAATCATTGAAAAACAAGAAAATGCCGCTCTTAAAGGCATTTGAGATGGTTGGGCGTGGTGTTATGGAATTAAAGGCCTTGGAGGCTAGAACTGACAATGGCAACGTCGTTCTGTGGTTCAAGGAAAACTTGGAGTACAAGTCCTTCGAAGTTTGGACGGATCGTGCGGCTGCAATTGGTAATGATTTGGGTCCGTGTAAGGCCATGCTTCTCAGGAGGATATCGATTGTTAGGAGATTAATATTACATTCTTCAAAAGGTAAACAATTGAAAGTCTTCTCCTGCAGCCTCTTGAGGACTGAAAAACAGCATTTTGTTTTTCGTTTTTGAAAATAATCAACAGAAGGAGCCAATAATTCATTCATTATTAGAAAGACTGACATAAGAAACAAAGTAGAAAGAAAAAATGATAGTTATAATGATAGTGATAGTAAAATAAATCAAGAACATTTTATTCAGCTCTATATGATTTACTTCTGGTAGCTCCAGACCATGGACAAGACTAATCAAGTGAAGTTGAAAATAAATTAAGAACCTTGGTCAATTTCCTATTTCCAAAAGCTTTTGTCGTAAACGAACACCTTTCACTTATCGTATTTTAAAGAAAAAATATACATATGATCACTTACGACCATCCTTGGTAGCAAGGCGGTTGATCGAGTCATCAGCCTCAGACTGGGCACGAACGTAACCAGAGAGGGCATAGGTGGTAAAGGATCCAGTGTAGCGGCCGTTCTCGTCAACATCGCCGATGTTGATCTGGACGGAGGCATGATCCTTGGCGCCAATGAGGCGGTTAGTGGCGGAGCTAAATGCGGGTAAAAAAATAAGAATCGCTAAGTATACCGTTTCGATTAAAAAAATAAAAAAAAAAAAAAAAAAAAAAGGCTTCTTAAGAAGTCCTGATAAATAAGATGATGCTGAATGAATATTGCATATAACTTTTTCGTTATAGTTGCCACTGGTGAAAGGTTATCCAGACCTATCCACATAGACCCGAGACCCAAATTCCTTTGAAATTTGATGAAGGCAAACATGCATTCCTTGTAATAGCAAAATATTCCACAAAAAAAAGACCCCGCACGGCACATGACATCAGAATGAGCGAGTGCCTGAATGGATAATTTTGATAAAAATCAAACAGAATCTTGAATGTAAAATCAAAGTTTCGACATGTAGGTTACAACAACCATGATCCATTAATCATTATGAATCTGATCAAAAGATCCTTGTTAAATCTTTCAAAATAAAAATAAATGATGATAATAATTCCAGATCTTGTAATGCATGAACATCCTGATGATCCTGACAGTTGAAAATGATATAAATATTTGACCCCTGATAAGGGATAGAAGGTCTATTACCACTTGCGGGGGGTGTAGGTCTCGAGAGTGATCTGAGGGGTCTCCATGGCAACGAATAGGTTCCTTAGGATGATTCTTTCAAGCAAGAGTAGAGGAGGAACCAACAGTGGTCCAACTTGAGGAGCTCTCTTGTATCCCAGGCATCCCAAGCATCCCAAGCATCCCAAACAAAAAAAATTATTTGATTAGACATACGATAAAACAGGGTTTCTATGACGCTAGAAATCACGTGATTAGACTCCGAATTCCGAAATTGATCCGAGCATGTGTTTTTGCACTGTTAAAGGAATAATTAGACCGGATCATTTCATCAATTTTCTTCTCGCCTTTCTCCATCACGCCAGATTCGTCATGCCCTTCAAGTCCGCCAACGGCACTGCTGCCAATAAATTCGCTCGCGCTGGTTATAACACCATCGTCAAGCGCAACTCGATCTTCTTGACCACCATTTTCGTCTCTGCATTCGCTGTCGAGATGGCTTTCGATACTATCTCTGATCGCATCTGGGACAATATCAACAAAGGTGTACGTTGCTTTCTCTATTACCTTTATTGTTTCTCTCCTTTGATGCTAGTTGTCTGGACTAAACTTAGGCTTGGTTATACGTGAGACCACCGATTGCGACCAATTGATAAGAATATTTTACTGCACATGATGCTCTGGATATCGATCACTTGAGGCGACCAAAACTGGAGTTTGAATATGACTTGATAGAGCGCTTGCAGGATTCAATCGCAATCATAGTGCGGGTAGTAATAAGTATCCATACAATTCTACACAAAGCCAAGTGCTTTTTCACTCGCCATAAACCAATTCACCACAGTGCTCATTATTGTTCGGCAATCGAAACATGCGAAGTCCACACGAACGTAGCATCTACCCAGATATTGATTAACACGATTACTTTTATAACAGAGCAAATGTTAGCAGTCGGAGAAAGTTTCTATCGATATCCATTGAACTAGTGGATTAATCTTTTTATTTACTCCACTGACAAGATATGACTAACTTCATTATATAATGTTCTTCATCTTTCTTGATACTTTTATACCACAAAATAGCGCCAATGGAAGGACATCGCCGCCAAATACAGCGATGAATAAAGAACTAACTATTTGCTGGTGAACATTGCTAAACCATCCATTGATCTCGTCAACATTCCTCAAGCCACCAGATACTAAGCAACATTACTACAACGCGTAAACTTGAATAAACAAGCAATGACCATTTAATTTAGTATAGCTGCATTCATGTCTTTGCGCTTTTAAGAAGAGGCCATTCCAACGCATTTTCAGGAGGTTGAAGAGTAAAAAAAAAAAAAAAAAAAAAAAAAAGTGAGCGAAGCGAGGAAATCATGTTGTCTCTTTGATCTGCTGAAGTGCTCGTTCGACTAAGGGTTTGCACCCTGTCAAAAACCAAATAGATGTAATGACCACAAAGAACATATGATGAAGAAAACGTAAAGGACTGTACGTGAATGCAAAACCAGAGTCTGCGACTCCCTTCCGCTCAATTATCACCATGGATTGAAAACAGTCCTTGTATTCTATGAATGGAAAGCGAGTCATCATAGACAAATCAAGGTTGATAGCTTTCATATTCTCAGATATAATGCACGTGGATGACCATAACACTATTAAGCAAAAGACCTTTGCTACTTAACTATGCAGCAGTACAATCATATACAAGGTGTTGTTGACGAATAAAAGTTTAAAATAGTTCATCAGTCGTAATATAACCCACATAACGCCCTTATCATTTAGACAATACATCAATAAATAATATACAGGACCTCCTTAATGAAACTATATTGTGTTATAACGATTGACTAGGTCTTTGTTTATCAAGGGTGTTAAAAGAAAAAAATGAAGCAGAGCTGTATACAACACAATATCAGTTGTATGCTGTGGAATGTTGTGATGTAGGCTTCGAAGTCGCCCTGTCTTTATTCGAAAAAATTAAAAAAGAGAGATATTGTGTAACTATGTTTTTCTCGTATAGTGTCTGGTTGTAGAGTTTTTAGCCATCAGGGTTCATGGTTCTTTGTCGGCCTGTAATAACAATTGGTTGTTTCATATCAATTATAGCTCTATTCCAGAAACATGTCTCCTATTCAGGAACAGTTGCTTAATGTGGACCCGATTTTTTATGGAAATATCTGGAGCCTGACATTTATGACCAACTTTGTGAGCATCAGTACCGCACCTGCGACCAGCATTAACATTACCCTTATTTATCCTCAGAAGCGAGTGATATGGCACAACTCCCATTGATCAATATATACATAAAACTGTCACTACGACAACACATTAAAGTGCACAAACAGTCTGAATCCCTCCATGTATTCAAACCAGTCGACCTGGCCCAGACAAGAAGCCCCTGATCATCGCTCGCTAAATTTGTGAATTGCTCTCAAGATGAATTGGATTGGTTGAGCATTTCGTTGGCATATCAAGAGAGAATTTTATATAAAATGGCAGCATGTTGCACATCTGCTTACATCTCTTGTCCATTCAAGAACCCATCTCCCTTACCCATACCACGGTATAACCTACTCTACCCTTCCTCTTATATTATTAATCTCCTACTTCTCTCTTTCCTCCTCTCTATCTCTTTCCCACTCTATTTCACGCTTCTATTAAACACACGCTTAACTAATACATTACACACAATGCGTGTCCTTTCTCTCACCCTGGCAGTGTCTTTGGCTCTTGTCGCTGTCACTTCCGCTGCACCTTTGCCTCTTCCAGCTCCTGACGAATGTAGGTTTTTCTTCATTCAGTTTCATTAACATTAGTAATGATTATAAAATATTAAAAGAAGATCGAGCCTGGAACGGATGAAAAATGGATATGCCACACTATTTTTATTATATTTTTCCCAACCCAACGATCCAAACTATAAATCAAGAAATAAATTTAATGTTTCCCTTTTCCCTCAAGTGCCATTCCTTCGATTCCTCCCGATGACTCGAAGCTAACGACGTGTATAATATCTTTACTCTATTAGCAACCCAGTTCCTATGCTTGGAGTCCTGTCTCCAGCAAGAAGAAGAGTGCTTACTCAACTCGTACAGCATGGGACCCTGTGTTCAGTCCTTTGATGACTGTCATTCTCAGTGCATAATCGAGACTGAAATTGATGCCCCCAGGGTTCCTCCTCCTGAAGTTGAACCACCTGTTGAACCACCTGTTGAGACCCCTGTTGAGACTCCTGTTGAAACTCCTGTCGAGACCCCTGTCGAAACTCCTGTTGAGACCCCTGTCGAAACTCCTGTCGAAACTCCTGTTGAAACTCCTGTTGAGACCCCTGTTGAGACTGAAGTTAAGGCCCCTGTCGAGACCCCTGTCGAGACCCCTACCGAGACTCCTATCGAGACTCCTGTTGAGACTGAAGTTAAGGCTCCAGTCGAAACTGAGGTCGAGACTGAAATTAAGACCCCTGTTGAGACTAACGTTGAAATCCCTGTCGAGACTGAGGAAGATCAACCGAATGAACAAATTGAGATCCCAAAAGAGACTGAATTGCATCAGAATCAGGGTGGAGAAAACAATTCGGAATACGAGGACGAGGAGAACGAGGAGGTTGAGCACGAGGATGACCAGGATCCTGGCTTGCCTGAGGAAGAGCTCGAGCAGCAGGAGCAGCAGGAGCAGGGACAGGACGATGAGATCCCTAATACCATTACTGATGGCGATGGACAGGAAGATACTGAAGAGTCTCCCGAGACTACCAGTGATAGCGATGTGCAAGTGAAGACTGAGGAGTCTCCTGATACGATCATTTACAGTGATGTGCAAGAGCAACCCGAGGAATTCCCCGATACAACGACTGGGGGCGATATGCAGGAAGATACTGAAGAGTCTCCTGAAACCACCACTTATGACGATATGCCGGAAGATACTGAAGAGTTCCCTGAAACCACCACTGACGATGTGCAAGAGCAGCCTGAGGAGTCTCCTGATACAATCATTTACAGTGATGTGCAAGAGCAACCCGAAGAATTCCCCGATACAACGACTGGGGGCGATATGCAGGAAGATACTGAAGAGTCTCCTGAAACTACCACTGACGGTGTGCAGGAAGAGACCGAAGAGTCCCCTGATACTACCATTGAAAACGTGGAGACGTTTGCGGTCCCTGAGGATGACCAAGAGGATCCTTCAATAACCGCCGACGACGATCAACATGAGGATACTCCCGAGACTTCTCTTGAGGATGACGGCGAGGAAGAGGAGTATGAATCACCCGTTGATGGTTTCTATGAAGAGGAGGAAGAAGATGGTAGCAGTGCATATGGGGAGGAGGAGGAGGAGGAAAATGACGAGGACTTTGGATATTAAGGAGAGGATAGAAGAAAAGTAGACTCGCATCTTCAGCATAGAATAACCTTTACGAGTATAATAGACTTTTAGAGCCATCCCAATAGACAACACCATAACAGAAAATGATAATGCTGTCACGTTGTCCAATGGAGGTAAAAAAAAATAAAATAAAAATAAAAACAACCAAACATTGTTTCATTAACTTGGAAAACAGGACCATGTCGCCCCTGACATTCAACATTATCCGCCAATCCACCCAGCGGTCCGCCGCCCGTCGCGGCACTGTGGTCATGAGTAACCAGGCTTCGACAACTTCTGGTGACAGAGAGCCCATTATACCAGACAGGACGGTCGCTGTATCACCAAAAAAGCGAATGATTGAAACTCCTGGTTGCTTCATGTACTCTGTCAAGGGATCGGTTCCACATTTCACCCCGGACACACTTCGACAGCAAGAGCTCGGTGGCGTCAGTGTCAGCATCGAACATATGTTGTATGTCCATAAATTGAACATTAACAAGGTTCTGCAGATAATGAACTCATATTTTTTTCTATCCATTCACAATTCTTTCTCCCTTCCTCACCCTCTTATATATATATATTTCCAGGCAGGATCACCAACCGGCAGGGTTCGATAAATGGTCATTTTCACTCTCCAAATTCTTGAACCTTCAAGATTTTATTCTTTTTTGTGATGTTCGGGATACGTCTCGATACTTCAGAGTTCCCATCAACACGGATCGTTATATTTCCATGATGACCCATCAAGGTGTTCGTCAACTCACTTTGGAAGAGTATCTCAAGATTGTTAGGGCATATGCGCCCGACATTATGGCAACATTCACGGATTCCATCTCGGATCTAGAATTGACGGAACAGGGCAAGCTGTTAGGATCAAGTACTGGACAAAAACGTGTACGAAAGAGTGTTGATCGAAGTCTTAAATGGTTAGATCAGATCTTGAAAGAGAGACAAGGCATTGACACTTTGGCTGAGGATCGTGTAAAAGGGCAAGCTAGAAAGAAGACGGTTGGAGAGCATCAAACAAGCCATACCACCAATGCTACTGCTGCCAATTCTAATGATATAGTAAACGAAGCTATATCAACAGCTACAACCACAACCACGGCAAAAGCATGGACGGATGTGAGTGTTTTTGCACATGTCGGAGGAGCTCAAATTGAACAGGAAAGAATTAGAAGTGCAGAAGAGACTGCCAAAAGACAGGGTGTAGATGGATTCATCGTCGATACTTTGACATTGCCAGGGACTAAGGACGAGGTCTTGAATCTCTTGAAGATCTCGCTAGATCACCTACCTTCTGAGAAGCCAAGACTCGTATATGGCATGCAAACACCAGGTAAGAGCCCTATGATTTTTTTTCCTTCATCAAAGTTGCGCTCAAAACATGTTGGCGCAATACACTCAACAGCATGACTCTTGTTGTAGAGGATGTATTGAAATCGATTGCACTAGGTGCGGATATATTCGATACCTCATATCCGTTCCAACTGACTGAGGGTGGCAAGGCATCTCTCTACAGCTTTGGGCCGTCATCACCACTGTCGACATCCTCTAGCAAGCGTTGGATTAACTTGTGGGATGAAGAACATGCAGACAAATTTGTCCCATTGCTTGATGGCTGTGAGTGCTATGCTTGCAAAGGTGGGCGCCATACTCGTGCATACATTAATCATCTCTTGAAAGCTCATGAAATGCTGGCTACAGTTCTACTGATGAGGTAAAATGAAAGAAGGCCAAATGAAGAGAAAAAAATGACTTGAGCGTGAGGAAGGAAAATGAACCTTTTTTTTTTTTTTTTTTTTTTTTTTTTGTAGCCATAATATGCATCAGTACTCAAAGTTTTTCGAAAATGTCCGTCAATCCATCCAGGATGGTACGTTTGAGCAATACTCGGATTCCTTTATGGAGCAATTTGGAACAGAACCTGAGCGTACAGGCGAAATTCATCAAGCTCAGGCTGCTGTCGAGGCTGCTTTATTGAGACGGAACCGTTTGGATGTCCTAGATGATATTGAGAATGCTGCTTCCCTTGATAAGGCCAAAGCGACTGCTGCAGCTGAGGAGATAAAGCGTCAAAAGATGCAGATGAGAGAAGCCAGGCGTGCCAAGATGAAGGAGGAAGGTCTCAAGCGGAAGCTTCAGCATGATCTAATAAAGCAACAGCGGTTAAATCAGGAAATAGAAAGTAAGGGGCAAGAAGAAAACTAGAAATAATAGAAATAAACTTATACTGCTCCAATATGGAACTATGGTAGAGCTTTTTTTATCGTGCCTTTCAATACATTTTCATGGGATAACAAAATTATCCGGCATATTTGCTAGTCCGTTCGTGTTGTAAATCTTCTCGTAGTATGGTATCCTGCCTTGACACATGTTCAAGGTAAGAAGAGTTTGTCCGTAGTCTCGCCGTTGCCTGCCTTATCCAGTTAATACGACATAGAGCTAGCTTTTGACTTTAGTGCAATGAATCTATTGAGGCCCACAACATTGTAGAAGATTTGGGTTGTCAATCTGTTGGAGTCGGTATAAGTACGTGAGTGATGTGTTCGTACACCAAAACACAAATGTTAGCTAGTTGGGCGCAGCAAATCTGTATTTGTTTCAGACGAATACTTGCATACTGCGATTTTCGCTCTTGGATTACAGTCGGGAAAACTATATCTCTAGTATCCTCACTATGTATTTTATCTGTAGCAAAGAGTTCTTTTTCGGTGGATGCTATGAAGACGACGCACGCACGCTTTCTGCTAAGCATGTACTATTGGATTGCAGGATTACGGTTGCCTTTCCACGTAATGCTAGGGTTATAACTTTATAATCTGACAACTGGTGTTACTAGTACCTCCCTGATCAGGCACCCTTCAGTACTGCTGTGGTACTTTGTAACATCGACTAGCAAACGATAGTGAGTGAAGATGCTTTTGACAGATGAAGTACTATTGGAGGAGGACAGTGATGCTAGTGAAGGTTGAAGTAGTGGGAGCAGCAACAACCGAGACGTGCTTTTGTCTCTTTTTCGGTGACGCATTGCCACGGCAATGTGGCAAGCGTTGTAAAAGGAAGGATGTGTTGAATATGGCCACAACTGCTCTAGAAGATTCATATTTATCGCTGTTCTTGCTAAATCCAATCTTCTGATCATTCTGAGAATACTTGGAATACCCATGATATATACTCTGGAATTGGGACAGGCGCAAACTCAAATGGTGATATTGACAGCATGTGAAAAAGTGTAACTCGGAAGGAGTGTCTCACCATGGGGATCTAACATTGATTATCCCAATGATCTTTATATCTTCCTCTCACCTAACCTACAATATTTACTGAGGTTGACATATGTTTACCCACTCAATATTCTGACTAAGAAAGAGAGCAGGGTTGTGGATTAACAACTTTTCGAGAAAACTACAAAAAACTGTTTTTAATAAGGTAAACTGGCAAACTGAAAATTCTCCCGGCTAATGGTGTAAGGATAAAAAAACGTTTTTTTTTGCTTTAAATCTGGAATTTGAAGGTGAAGAAATCCTCGTCAAAGTGGTGCACACGGACGTAACCATCCTCTCCTCCGCTTGCAAACGAGCGACCATCAGGGTGGATAGCGATCGTATTGATGGGACCGAAGTGTCCACGGACACGTCCCACTTCTTCCTCCAGAATCTTGTGCCAGAAACGGCATTCGAATTTACCCTGTCGGCTACTGGTCCTTGTAACATCCATCGCTTCCTGACCACCTCCAACAATTACAAACTCCTGAACCTTAGGCATGATGGCCGCCGAATTCAATGGTGTATCTGTTGTGTATGTCTTGAGCACCTGAAGAGTCTTGGTCTCAAGAATCTTGGCAGACTTATCCTTAGAAGCCGTAATGAAGTATGTGCGATCTGTCGACATTTGAAGATCTGTCAAAGTTGCCTCATGGACTTTGTTGTCAGCGATGTACTTTCCAGTCTAAAATACGTACAAAAAAAAAAAAAGAAAAAAAAAATTAGAGTCGAGTAGAACATCTTATGACCTTAAAACCGCTTCCACTCATATAGATGGTGTTTTTTTTTTTTTCCTTTCTGCTTACATGGGGATCCATCAAGGCAACAGATCCGTTATCGCGACCAACGACGATGTACTTATCAAGATATCCCCATGCGGCGACAGTGATCTTGGGACCCTCTGGGTGGAAGACAGCCAAAGGCTCAGAGGAGACTATTATTTATATTTATAAATATATCGTTCGTGATGTTAAAAAATTTGGCATTAATTTTCAAGGATCACTTGGATTTTCTAGCTGAGCAAGATACTGAAAGAGCCTCAGACGCTTATTTACCATTCTCTGTGACACCATTCTCAACATTGAAGATCTGAAGAGTTGCAGGAAAGCCCATACGAGGTTCAGTTACCAATAAAATCTTCCTGTCATCTTCTGAAAACTGGACACGTCTGACAGCAGTATTGAATTCCCATGACTTTAAACACTTTCCGTTCGAAACATCCCAAAGCTTGGCTGTGTTGTCAGCGGATCCTGATACCAACAGTGTGGTGGAGGCTAAAATCATAAAAATAAAATGAAAGTATGTGTTACGCCATTAACAAGAATCCGCTGAATTGAAGGATGCGATTATCTATTCAACCACTCCTGATTTGCTGCTTTTTTTCTTGCAACAACAGAAAATAAAACAAATCAGAACAAAAAGTTGTTATCATAATTAACTGACATACAGTTGACATCGACGGTCCAGACAGCACCAATGTGTCCCTCATATGTACCAAGACGCTCGCCATTGTGCGAGAACCAAGCATTTACGACATGATCCTTAGACACAGAAAAGAGCAAGTCTCCCTCGCGGTTATATTTAATCTGCGTAAGAGAACGCTCGTGACCCTGAAGTAGAATGGGACGCTATTTTTTTTTTTTTTTTTGAAAACACAGTATTGAATAGGTTAGAGGTTATATTTCACAAGATATCCTTCTTAATAGTGACTATAATGTACTGTGTTGAGTTGTATGAGTCCCATATTTTGAACCGGGTTCAGGAGGCTGAAAAATATAAAGCTACTAGTCCCTAGTACATAGTCTTTTTTTTTTTAAGTTAAAGAGTGAGGCAAGAGAATGCTTGGATGATCTACTCCAATTGTTCTTCTAGGTGACTGATAGCTGATCGCTGATTAGCCCGACAGCAAGAGGTTGGCGGTGTGTATTCAGGCGTATATACTGGAGCTGCATTCTATTGTTGACATGCTTATCGCTAATAATATATTTGGGATGTTCCTCGCATGCATTACCATGGCTACGGACGGATTTGTCGTCTGAAGAGGGTTTAGTGAGGCTGATGAGAGAAAGCTTTTTTAAAAAAAAACATTCTTGCCAGATCCAAGGTGCGACTCTAAATGTCCGAGTACAGCACAAAACTCTCTCAAAATACGCCATAAATGTGACTGTGAAAGATTGCCGACTTTCTGGTTAGGAATAACGTTATAGCCTCGTGACAAGGGCTTAAATCCTATATACCCACATGACCGTTACTGCTGGCTAGCATTTAAATGAAAGCGCGACATTGATTCAGTCATCGGCTGTTTTTGAGATAGGCGGAGGAAATGAGATAGGATGTTCTTTCAATACTGTTATACACGAATAGATTATTTTACAAAGTCTGAAGAATACGTATCGCTCACGATGGCCAAGTTTGGCTCATGTTCATACTATGATGCTTTAATAACTCTCACACATATACCGATTATAACACTTCTTTGAATTGCGGCGACCGATGTCTAGCGTTGAAGCCCCTGCTCAATTTACATATTACAAAAAAAAAAGAAAAACAAGATAGCAAAAACTATGGCCGCCATGTGGAGCCAATCTAATCTCTTTTTAAATATGAAAAATAGACCTCTCGTGTCTTGCAAAAGAAAAAGAAAGAAAGAAAAAAACATACATATCATGAAGCTTACACATAATCCAAGCATCCGCTTGTCTCCCATGGCATTACTTGGTGATATTGCGAGCATAAGACCATTGATGCCGGAGACCTGTAGCCTCTTCTTTAACGCTAATTTACTAGAACTATTGAAGCAAAGAGTGACATCTAAATCCATTCTCATTTAAAATAAAACCTTTTTCTATTGTTCCTGATTTCGCCATAGAAATATGAGACTTTATTTTAAAAATTATATGAATAAAAAATTACGTATATAAGAATAGATAATATAAGATGAGATATTTACTGAATGATTCTTTCGACCAGCTCGCTGACCAGCAACGCATGCTTATGTACAGTTGGTCGTCCGTTGCTTGGGTTGAATCCCGGTGCCCCTGTATCCATTAATCCCGCAAAACCTAACTCTGTCAGATATGCCAGCTGACTAGCCTTTTGTATACTCGCCGCAGCCTTACTCAAAAGCGGATCTGCAACCACTGCAAAGATAATCGATTGCACTGCGTCGATGATCGGCACCACCTGTGAGCTGTTAATGATCTGATGCATCTTGGGTAAAAGTGACTCATATCTGCCATTTAGAAAAATAAAGAACAGACGTACTATTAGGACCATGGAATACTGCAAGCAAAAATAAGCCCGTAAAAATTGGCTATAAATAGAAGGTAACAACAAATACATTAAACTTACACAAGTGCAAAGACCTCGGGCAACGCAACGGCAGCCTCAGCCAAGAAGGCATAGAGAAACAATCTCTCAGACTCCGTCTCTGCATTCTGAAGCATAGTCACAACCAAAGTGACCAGCAATAATCCAGTGGTATTATCCGGGATGACCAGATAGTCAAACATCTTATAGTAGGTATCATTCAAGGCAGTGTTATTTACTTCCATGGAAGTGATGCCCACCATCTGCAACAGCTCTTTCAGTTCCATATTCCTAGCAGCTTGTGGCAATAACGCTGCCAGATAGCCCATCACACGGACGTCGACAACATCTGGCTGTGTACCTTTGACTGCGATCTGAAGGATAGATCGCAATACTTCGGTGGTGATCGTTTTAGTAGAAGGATGTTTCAATCCCTTTAATAGTGCGCCCGCCACGCCGAACGAGAAATGAGTTTCAAAGTTCAGTCCAATTGATTCATCCAGTTCCTTGGTTACATCCAAAAGTGGGATCCTTGCCCTTAACAACACCTCATCCAATGGCTCGTGGATGAAAAAACCTTGAGCATCAAGCACCTTCAACACGGCTTGCAGCAGTTCTAGAGCACATGTGAAGAGTGGAACATGACCAATCTCGACAATCGACAGTCCGAGCCAGAATAAGTGTTGAAGGTACCTTGATTCTGCAGGCAGATTTGCGGCGATGTTGGTCAGACACATCACAATACTGGCAATTAAATTGTAATCAGACTCCACAAACATGGCCAAGGCGCCACGAAGAGCGACCAAAATCTGATAGAGTAGGTCATCATCGACTTCCTCACGTGCCAGGCATCCCAAAGCGACAAACGCTCTGGGTTGGATAGCAGGGTTGAACTGGAAGGCTGTGCTAGTGACCAGACCCATCCATCTAGCTCTTGCAGCATTTGCAGCATCTATACAAGTCATTGAGAAGCAAAGTTAGCTCAGTACGCCTTACAAATAACGGCAGAAGACCCTTACCTTCTGATCCACACACGAGCAATAGAGCAAAATAGAGACTTACCATTTGAGGGCGACCCAAGTTCAATAACATCCATAAGCGCCTTACAAATGTTTTCGAGCCAGCTCAAAGGCATAGGTTCGTTGAAATCCTTCAAGGTTTCAGGTGAGATTACAAATGAGTTGCTATACGACCGACTGAGACCAAAAAGCATTCTGAATTTGTTCTCAGACAGCTCTTGTAGCAAGACGAGCAATTTTGCATGGTTTGGCTCACTAGCGGGAATCGTCGTCGCAAGCGCCTGCACAATATTAGCCACCATTCCATGGACTGCGGACCGAACAACTGAGGCACCTGCAGCTACCAACAATGTGACAATGTGGCAGACCTCGGGCAGGAAGTTAAGCACATCCTTCGTGTCGTTGAAGGATAGATTCATGCAGAATCGGACTAAAACTCCAATCTCTGTCCAAGAACTATGGTCTGTCAATTGACGCATGGGCTTTAATCCCGTCTTTGAGATTACCTTCCGGAGTCGCGATATCACTTTGCCGCTAATCGAGACAGAAGATAGCGTCACAAGTGTGTCGCCCAATTTCTCTGCCTGCACTGATCCGATACCACCCTCCATGGATTCACTAATAAATAAATCTAAAACCAGGACCACCAATGCGTCAATCTCTTCCACACGACTCCAAATAATATCCTGCATTGCTCCATAGATTTCAGGCTCATTCACAGTCATATCAATCAATCCCTTAATGATTTCACGAGTCTTTGCAAATCCAGCATGGTTATCGCTCGAGCTTCTGCAATATTTGGCTAAATTGGACAACCATGGTGATACAAATTCAAGACAGCGAGGTTTCAAAGCTTTGGGCGTCTTTTGGAAGCCAACAAAACATTCTGTCAGGAACTCGAGTGTCAAATGGCTCTCTGTTCGAGCCAGCATTTCACTCATACGGCGAATGAAAGGAGCGTTGTTCGTAGGTATACATAGCCCTTTTGCGCTCAAAAGCTGGTTACCAGTATCAAACTTGAATGTATCCGACAGCGCACAGAGTAAGTTGTATGATGCCAGACGCAATGCAGAGTCGGGGCTCGAAAGGTTGAACATGGCCATAGTGAGTAGTGTTCCAGGGACATCATTGGGACGAATAACCCGTGCGCTGTAGTTTGCGGGTTTCGAGGCCAGAAAACGCTGCTTTGTCCTAGCTATTGCTGAAATGATTTGGTCACGCTTTGGTGAAGTAAAGGTCATTGACATAGTTCCATCCTCATAAATAATAAAGAACTCGCCATCATCGCCACGGCTGTGTGCCTTAGAAATGTCATCCAGCTCACTGATATGATAGACATCATTATACTGGCAGCTCATCCCAACAAAGATTTCTTGTTTCTTTTGCATCACAACTTGAATAACTTCGTGGCCAATCTTGAAGATGACTGGAGTCGGTGGAGAACCAGGAGTGAGTTTGTTGATGCCGAGGATACCTTGGTTTCCATCAGATTCTAGAGATGTGGTGGACTTTGGTAGTCGCAATTCGGACAATGCAATATACTCGCTCAGTTCCTGCAAGTTAGATGGAAAGATAACCCGCTTGGCAACCCTGTTAGTTAGTTGACGAGAAAGTGATTTTGTGTAGCGGCGGAAGGCTGTATTGACATTGATAAAGAACAAATTGCAGAGACCAAGTGCCGTTTCCGTGGGCAAAAGCTGAAGGAACTGGCTAATGTTATGATCCGAAATTTCGTTCGAAGGGCCGAATCCGGTTACGTCCACGACCAGATCATATGCTTTGTTAGCGACAGGCTCCAACAGCTAGTTTTCATGATAAATAGTTGTTAGGTTAGAACAAAAATAATAATAATGATGATGATGAAAATAATAATAAGAAAGGCAGAGCTATTGTTCTTACCAAAAAGATACGGTACATGATGGTCTCAAGGTCGACATTGTCCAGCGACAGCTTCCGCATTACGAAGTAAAAGACAGGACGCCGTTCTTTAGAAAGCCCCCCCTCGTAAAACACACCATCTTTGAGGAGACTGTCGCTTGTGCGTCCTCTGTTCTTTCGCATAAATTCATGGTATTGATGAATGTTAGGTGCAGTGTTCAAAGTCACAGGAACCACATCTCGACGGTAACGCTCTGGAGGAGGCCCTAACTGTGCCAGCAACGTGGAGAGCGTATCAAAGGATCGCTTGGTCACCAAATACGTCTTATCTTCCTCTAGCTCTGCTGAAGTTTTCATTGTTAAATCTTTGCTCATTCTTTCCAAATTAAGCACCAGATGACGATGCAGCGAAGATCGATCACCCACATCAATCGCGCGATAATGTGCAGGATCGGTCGAAGCTGGCTCTAGTTGCTCAAGCGTCGAAATGTTTCCAAGGAATCTTGTAACCTTATGAATATTGGTTGTCAAGAAATCATTAAGGACGATCATGAAAGGCTCCTTTCCACCGAAGAGAACGTTGTTCGCCAAATTCTGAATCACTTTTGTGATTAACAAAAGCCCTCGGCGAACCTTTGCGCTTTCAATTGGCACCTGCAGCAAACCATCTGTCTCTGGAGCAACAATCGCTGGACAGATGAAACGCAAAAAGATGAATCCACCTACAGCGGTGAATTTTGCGTCAGGAAACCGCTCACCCACGGCCTGCGATAAGTACCAGCAGACCTCACGGAACGAATTTGGCACATTGGAAACAGAGTTGGTGATCGTGTCCAAGAATACTTGAGCCATATGCTTGAGGTTCTCAAAATTGACATTAACGTCCTCATCGGGCGTAATCCTGGTAGGATCCAGTTCATAAGAACCCTGTGCTGGAACGGTCCCGAACGCGTTCAATGCTGGTTGCAGTGTGCTCTTGAGGTACTCTGCTCCATTGATCTTTGCAAATACTGTCAACAGCTTTGTAGCCATACAGTTTCGACGGAATAATTCAGATTCGCTAGTCTCTCGAACTTCTTTCATGATGATGGCCTTCAACAACGGCATGGCTAGACCACGGCTTTCGAAAACATGCAATAGTACGATTGCAAGGTCATCGATTTCGGCCACAGGACAGACTTGACATAACGATAGTACTAACGTCAAGTCAGGTGAAGCGATGAGATCGATAAGCTTTTCATAACGATCCTCCATGGCACTCTCCGAGAGGACGGCAAACTCAGTGCCTTGCTTAAGAATGTTCGTCAAGACTTGCATAAAGGCTGTTCGTGTACGATCGTCTTCGTGATATCCCATTGACAATGAATAGTTCAGCCCAGTCTCGATATTAGCACTCAGCATATTAGAGAGAGCTTTGATTGTATACTCCTTAAGAGGGCCCAAATCACGAACGATTGCCTTTGACTAAAAAACAGAGATTGAATTAGAAGTAGAAATAGAAGTGGAATTAGAATTAGGATTCTTCAGTCCGACTTTCAAAGAATTATTTCTTTTTATATGCTCATTACCTTCGCAAAGAGCAATGCCAAATCCTCATTGTTCTGCCTATGATAGGAGGGTCCAGATTCAATATACTCCAGGACGCGACAACGGTTGAGAAGCTTGAGGAAGAAATTGAAGTATCTATAAAAAATGGCGGATCGGATCTGGGTCATATCTGTATCATGTGTTGTCTCGTATGGTTGCAGAGGCAGCTCGAATAGTAACGCAACGATGGACTTCATACAAGCGAGATCCAAATCACGATAGAGACGTCCATTATTAGCAGGATCGTCTTTCTCTTCGACATACGAGGGCATTTCCGTAGGCTGTAGTATTGAGGGGGGGGGGAGAAAGTACATAAACAAATTAATAAACAAATAAATAATGAGTCCAGAAGAATTAGAAAGGATATCAACAAACGCTTAATACATATACTTACCAAAGAAAAGTCAGATGTCCATTCAATCATAACCTCAACCATCTTATTTCGAAGACGGATCTCCTGACGAAGACTTATATACTCCTTCTTCTGCATGAGTGTTTCACATAACTGGCACATCTTGATCTTAACGCGCAGGCCATTTAAACTGTGTCCAAGACGATGAAGATAACGAGCAAAGTATAAGACAAGTGCGCCAAAGTCGACAGAAAAGATGGCGTCGGATGGTGAAGACATGCGGTCCAAAACCAGCTTGAGCACAGAGATGGCCTGGTCAACAAACATAGTATACTGATCAGTACACAGAGGCTCGCCATGGCTGTCAAAGAAGCGTGACACTACATAAATTAGCTGCTTGAATAGAACTGGATACAGTGCCGGTGAGAGTTCAGATCCCAATGTCTGTTTGACAACATCGCGGACAAAGACTTGCTCATTCACAAGCAATTGAACCATGTCAAGCATGTAACGTTCCACACTTGTCTGTGTTTTCTTAGTTTCTTTGGCATTCGAACGACGGAAATTTTCGCCTGTGTTCCTTGGTGCGCCGGTTGATGGCAAAGAAGCTCCAGCAAGGGCTGCAAGGAACCCTGTGAAGTTTTGCCATTCAGTATTGCGTGAATCTGTTGGATCAATGACAAAGCCTCCTTTGGGTGGAGGTGGAAGAGCCGTTGAGCGTTTGGCGTTTCGGTTCTTCTCAAATGGCTCCATATTCTCGTAGAATGCAATCTCATCTTTAGTCCAGAACACAGTGATGTTCCTCCAGCGTTTATAAGCTTCCTCCCAAGCACCCAAGTTTCCAGGAGTCGGTTGAGAAATTTGTCGAATAATCCTACGCAAACGCTTCTGTTGCGACATTCGACCTGCGACTACCGCACTAGGAGCTGATAGTTCCATATAAACATTGATGTTTTCCAACAACGAAAGCTGTCCAGTGCTGGGATTATCAATTTCTTGGGTAATAACAGTTTCCTCACACAATAGACTGATGCAGTTCATAGCCATTGTACATATATCTTGATCTGGTGCGCAAATGAGAATTAAAAGGGTAATCTCGAGTGCCACACTCGTTGCAAACCGCATCGGAATATCGTGACATGCGATCGCAAGGTCCTGTTTTTTATATAAAATAAAAATAAAAATAAAAAATAAAAAAAATTAAATAAAATAATGATTGAAGACAGTAAAAGCGAGAAAAAAAAAAAAAAAAAAAAAAAAAAAAAAGACTAACCTGATGATCCTTTAAGAAGATATTTCGGCGTGACATGAGCTGCTGTAATAGCTCAAGAAGGAAACGCGATTTTTCATCTGTACACTTGAGCTCCAATAACTTGCGCCCGATTGAAAGAATGACATCGCAGCTCAAGTTCCAAAACGTAGCCATCAGATTGGCACCTGACCCCCAGCGCTCAATGATCCTAGAATCAAAGAGCTGCAGCAGTACTTCACCTGCTGTTGTACAGATCCCGATGTGTGTGTCATTGAGGCAGAGTAAGAGTCCCTTAAAGAGTTGGTAAATCTCTTCTTCGACAGTATCAGGAGTTTCAGTCTATTTTAATTCAAAGCAACATAAATAAATATTGCCAGCATAGACGACAAGATGTTCGGATGACTAGAAACTTATAAATATACAACATTGAACGAAATACGGTGTACACTTACAGCTACTGCTAGCGCGGGATCGATCTGATACATCTTCAAAAGATAGATGATAAGCTCCTGCTTATCCCTAGCGATATCTACCATCTGTTTCTTAAGTTTTCTGTCGATGAGGATCTTCTTATTAATAATATCTGCAGCCCTCTCGCGAACAACATTGTCGGCAAACATTTTACGTAGTGGTGCTCCGAGCGCTGATGTAGCAGGCTGGATGGAAGGATTCCAAGGCAATCTATCTTCTTCGGATGCTATTGTGTAAAAAGACTGAACCAAAACCAATTTAAAAGCGATCGGTGCTCTATCACTGGATAGTTCAGGGATTAAAGAATGAATCACATGACGCGGGTTTAGACGATAGAGTGCCGTTAAGCATGCTGACATGGTTGCTTTGTCGGTAGTACCGTCTGCATCTAAATATGGCTTCGAGGGAGTAAAGAGCAGCTCCTATAATTGTACCATATCAGCAAAAAAAAAAAAAGGTTAAAAAAGAATTCACTATTCTCTTCGTGTGAGAATATTCGTGTGAAATAAAAAGTACCTTAAGCTCATTCTCAATCTCTGGTACAATGTGGCGCAGTGCAGAAGTATCATGCTTAGAGACGTACGTTGATGCTTTACAAACATCGACGTAGCAAAGCCCTGCAATCTCCATAAGACTCTTATTACGCAGCGATTTTTTAAGAGCTTCAAGGAACTGGGCCTTCTTTGACATGTTATTCCTGCTGTCATTCATTGCTGCATTCAAGAGAATGTCGGGACACAAAATAAGTAGCATAGTTTGCAAAGGCCAGAAATGTATTCTACGTCTGTTATCTGTTGCGAGAGCATGGCAGATATCGAATAGAATGTGAGGTTCTCCCTCCATACGCTTCTGCGTCTGACAGAGATGTACAAATTCTGAAGGAAAAACCTCGATCCAATTCCAAATGGCCTTATGAAGAACTTGGCCCATGACCGATTGCGCCGACCTTTTAAGGTGCAGGAATGTCGAGCGCAATTCTGAAGATACATATCAAAGAATAAACCAACAGTGAGATCGATAATCCATAATAACACTTTAATGAATATACCAATAAGCATATTCGCAACTATGCATCATATTAAAACATACCTGTCAAGACCTGACCGAGCCTCCGCTGGTTTAGGCTGGCCGTCTCCAACAACTTGAGCTCTGCAGTCTCAGGCCAGTCGTCATTTGTGGTTGTAAGGTGTTGGATCCTAGCCTTGAGACGAGCAAAGACAATAGGCCAGTTTGAAGCACTAATATAGAATAGGACCCTGCCAGCAGTCTTATAGATCTCATTTGATAGTTCGACATCCTGGAAGTTTGTTGTATTGACAGATGCAGTGGCCGGCGCACTGTCGGGTTCCGTTGCTTTTTTCTTGTTGGCGCTGTTGTTCGTCATAGTCTCTGACTTTGTGTCTGGATCCTCGACAGTTGGGGCATCATGTAAGAATCGGGTCAAAACACTCAGAATATACTTGGCGAGCGCGTCTTCTAATGGCGGAGGATCACTATGACGAGCTGCCGCTTCGGCTGTAATAGAGGATACCGACGCTTCCGTAGATGAGCCATTATTGAATATGCCGTCGCGTACTGTGGCGTCTTCAGATTCTTGTTCGCTTTGTTCTCTTAGGCGCTGCGTAAGCTGATCTCTATGTGCTTTCCACTGAGCCTCCATGCATTGCGACAGAATCCTGAGCACAAACAATTGCGATTGCATCACATCGTATGGCACAACATCTTCGAGGACTGTGCCATTTTGCTATCAAGTATATGATAATACATGAGTAAAAATAGGTCAATTAATCAGCACAATCGCATGATATATATTAGGTTGAAATGCACGAGTTCCATCACTCAATTGAGGAAATTGAAATCAATTCAGAGTTGACAGTCCATTAACCAAATACTTTTTTTTTTTTGTTTCTCTCAAACAGCGTTATTCCGAAGTCAGCACTACTTTTGGCAGTGCTGTGAGAGCTACAGAATACATATTGAAGGTGTCGCCGCAAAGCAGAGAGCAATTGAGGATAGGAAGTGTATTAATGGTGCACTCTAGCAGTAAGCCCATGTAAATAAGGGAGCCCTCCCCTTCTTCACATCGCCTTGTCTCGGCCCTCGACCTGCACATTCCTAAACCAAAATCTTTGACCTGTGATTTTGATACCCCAGAGTCTTGCCTTTCTTTAGAATACTACAGTAGTAATTGAAAAGTGATACATACCTTGGAGATACTCTCAAGCTGATTAACAAGTTGGCGGCAGATGAGGCCCAGACGATATCGTGAGAGCTCGACCAGAGAGACTATCCATTGCTGGATGAGAGGGTCCATTTCTATGCTCTCGAGTGGCCGTCCATTGTAAGGGAGCTGAAAAAAAAAAAAGTATGGGCGAAAGGAAGACCAGAATGGTAGTTAGTGTCATCTGCTGTGAACTGTCACAAAGTATTGAAATCGTACTTGGTTCATTGTCGCCATGTTAGTACTTTTAAAAGTATTTAATCGCGATTAAGGCATATTGAACATTGGTTTGAAAAATGTATAGAAATCTAAATGATGGATGCTTATTGTGATAAATTTGGGATTATATTGTTTTCTCCATGGACATGATGGAATAAACATTACCTTGGACATGATTCTGCCGATGAGCGACACAACCAATTTCGCCTCTGTATTCATCATATCAATGGCCAAGGAAGACGGGGGGGGTGGAAGAGATGAAAAAGGTGATGGGAATGGGATGTCCCAAGTTTAAGAAGGATGCAACTGACAAGGAAGCGTAATGATAACAATAATAACAATAATATTAAATGATTAAAGGAATCAATGAGAATGAAAGGATGAAGAGGCAAATGAGGAGTGCTAATGATAAAGATGATGAAAATGACTGATGATTGATGATTTTTATGATGAGGGAAAGAGTTGTAGCGGAAGAAAGAAGGGAGGATGAAGGAAGGGAAAGGAGGGAAGGATGATGGCTGGTGGAAGATGGACAATAATAGTGAAAGAAAGAAAGGAAGAGAGGAGAGAGAAGCAAAAAAAGAAAGAGAGAGAGAGAGAGAAGGTTACAAAGTTACCAACAAGGGACTTGTACACGCAGGTGCATAACAAATAAAGCCCTTCATTAATGGAGAGATGCATGTATCTACTTTTTCCTCTCTCGCTCTATGAACCATTCTTGAAGAGCAAGACCGGGACTCTTAAGAAGAATAAGAAGAAGAAGAAAAGAAGGAGAGAGAAAAGCATTGAAAGCATCTTTAGATAACCATCCTGGATACTCTTCACCATCCTGGTCACCCCTCTTTTTGTCCCAAACCCCTTTCTTTTAATTAAACATGCTACAAACAGATTCAGGTATTTGTGTTCTAAAAAAAGGTCTAGAACTGATTATAAAAAAAAAACCTACTGCACAAAACACACGTGGCATTGAATATCCAAGGGTCTCTCTGCACGCACCCTTTTTTTTATTAAAAAAAAAAAAAAAAAAAAAAAAAAAAGCGTCAACCAAGTCTCTTTCTCCTATCTATCTATCTCACTTCACCACTTGCTAGTTTGCTCTTCTTACTCCCCATTCGTTCGCTGCCCACTCTGGTATAACGCTCCTGTATCCTAAAATCTAGACAAAACCTAGACTCCTCGACAACAATCATAGACACCCTCACTATCTGGATTGACTCCAGTTCCTACATCCATTACTGTCCTTAAATTGCGGAAGAGAATGTTTGCACTCATTAAGCCACTAATGTCAGGCTTCCCCTTCCGCTAAAGTAACAACATATTCTCATCATGCTAGAAATACTCCACAATCCGCCTTGAGCCCTGTGTTATGTAGCTCAAGCTCTGGTCTATCCTCCAATTCACTATCCTATTCCTCACCAGGTCTCAACTGAGATAGCAACTTCAGTCCTTGATGATGAACATGGGATACTACGGTACCGTAGTCCATGCACAAAGAGCCTGACAAGGCGCACTAAGGCAGTGGTTATAAAATATGAAGTAAAGATATCAAACAAACCGAAATTCGTGGTTAAACCTGGGGAGTAAGTGAGGCGCATCTGAGTATACATATTTATATATTTTCTAGAGGCTAACTTGGAAAAAATAATGACCCAAAGTCAAATGCCAAGGAACGAAAAAAAAAAAAAAAAAAAAAAAAAAAGAAAGTTGGAGAGCAAAGAGACGTGTTTTTTCCTTTTTCGCTTGCTCAGAATGCGCGTCCATTTTCTCCTTTTTCGGACACACCCAACCTCGTTTGAAAAAAATAAAATAAAATAAAATCCTGCTGGTTTTTTTTTTCCTCTCCTTTTTCATCACACAATAGCAACCACGTCTTCCTCTTTTAAAATTATACTTGACCCTCATCACAATTTTAAAGAAATGTCTATCACCGGTTCTCACGCCCTTGGCCTTGGACTCACAGGCCCGCTGGTCTTTAATATCCTTACAGCTCCTGCTGATCGTATCAAACTGCTTCTGCAAGTCCAGGATGAAATCATCCATAACTTGCGTGAGGAGTCTTTAAACGTACACACACACCTTCATCCTAATTCTCACTGTAATAATAACAGTAAAAGCAACAATGATAATGTAGCTGTAGATTCAATACACTCTAACCTTCCGTCGGATGAAGTAATGGACCAGATGCTATCACTTAACGTCTCGAGCCCTTATCAAAGAATAAACAACAAGGAGGATAATGGCTACATTGAACAAGAGGGGCAAGGCGATGAGGAGAACAACGAGCCACGGTCCATTATCATGCCCTATGCTCAATTGCCCTATACAAGCATACAAGACTGTGCCGAGCGCCTGGTTGAGAAAGAAGGTCTACGGTCGCTCTGGCGAGGCTGTAGCGCTGAGGGTGCTCGGCTCATCATTCAGACAAAGATAGAGGCCTGTCTTCAACGTAATCAATTTGGCTTTCACAGATGTCTCTCTCACTGCAATACAACGACTTATGGTGGCAGTGCTGCTTGGATTCTAGGAACAGCTATCAATGGCACTATAGTGAGCGCAGTGGCTCTTCTTGCAGTCTACCCACTAGCAGTCTTACGAACCAAAATGGCAACTGATATAGTCAGACGGACAAAGTCAATCAAAGAGAAGCCTTCTCAAGGCTGCACGGCGTTCTTGGGTGCTGATGACACTAGGATACCCTCTGCTTGCAACAATAATTTGGAATTGTTTTCAACAGCGCCATCAACCTCATCAACATCAACAAACTCGCCTCTTTCTACTCTTGATCTCGAAGAAATAGAATGGGTCGAAGAGGGCTCTCAGCAAGCACAGGAGATGTTAAAAGGCTCGACTCCGGATCTCAATATTGTCAATTCCATCACCTCTGCCACCACTATTGCATCAAACCAAGGTCGTGAATATGTTCTCTCATATAAGTACTCAAGTCTTTGCGAGGCAATTCAGGTGACCATTTCAACAGAAGGCTTTTTTGGACTCTACAAAGGATTCTCTACAGCCCTTGTCAACATATTTGTATCGCGCGTTGGGTTCTTGACTATCTACCGCACAGCGATGCCAGCACTTCTTCAGTCCAAGAACTCATCACATTTAGGCTCATTACTCTTAATGTTGAGTGTATCATCCATCATCCATTTGATGGTTTATCCGTTGAGCACCGTTTGTCATCGTAGGATGATTGCCGCCCCCGGCCGCTTTTCCAGCTCGTGGGATGCAGTGAAACAAATTGTGAAAAAGCATGGATGGAAGGCCCTCTACAAAGGATGTGAGGCTGCCATAGTACGAAGTGCTGCCATAAGTATTCTGGCCAGCTTTTTTCTTTAAATCTACTGCTAATAAACCTTGCTCATGTCTAAATCACAATCCGTACAATAAATGGATAATCAATAAAGCGCTATGCCCTGATTCAATGTACCGGTTGTGCCTCTATTGAAGGATTGAAGCAGCGCGATCATCCTTGCTTAAGACCTGCTAATGAGCCTGCTGAGCCTTGATTCTAATTGGCTGCATATGAAGGACATATTGTCTATTCATGATTAAAGACAGCAAAGTGGCCCGTGTGAACATGTTTCTCTCTCGACTCAACTTCTACATCCTGTTAGAACAGTAGAAATTAGTCGATATCCCTTGAAGATAGTGATACGCTGTAGTCCTCCCTTGGGAGACTGGGAAGCTTGAGGCTGAACGGTAATAAGGGCCGCTCGATCTCAGAGATCGATAGCGCTTCGAAATATGATGCTAAAATTATGTCTGCTCATCCTCTGGCCCAGGTTTGAGGAGTTATAGTCTCACCGATGCCTACTCGCAGCTGCCTCGTTTCCATTTGCTCCAACCTGCATCGACAGGGTATTGAGAGCAACTAAAGAGTAGGTCGTCTGAGAATTGTGGCTTAACTCGGGTTCTTAGGTCCTTGCCGCTGGGAGAGTTGGAAATAATACCTTCGGGATCTCCATCGATCATAATCGCGCCCTGAAAACTGTAGCCGAATGCTTCTTGTTCGATATCTCGCCTGATAACGCCTTGGTGATATTCTACATGCCGATGTTTGCTTTACTTGGGCAGTATGACCTACCTATCGTGCTCAGTTGCATGTACTCGAATACTGTGAATCCAGATCATTGTTAAAATAGCGAAGATTGCCAGGCAAAAAAAAAAAATCTAGGACGGCAGGGATTGAATACTTTTTGAAGATTGTATTCTGCTGGTATTGATACTCGTTACAGAGCTTCGACTCACACCGCTTGAGCCATTGGAAGGCGTAGGTATCTTCGGTGTTAACATTCATCATTCTTTTTTCTCTTCTAGCCGCTTTCTATTGTAATAGGACGTAGTCTGCCTTCATTTGCCGTTTTAGTCCATCCTACAAGTACTAGATACTTGATAGCAGCTTTTAGTGGTTTCTGGATTTGCTCTATATTGATTGAAATTAAAAAAAAAAAAAAAAAAAAAAAAAAAAAAAAAAAGAGAGACTGGTCTTGTTGAATCTATCCAAGGTCGACTGCGCTGGCTTCGTGTGTTGCAAAATAAAAGATGATTGGACTACAAAGAAATATGCAAGTAAATGCTTTTTTTTTAATCTATTACCTGGCTCCTGCTTGACTCTCAAAGTAATAATCTTCAAAACCTTGCCGCATTTAGGATAAGCCATCAGAACGCGTCTCTTCTGGACTGTGAATCCTTATAGGTCATGATACAAGGGCTAGACGCTGAGCAAGTATGTGTGATCAAAACAGGCAAGTTGGTACTCAACTACAATAGTACCAAGGCAGGAAGATACGATCACGGAAGAACCAAATTGCAAACGACAACATGACATATAGTGTATCCATAAGCGGCTATGGCTCGAACTTCACCGAGCATTTGAAGCATTAGGACAAATGGAATGTAATTCAGCAATGATATAACAACGATGTGCTCCTCAAAAAGACCAAATGGCACACCTCGCATATCCGAGACGAGGAGTGCAGGCAAATGGAATACCGTCTTCTTAAAATACTTGGTGAGGCTAACGAGGCAAAGCAAGAGGTGGCCAACGGAGCCATAATTGGTGCTGGTGTAGGAGGCCCCAAAGGCGGGGCTTTCGCCATTTTACGATCGTCCTCAACCATATTTGTTCGATTTATAGGTATAGCCTTTTATATTTATATATTCATTAGCTTTTACGAATTGAATCTTTTAAAAATAATATTGACTATCTCTTCAATGAGCGTAGGTGAGGTCACTTGGCTACATTGCTACGGATGTGATTGAATATCATACATCAAGGAAATGCTCTCACTTACTAGGGATTTATATCAAGTTAAGGTCCATCGTTTGTATTGTTTAAATTGTAAGGATTACATCCACCGGGATATCATGGTTTATCATAACGTTCATGATATATGGGGTGTCGCTCAAGAGCGTTTACGACTTCAATATGCCGCTTTTTCAAAGAACGCAAGCGAGTTACACCTTTAAATGAAAGCACAATATGTAGATCAAGTAAGGCCAGTTAATCAAGTGCAAAAAGTCTTCAAATCAAGGGAGTTGCAGGAGTCAAGTGAAATTTATCTGTGGAAGGGTCAATTATTAAGAGACCACACGTAATCTTAGGGGATGTTTTATTTTCTAATTTTTGTGTCGATTCCCCACTTGAGGTACGTTCTGGATTTAGCGAGTTTTGAGCAGCATCCATCGACCTTTTCTACAGCTTTATTAAACAACATAATGAATGGTCGTCAACCGATGATTTTTGGGCTGAATTACTTGGCTCTACCACAGCGTTCGCTTTCTCCTTCTACGAGTTTCCATGCAGGTCCAAACAGAAACGCCTCTTCCAACTGATCAAGCTCTTTACCAACTTGGCATAATTGATCCAATATCTGAGATTTTTTACAGTCGTCTCCTTGACTGTGGTTGTCAAATTCATGAGTATCTATCTTTCTTACAGCGTGAGCATGCGTACGTTGTGCGGCTGGGATGTCGAAAAAGGGGCCAATGCTTAGCCTTTTCAGCTGTGGGTTAGGAAAAGTATCGTCCCGTCCCCCAAGAGATGTATAACCGAGATCATAAAGCCCACAATATGGAATATTGATTGCTCTGAGGAAAGTCCAGATGTCATGGTATGTCCAGTCCAATATAGGATGGATTCTCATAAATGGAGGCCATGATGGGTCTGTCGGTGTGAAAGCTTTCAAAGGTCCTACATAGATCATGATAAGGGGATTGTCAAATGAAATTCGGATCCGATACTGCAATATGTGAGTAATAGGTATGTGTATAAAGTAGTGTCCCTCTTACCTCCATGAGGATCATCACGTCGTGTTCCGACCATGATGGCCTCAATCTCTCCTTTTAATTCATGATATTCTTCCAATGCCCTCTTCATTGGGCCAGCTATCCTGACAAGATCCAGATTGTACCGTTCAACTTCATCATCAACAAATCGCTCTACTTGACCAAAGGGGTTCTTGTGAGTGACATAGATGGAAGGGATGGGAGAGTGAAGCTGGATCCGAGTGGAGGCATCTGGCAATGATGACTGAACAGGGCTTTGACTCATCTGGGCTCCTTGCACTTTGTACAAGACGGCTATATAAAGATGAAGTATGACAGTGCAATCCTTGCCACCATTGAACGACAGTGAGATGCTCTGAGGTCTATTGTAATGAAGTATAGCAATTAATCTATGCTCATTACACTAGAGCATTGAACGACGTCGAGTTGACAACCTACCCATATAACCTCAAAGCTTCTTCGATAACCTGTACTGCATGGCGGACACTTTTCCAACACTGGTAATCCCGCTCGCGCATCAATTCAGACTCCGAAGACAGGGATGGTGATATTGCGAAGGTATCTTGTGTAGGTGTCACTGTTGTGCTCATTTGTCCCTCGATCGAACTATGCTCGTGAGGCTGCCTTTTGTCCTGCTCATCAGCGAGGGATACAAGGCGGTATACGTCCTTCATCACCTGAAAACCATCGATTGCAGACACAAACGATGGTCGACTTGTATAGAGGACATTCAAGACCGAGGCAAGATAGTCAGGAAGCTCTGCGCAAGACTGGAGAGGCTGAATCAAGGTATGGACATTATGCACTGAGACAACCGGCTGCAATAATGAGATGCCTGGGATTTGGATGTAATGAATCTCACTTTTGCAGGGTATGCGACCGGCGTACAGTTGCTTTGAGAAAGAGCTATTGTTTACTGCTAAGGTGTCTGTGGTGGTCGCCTTGTTGTTTGTATCATGCTGCTGTTGCTGGCACTCGAATTGAAATTCTGCTCTACAAGGGCAGTGGGTCATGCTGCTGTCCCTAGTACTCCACAGATCTTGACCAAATGCATCTGCAATGGCCCCAAGAACCAATTCCTGTCGCTCAATGACAGAATCCTCTTTAAATTCTTGTGTAGAATGCCCCAGCAGTACGACGAAAACAAGTGAGCATTCTCGTGAGAACTCTGCGGTTGCGCGGGTGATATCAAGGACTGAAGAAGCAGTGGTGGAGTGTGTAAGAACGAAATTTGAAGGGAAATGCTGTGAAGAACTAATGAGAGCCGTGCTTGACGGAAGCGTAGAAGTTGCAACTATATCAATGGGGAATTATGCAGTGACGCTGATAAGTTTCCGAGGTATATGTGTACGTTTGAAAACTACCATTCATCAACACTTTAGCATTACCGATAAGTCCGACAGTCTCTGGCTCAGGGTTTCCTCCGGTAAAAAGGTTCTGAGACATGGTAATAGTCATGGTAGTCGCGATTCATAATTTGATTATGAGGAAAAAGACTAGAAATCAGATTCGTAATGAAAGCAAATTATCCACGTGACTATTCTTTCGAGCAACTTTGGTGATGGATCGTGGCAATCATCTTCACCATTTTCACATTCTATGACCCAATTCTCAGCTTGAAAGAGAGACCAATAGAAGAACAGAAGCTTGAATTTGCAGCGGAATATACATTACTCTTTATATCGAGGAATCAATAATAACTTATAGCACCAACATCATCTAGCTTCAATCGCTTCTCACCGCAAGGCTCATACCATCATGTCGGTCCTCTTTGGTCAAGATAATCCATATTACGACCAACAGTCAAATCTAAATCCTGACAATTTGCAATTCTATCAGAGTCAATATCCAGATCCCTCCAATGGCGCCTATGGTGGGGCACATACACAACAACGTTCTTCCTCGTTCCCTAGCAATACGATGTCGCCAGCACCAGACCTAGCCTATGGTGGATATAATGCGGCCATTCCTGGGGGACAAATGAACTCTCAGTCGGTCAGCTGGCTTGCTGCCTTCGGTGCTGGTGGCCTGGAAGGCGAACCACCACTTCTAGAAGGTGAGTGGTTTATGTTTGGCACGTTTACTTGCAATACATTCTAAAGGGTCGCCTACGAGAGAGAAGTTATTGATAAAAGATCCTCTCTAATTTTGAATCATCTGTAGAACTTGGAATTAACTTTAGTCATATTAAAACAAAGTCCTTCACGGTTCTTAACCCATTACGTCCTGTCGATCGCAATATTATGGATGATACGGACCTTGCAGGACCACTTTTGTTTTGTCTTGCATTTGGAACATTTTTGTTATTGGTAAGCACAAGCCCAACATTTATACGTTGGAAACACTAATTCCGATGGCCATGTTTGTAATGGAAATCAATCAGGATACAACAACAACCATTAAAACACTATTCTTGACATTGGTCATTTTAGTCCGGAAAGCAGCACTTCGGGTATGTTTATGGTGTTGCAGTTGTAGGATGTTCAGCCCTCTATATCATTTTGAACCTGATGTCGCCACAGGGCGTAGATATTCCCAAGACAGCAAGCGTTCTAGGATATTGCATGTTACCCTTAGTCATGCTGAGTAGCTTGAGCACTCTGTTTGTCTTGAAGTAAGTCTTCGTCTACTTTACATGATGTCTCTGTTCGTCGTATATGCAACTGATGGTTCTAAACATTTTTATTGCACAAACCATGTTATTCAGCGGAGGTTTAGGCTATATTTTGTCAGTACTTGCTATTGTGTGGTGCACATACTCGTCATCTGGATTTTTCACGGCTGTACTCGGCATGAACGATCAGCGTTTCTTGGTAGCCTACCCTGTTGGTCTTTTCTATGGTTGCTTTGCCCTTATGACCGTGTTCTAAGTACCACAGCCTTTTAATATAATAATAAACTGAATCACCAAGTCATGGTATCTAAGTCACTTGTTCATTATCATGGCGAAATGCTCATTTGACTATCTGTTTTATTAATATTGATCTTGAATGTTAATGAAACAGGGACTAAAGGGGTTGCCACGAGCACTCCTCAGTTACTTCATTACCTCCGGTTTGAAAGCTTTGGCAAATGTAAAAATAAAAATTATAGAATATGTAAGTCACATGTAAAGGCGCTTCTAATAGTGCTTTTACTTAATCCTGTCCATCATTCCCATCCAACATGCGTTTGCAACACTTCTGCATGGGCTCCGCGAAGACCCAGGACTTGCTGGTATCAAGGACATGTACGTAATGTAAGCCACGTCCTTTATTATCTTGGGATGGAATAGTCCGCAAGACCAAAAGGTTTTAGTGCTCTAAGTCACCATTAGAAACTTCAACTAATAGTTGCAGCAGATACTCATGTTCAGAAAGTCTGGTCCACGTTTTTGGACCTCTGGCGAAACGAGCACCGCTTGGCAACACTCCATACAGCGTCGTCCACAACATCGGATTTAACTCCGGAAAATACACCAACGAGAGGGATAAGGGGAAATGTTGGCAAGATAAAAGGCCAAAAGACTAGCAGCGGATTTGAGTTACAAGTAGCAACGTCGTTTGTAAAAGGAGAACAGCAAAAACAAGGCAATTACTATCTTAACCAGCCGCTCTATTCACGATACTGTTGCTACATCTATTATACAACTGAAGACCTATTACTCGTAGCATGCTGTCCTTTGCCACATACACCGTCCACATCTTCTATGACCATCACAAGTATTCCAGCACTACTACCGGGTCAAGGGCAATCGACAACAAAAGTTAACGCGAGCATAAATGATTTAACTACTTCAACTCAATTAATACCACGTACCGATGACACACAAACTCACCAGAATCGACCGGAGCTAGCCTTCTCAACTGCAGCGAGACTACAACTGTCACTTCATGGAACAATTGAGTTTTTGAGTCAATTGGTAAAAACTCTCGAGCGCCTGCTATTAACCGACAGTAATAACCATAGCAACCTTTCTAGAGCTACAATGCAGCCTTATATAAAAGTGGAACCAGCAATTTCTTCAACTGGCCATCGAAAACTTACGGCTGAAGTCGTGCAGTTGAATACAGGAATAGTGTATGAGATATTGGACGAATGTCTGGTACGTTAAATGACTGCAGCATCCTTAATTACAACTATTAATCCAAAAAAAAAAAAAAAAAAAAAAAAAAAAAAGCTTTTTCTCACTGTTGTTAATTTTATCTTAAATGATAGGATCAGGGCTACCCGATGATGCCTAGCCTAACGCAACTTGATCTTCTCGTGTTTGGAATGGCAAGGAACTATTGATGTTGTATTCTAAGCATATTATTGTTAATAAAAGGAATTTATTTAGACCCACTAACGCAGCCCTGATTGCAAACTATTAAGTTACCAAGAAGCAATGTGAAAGTCCATCGGTACGGCCTGTATGTATCCCATCTATTCTACTAAAAAAAAAAAAAAAAAAAAAAAAAAAAAAATAACAACATATTAGAATCCATTGGAACACATCCTTGCAACAAAAACCTATTCGTTTTGAGTGGAATAGGAGTAAGTTTACTATTGATTCAACGGGTTTCCTAACGGGGCAACCCACCACTTCATGAGTGCGTGCGATGACTAGCATAGCATGTGGTAGCGTATCCTGACATAGAATCGGCTTTATTGGCTGCATGGACAACCATCTCTGCTGATTTTATTTAATATGGCCATTCTAATTCAAAGAAATAAGTACTGAGAGCAAGGGAATGTTTAAGAAAATATGTTCTTCACGGCAAGGGCGCTGCTGCTCAGCATATAAAGATCCACCAATTAGCAGATACTACTTTGCCTATTCACACAGCTGCAGGTTACGAGATATAAGAGTTTGCAAATGAGAAATCATATCACGGACATAACAGACATGAAGAATGAGGTCCTTTATTTATTTATTAAATCAATGATCTATTACATACGCTCAGGAAGTCCAACAACTCCTGTGCTATCAATTTTGAATCGGCACTTTCCAGTACTTCCAGCACCCGCGTTTTTGATGCTAGGGGCCCATGGAGAAAAAACTACAGACATGGTTCGATGTGGTTCACGTATCACAGAACTTGAAGAAGGATATACTGTTGATTCATCTTCTGCATATTCCAATCTTCTCGAGCGCTGCAAAATCACTCTTGCATTGATCATGCTCTCCCAGACATGTCCTAAAGCCGGCTTCTTGCGTTTCGTTGGATCATCCAACGTATTGAAAACAGACAACTCAGATTCCTCGGGACCAAACACGTCCGTCACCTGGTTCACACAAATTACTGCCAAACCATAGTTGTCCGCCAGGGTTCGGAGACGTAGACCAATCTCACAAAGATCGGTACTCCGCTGAAGAATACTGGACCTAAACCCCGAGCTTTGCTGCGGTCTTTGGCCTTCTGCCGTCCCATCATTTAATGGAATCGTAAGCTCACTTCTAAAGTTGTTAGTGATCGAATCAACAATAACAAGCTTCACAGCCTTCCTCCTAAGAGATGGATGCCTATCTTCTGTGTCATCGCCCTCATTTGTTACGGGGTCATGCTGAGTCTGCTGTGTTGCTGTTATCTGAGTTGCTTCTTCTGCTTCTTTATTAGCAGACACATGAGAGTCATGGATAAGGATCGGCAGTTGGTAGTTAATAATATGCATCTGGGTCTCCTGATCAGCCATTGATTCAAAATATACGTTGTCCCGCAGTTCCTCTACACTCATTTCTGGTAGAACTTCCTTGTGTCTTGCCACGAAATACCCAATCATCGATTCTAATCTGGTGTAAGGAAACTTCCCTTCTGTTGAAAGCCATACTGCAGCTAATCGTTCCAATAGGAGAGGGGCAAGACGTTATAGATCAATCAGATTTTTGCTGATTACATTTTATTTAGCCATGCCCACATCCTTCCGTTATACTTACAACCATCAAGCCCACCTAGTTCATAAGGGAGTTGCACCATGAGACAAAGTTGAAGACAAAGCTGGGTCTTTCCTACAGAGCTATTAATCAAAATGTCATAGATAGTTTATTAAGGCCCTATTCATGCATACTCTTTCTTTTATATACAGATATACGCAATGTTCTTTAATACAAAGATTGGACAGACCTTTCACCAGCAACTTCTGTAATCCCACGGGTCATGATCCCAGGCCCCCCCAGAGCCGCATCTAGTAATGGATCTCCAAGAGACAGAAAGAACTCTTCTTGCAGTAGATTTAAAGCGGTTCCGTATGCAATTCCTCCAAGAAAGACATGGGCACATGCCTCATCATAAGCCAAAGTAATCTCTTGCGGCGTCAATGTTAACAGACGATCGTAGCGGATGACGTTGATCCCTTTACGGGGCTGATGCCGCTTGAACCGAGTTGAGGGTATTCTGTCAACTAGACTTGGTGGTGTATACAGCAATAAATCCTCCAAGGTATCCAAAGAAGCTGGCGGAAAAGCCAAGCGTTAATTTATTTTCCAATAAAGCGTAGTTTCTCTACCATCATTTAAATGATTTTCAATTTACTACCTTCAATCAAAGTTTCTTTGATGTGTGAAGGAATCTCCAAGATGCTGATGGATGTCATTTGTCCTTGTCAAAAGAACCACAGGTAGACCATTGGTTATTTATCACGTGTAAAGTACAAGGCTCCATATCCCAGACTCTTTAATAAACCTTTGGTTATTGATAATGGACTAACCAAAGATAGTATCCGTATGAGTCTCCACGCCCTTTCTTCGCCAATGGAAAGTTGTTAATTCAAGGGCAACTTTCACGCTGCTTTCAAACAGGCTGCACTATGTAGTACGCCCATACAATTCTGATTTATCAAGGAATGAGATATGATTTTGCGGTTGTCCACCAAGCAAGCTGTATCCATGTACAAAGCCATTTTGCACAAGCCCACTGTGATCTCTCCTCTCAAATCTATTGATTCTGTCATTCACCGCTTCAACATCTTAGACACTCTTCTCTTTATTCAGCTAGGCGATTGAAAGCAAATTCTGAATTCTTACCTGATTTCTTTTTTTACTTTCGTACTTGAACTTACGATATGGTTCTAACACGCTCGAAATCAAATTCACAGGGCACTACTGCTGCTGCTCCAGCGCCAGCCAAAGCTATTTCTCCAGCAAAGCGTAAAGGTCAAACATCGGCTACACCTGCCTCCAAGGCAACGAAGACGGAGAAGGCTTCGGATATCAGTGCTATCAAGAATAAAACAGCCGAAGCCACGGCCACGAATTCTACAGAGACCCCTGCAATTGTAGCAGCAGAAAACAACACTGCTAACCCAATTCAAGCTGAAGCTCCTGCTACTACGGAGACATTAACTTCAGTTGATACAGCAGCAACAGGGCCTGCTACGTTGGATATGCTAGAAGCATCAGCGCCTCCTGCCCCTACTGCTCCTACTGCTGCGACCATTCCGGCCCCCGTGGATGTCCCGGTGCTGTCCTCTACAGCACCAGTAGTTGTCTCGACAGAAGAACCCACTGTTCATGATGGAGCCGCCAAGCCCAGCACTCTTCGCCCCTATGATGCGGTCGTTTCTGATATTGAGGGCACTACTTGTCCTATTGCCTTTGTCAAAGAGAGTTTGGTAAGATTAATATTCAGTGTCAATCTACGTTTGTCCTAGAAAAAATTGCGCGTAAAAAAAATCTAATTATGGTTTATTTCTAGTTCCCATATGTTACCTCAAATTTGGCTGATTTCCTGAAGAAAAACTGGTCGAGTGATGAAATGAAAGAGGCTGTAGAGGCACTTCGTATTCAGGCAAGTCCCCATAGTGCATGCTCATGTAGCAAGTAAAAAGAAGAATATTTTTTATTTTATTTTTTATCACAGATCATATAGAGCTAACCTCCAATTTTAACAATACTTGTTTCCATTTACCTCTAAACGTATGCAAAAACAGGCCAGCAAAGATATTGCCAATGGTCTGTCTGATGCGACGCCCATTGCGGTAGAATCTGCTGACGTGTGAGGATTTATTTTATTTTATTTTATTTGTACAATTCTGGTCCTCATGATTCCTTTTCGCCTGAATCATACTCTCTTAACCTAAGATTATTCATTTCCTTACTTCCATGCTCCTAGTTCTTCTGAGAAGGTTCAGAAGGATGTGATTGCCTCTATTGAGTGGCAAATGAAAGCTGACCGCAAGATCGGTGCGTTGAAAGCATTCCAAGGCTACATGTGGAAGGATGGCTATGCTAATGGTGACTTAAAAGGAGTGTGAGTAGGCTTTTTTTTCCTTTTTTTCTTTTTTTTTTTTTTTTTGGGTGTGTTCTTGCGGTGCTCCATGGCTGTAATGAACCCGTAAAACACCTCACTCATTTTGTGTTATTTAATCACGTAAAAAAAAAAAAAAAAAAAAAAAAAGCGTCTATGACGATGTGATCGCCGCATTTGATAATTGGAAAGCCGAAGGCAAAAAGCTATACATCTACTCATCTGGTAGTATTCCTGCCCAAAAGCTTATCTTTGGTTTCTCCGAAAAAGGAGACCTTCTTCATGTAAGGAATTGCTTGCTACTTTTCTTTGTTTTCTATCTTGAGGCATACGAGGAGCGGTTTGACTAACGTTTTGATCTGGTATATTTTTATTGGTTATAGTACTTTTCGGGTCATTACGACACAAGCATTGGACAAAAAGTCGAGGCTGAGAGCTACACCAAAATTGCAACTGATATCGGTCTCGAGCCTGCCAAGATTCTCTTCCTTTCGGATAACATTCACGGTATGTAAGCAAAAAAAAAAAAAAAAAAAAGAATGTCGATTTTAGACCTGCTCTAATTACCCTTTCATTGCCTATCTTCCCTTCAAGAAATCAACGCTGCCAAGGAAGCTGGATTCCAAGCTATAGTTACGGACCGTCCAGGCAATGCTCCTTTGACTGCAGCAGACCAAGAAAATAACATTGTCGTGAAATCATTTTTGGAGATCCCAAAAGCTCTCTAATCCAGTTGTGCTTCGCCTTAATACAATGGAATCAACTCCAATAAATATAAAATTTAAGCCTGCAATATTCGAAATGGAAACTTTTTGGTAGATAGATAGTGAGCAGAAGTGAAGTAAATGAGAAAGGTGTGGGCCAACGCGCCACACCCATGGGATATTTATTCATCTCCTATGCAAGAAGCATCTACGCATCTATCTAGATGATATGGGTTATAGTCCCATATCATAGAATTATCGCGTCAATGTGTATAACACTTTATTGCCACTAACTTTCACTGCTAGCAATCTTTCTTACTAGCATTTTTACCAGTATTTTTCCTAGTTCAGCCATTGCAACACTGCGTACTGTGAAATATGCAACACAGGGGCCTGTTCCAGCACGTGTACTGCGTCCACAATCATGAACGATTCAGGTAAATTGGCAAGCTTCATGGTGGTTACAATAGAGCAACCACGGAGCTTGGCAACGGCGGCAACATTGCTACGGCCAACAGGGACGTGGGAACCACAGGTATTTTATAGTTGTCGCTTCGTTATTCAACACTATTGCTTAGCGTCATAGTATTCAGTAGCTCGAAGTTTGTTATCTTTCACAAACATGGCACTGTTGGTTGGCATACCAAATGTAGAATGAAATGCAAAATTAACATAGCCCATATGATTTTTAATGGCTCTTACTTTGTATATCTGCCTCAAGGAGGAAGTTTGTTCTACACTACATGTATTGGAGCATCTATAGGGCATGATAGGAGATTTTGGGTCTTTTAGTGGGTTGTGAAGCCGGTCACTTCCAGCTACAGATAGATGAAATAACTCTCTAACACGATAAAAGAACAATACACTACTCAAATACTGAACGAGAATAGTCAGTGCTCAAATGGCTCTTGTGTAAAAGAAGGAACAAGGAACCAGATCTTCCTGAGCTGCTGCTCGTTAAATAGTTGGTGGCGATGCCTCTCCACGTGACTAAAAATAAAACCAACAATACCTTTCTACAAAATATTTTTCATCATGGACCTTCTATTCTGTGCGCTCTCTTATTTACTGGACTGGTAAAGAAACCTCTAGGCGTATTGCCATCGTGAAGATTATGCAAGCTTGCTTTCCAACCTACTTCTCTCCAGTCTACAATATACCTCCTGACTCTGTTCTGAAACACCCACAAATAATGTGTTCTCACTGTTGTTGGAGGTTTTAACAGGCATCTAAGATCATCCTCACCACCTCGTCGAATATAGCGCGAAAGGGGAGATCGTTGTGTTTTAGCCCTTTGGTTGCCCACATTTCGCCAAAATGGGCATCTTTGGCAGCTTGGTCTGCCCTTATATTGCCTTTATTTCAAGCATGGCCCTTGACCCATTTCACAGTTACCTTCCCGCCCTGCTTAAAGAACACTCTCGAGGTCGCCACACACCACACTACGTACTTGAAACGTAATCGCTGCCATTCAGTGCTTGTTTCTCGCTTTTGGGCAAGGCCCTGGAACTGGACTACTACCGCCATGTTGTCTATGTAGACAGCTGCTGGAGCGTTACGAGGACTGACTAGGATAGTTGCGTACTGTCCTACTAGCTCTGCCTTGGTGGATGAAGCGTACCCATCGACTCTACCTGAAACTACATTTGTGAAGCTTTCTGGGCCTGTCTGACCATCCATCCACGTCGCCCTTCTTCCTGCCTCTTCAAGGGATCCATCTGAGTAAAGTGTCAGCTGCCATGCCAATCTGTAGGATCTCTACACCTAGGCACTCAGAGGAGCCATACCAGCGAAGCCTTTGGGTCTCTCCTTTTCGTACGTACCTCATTCCAGGATTTGAGTGATGAAATCTCGTCTAGAATTTGCTCAGCATAGTATATTCCTCTTGTTGCTAGTTCTCGCACAGGCTGGCCATCCACATCGCCATAGAGCATGCCTGCTATGTTGCGAGCATTTCCAGGGAGCCCAAAATCATTTACTAAGTGCAAGTCAAACTTCACTTGTCGATCGGCCATTAGTTTACAGACGCCTGCTACGAAGTTATGTTTGTATGCTTTTATTTTTTGTGACTCTGCAGTTGGGGTTTGCTCGTCCTAAGGCGTTTCTGGAGGGCAATGAGACGTGCTCCGCAGATACATCCCATCAATCCATTGTCGTTTAGGCGTAGGAATAGGGCTGATCTCTGTCCCTCTGTCTGTACATCTTCTAGGGTGATGCATTATGTTGTTGGGTGTGGTTGGCGGCATACGTGCTTTGCTCTTACATAGTTCCATAAACTTGCCTATCATTCGTCTCACAAAAGACGGTGGGAGAATCTGTGCCGATATCTATAAAGCGCCTTGGGTATGAGGACGTCAATGATGAGATATGCTGTCTGTTTGTCGGTTACTGCTTTTGAGGAGAGAATACTACACATTGACGTGGCTTCTCTTTCTACAACGTTCTCTGTCGTCCTCACTGATCCTCTGGCTGTTACCATAAAGCTGTGTGCGTAAAGGGACTCATAAAGAGCCTGATCCTGTTCTGAGATTTTTATTTTATTTTTATTTTTTTTTAATAGCAAGGAACCCCAGGGTCATGGGATTTATTTTCTACACTTTATGGACAAAATGCTCCAGAAACTATAGTCAATAAATAGTTATTACTGTACAAACGGCAAGAGCTGCTGCATCCATGATTTCATAAACCCTGGCTGCCGTGGTTAGTGCTCAAAGTCCACCTTTCCGACGTGGCCTGTTGCGCAACGCGACAAACTATCCGCTATCCATAGTCATCAAAAACTCCATTCCACTTCGCCGCTCCATCACGTCCAGTTTAGATTCCCCAAGGTAGCTGTTCCGGACTTGGTCATCCGCGGCCTTTTAGATCTCTTTTACATTCAGCTTCTGGCGTTGGCTCAAGAAAGGAACAAGGAAATCATTGCTACTACGCCTGTGCTCCCCAACACGGTTGCGTCCTCTGACGCGTTTGCTCATAGCAGTGATTCCACGAGCCTTTTCCCATTCAACGGTGACTTTACACCGTTTGTTCCACATTTCTGTACGACTGAATTCTTCTATGGCCTTGACGAAGCACCCTGCCATGTATGTAGCTACCCTTGTCTTGAAACCGACTTTCCAACTCTGAGCAATGGACTTGGGCTTAAGTCCATGGCAAATGTCCTGCACAGACCAATCTGGTATGTGCTCTATCTCTTTCTCGTCCTCATCGTCGCCATTCCTATCACATGGCGTCGTACTCCCCGCACACCATTGATATGTATCTCTAGAGTCCCCAAAATGTAGTCCTCCTCTGCTGCAGTAAAAGTTGACTCTTTTGTCCTTGGCGGGCCTAACCTCCAGTGTCTATCACTGGAAAAAAGTTTTGCGGGAATAACTAATGCCCACTGCAGGGATCGAACCTGCTACCTTTTGCTTACTAGGCAAACGCTCTACCAATGAGCTAAGCGGGCTAATATAAATTATGGAGGTAATACAGTTACTTATAATGACAAAAAGCACTGTACACGTGACGTTGAAAATGATGGTTACTCAGCCATAATAGAGTTATAAAAAAAAAGTTTCAGATATCCCAAGATGAGCAAACGCGCTGACGCCTAGAGAGATTCCCCTAAGGACAAAAATGGAAGATGATCTTCAGAACCACAGCATCGATCTCAAGGTACATTGTTTGCCGCTTTGTCAAGTCAATCGAGGAACTCGGCAGGACTGAAATCTGGAACAGACGCTGCAAAGTCACCGTCAACTGGGAAAGAGACAATGGTATCACCTCTGTGAGCAAACGCGCCAGGGGACGCAACTGTGTTGGGAGGCACAGACGTAGCAGAGGTGAATTCTTTGGCTCTCACCAGGGGCAACGACGAACAGCAGATGTGAAGGCGATCAGGACTGAGGCAGACCGGCGAGTGGCGGCAAGCTACCGGCAACAGGTGGAATTGGCGATTATGGAGCGCCTGGAAAGCTGTAAATTTTTGATGATTGAGGACAGCGGCTAAAGGATGACCTTCGCGCACAACAGGCCAAGTAGGGAGTAGAGCCATGCCACAGGTCCTCTGGGACCAAGGAGGTCTACTCAATGCTGACGTGGTTTATGAACAGGATGTAGTACTGTGGCAGTATGACGATGCGGCTTCGGTCGATTATTGGATACCGCTTTATTTGCGACCCCAGTAATGGGGCAACCCATTTATAGAGCTAATATCTAAATAAATCCTACATGACCTCGTGGGTCCTTGTTATCAAAAAAAAAAAAAAAAAAAAAAAAAAGCGCATGTGCCAGGTCAGGGATTTGCTTGAGTTTTTATACTTTCTCTCCGAGACAGCCTAGTGTTCTCCGCTAAGGCTAAGATCGTGGGTGCACTACCCTAAGTCGCCTGGCTGGCCACACGTCTTAGTTATATATTCCACCCCCCAGCCGAACCAGCGGTACATCTGGCAGCACATCCCCCCATCCACCCACTTGACTAGGACAGCGATGATCACAAAAAGTTTGACGGAGTCCAAAGTAGAAATTTCAGACAATCCCGCAAGATTTGGGTCCACATGCCAGTGGATTTGATCGAATAGAAAAAATTAAAAGTCGTCCTTAGCTAGAGTCGGCACGCCAGCCTCCGCGGCTTTTCACGGGCGCAACAGGCCACATCGGAAGGATGGACTTCGAGTACCGATCACGGTGTACATTGGTAGAGAAAAACATGGATACGAATTGGCTCTTCACAGCCATCCCGTGCGAACTTTGAGAGTTTCGCTTGTTTCATAGTTGAGGGCGATATCATCAATTTAGAGCGAGATTATGAAATAAAATTCCTCACCTCTGTGGGTTCTTGTTAACAGGAAAAAAAAAAAAAAAAAAAAAAATCCCAAGATGAGCAAACCAGTGCTCCTATTCGAACTGAAATTTTGTCAATTATGATGTTTCAGATTAAAAAAATAAATATCAATTGACAAAATTTCAGTTCGAATAGGAGCACTGGAGCAAACCAGAGAGCAAAAGTCGACCTGGATTCCAACGAGACACCGTGCCTAAAAGCGATCCCTGAAGTCAACAGAGGCCTAGCCAGGGACACAAATGGAGTTATCATTAGTGCCAATACTGAGGAGAAAATCCAACGCCAAAGGGAACGTACAATACCCAACCGGGTAGTGTCATTTATACGGATGGATCTCTCAAAGACATTGCACTGAAAGAGTAAGTATGGCATTTGGTGTAGTAGTCCAGACACAAGAGGGTGATTTTTACACTGGGCTATCTGGTAGAGTAGCAGGCAACGCATCCTCGACAAAGGCAGAGCTAGCTGATTTGTTGGCAGGAATACTTATCAGCCCACGAAACAGACCTATGACAATCCGACTTGATAACAGCGCAGTTGTGACTCAATTCCGAGCATTGGTCCGAGGCAGAGTGGATAGCACGTTGTCGCAACATATTAGTTCACCGTATGCAGTATGGTGGGCAGCTATACACAACGCATTTATTCAACAAGGATCGAGTGGGCCAAAGGACATGCCGGCAACAGAGGGAACGAAGAAGCGGACGAAGCAGCGAAACATGGACATTATGGCGAGCTATGGGATATCAACATAACAAAGCATAATGACATGTACTGCTATGTAAATTTCAACAGTGTACCGGCGGAAGATGACTTAAGGCAGATCCCTAAGTTACAGTCAACAACTCGTACACATCACACTTGGATTGCTTAGAATAGGACGCAGGAGCATGTTAAGGATTGGACAAAAAATCGATTGGCGGGCCACTATGAACATTGTTCATGATAGCAACCTACCAAAAGGACTCTTCACCAGTCCAGCGGACTGCCAAAAGCGAGCGCACAGGATCAAGAAGCTCCATGGAATACTGCCTACACAGTCATGTATGAGAGACTGGAGACCGGACCATTATGAAAGCGGCAACTGCAGAGTGTGTGGGACAGAAGAAGGAGACACGTCGCACATCTGGAGATGTTCAAGGACGATGGAGACTCAAGCCGAGAAGTGGAAGGAAATAGCCGAAAATGTGAATGCAATAGGGGAGAGGACACGGAGGAAAGAGTTGAAAGCGGTGCAGGAGCAAGCACAAGGGATAAAGAGAGAGGTGTAGATCCGCCAAGGACAAAAGAGTCAACTTTTACTGCAGCAGAGGAGGACTACATTTTGGGGACTCTAGAGATACATATCAATGGTGTGCGGGGAGTACGACGCCATGTGATAGGAATGGCGACGATGAGGACGAGAAAGAGATAGAGCACATACCAGATTGGTCTGTGCAGGACATTTGCCATGGACTTAAGCCCAAGTCCATTGCTCAGAGTTGGAAAGTCGGTTTCAAGACAAGGGTAGCTACATACATGGCAGGGTGCTTCGTCAAGGCCATAGAAGAATTCAGTCGTACAGAAATGTGGAACAAACGGTGTAAAGTCACCGTTGAATGGGAAAAGGCTCGTGGAATCACTGCTATGAGCAAACGCGTCAGAGGACGCAACCGTGTTGGGGAGCACAGGCGTAGTAGCAATGATTTCCTTGTTCCTTTCTTGAGCCAACGCCAGAAGCTGAATGTAAAAGAGATCTAAAAGGCCGCGGATGACCAAGTCCGGAACAGCTACCTTGGGGAATCTAAACTGGACGTGATGGAGCGGCGAAGTGGAATGGAGTTTTTGATGACTATGGATAGCGGATAGTTTGTCGCGTTGCGCAACAGGCCACGTCGGAAAGGTGGACTTTGAGCACTAACCACGGCAGCCAGGGTTTATGAAATCATGGATGCAGCAGCTCTTGCCGTTTGTACAGTAATAACTATTTATTGACTATAGTTTCTGGAGCATTTTGTCCATAAAGTGTAGAAAATAAATCCCATGACCCTGGGGCTCCTTGCTATTAAAAAAAAATAAAAAAAAAAAAAAAAAAAAAAAAAACTTTTTTTCCTTCGTGATTAATAAGGTAGGGTCAAGTGTCACGAACAGAAAAGACAATTTGAAAGCCAATAGCGTTGTCATACCTCCAAGAGGCAAGTCTCTAGAAGTCAGTGCTGATATGGGATTAATGACCATCATCCTAGGGTGAATCTTAGACTCATCGCCAGCCTGTGTGACTAATGTGCAATGCACTAACGCTCATGACAGGCTGGGACCAAAATTGAGATTTTAGGGAAGGAATCCAGCATGAGAGGGAATGCTAGAAATATAAGGTCATAGCTATATGGTTAATTACTTCATTAAAAGGCGCCTTGTATGACACATACATGGATATCCATGGCAGTCCGTGTGGACAATTATTATCTTTTTTTTTACCCGACGCGTTCTCAAAAAAGATCCGTATAACGAACGAATTGAATCTTAACATCATCCAGCCTCCGCTTAAGCTCTTCAACTCTTCATTACATTTTGATTTTTTGTGAACAGTCAAAGTTCGAGAGGTGCCTTGATAGCCGACATTATCGGCGCTGTCTTTGTTTTAAGCAAAGCATCAACGACTTTCTCTTTGCTATTAAGTTCATAAAGTGGCTATTTCTTGACAAAAATCTATACATATTGTCCTCTCTGCAACTCTTGAACATATTTTTCTTTTTCCGATACCACACTTTGCCAAAATCTGAAGATATCCGATGCAACCAAGTAAAAATAGAACCTAATGTTATGTAGTTTGTTTAGTAGTCTTCCTATGAATAAAAACTGATTCTATACCCTTAGGTTTAGTCGCTTACCTAGATTACCAACGTTACGTTCGCATTGATCTAGGGATCCTAGGATGAGCAAAGAAAAGCTCGATGGCCAAAAGACCTGAGAGCTTTTTGTTATTTGACACAGAGTCCGTGAAATTCTTTATGTGGGTTGCACAAATACACAACGTGCAAGGTGTTTGCATTACATTTTAAATAAGTGAAAGTGCCCATTGCCTTAAGTATCCTTCATAACATCATTTCATAACCACAACTCTTCATTCGATGGCAAGAATTATGTGTCGTTTAATAGACCCCAGCTTTTTCGAGATGTGATGCTTTATTATGTAAACTACCTAACACTATCAAACCTAGCGATGCTGGTCAAATTAAAGAAACCATAGAGTAGTTGCCTCTAATGCTTCAGGTAGGATATACCAAAAAAAAAAAAAAAAAAAAAATGCACATGAGCTCCTCCATCCCCAACGTTATCTCCAGTAAGGCAATTGAAGCTAAGAATGTCATGTAGCTCGTCTTTGCTGCACTGGTCTTCCAACAATGTAGCGGAACCCGAATTCTTTTTTTTGCCATCCATATGTATAAAGCTTTTCTTTGGAAGGGATTCATGTTAATATCCATTCTTGGTGGACTGAAGTGCATTTTTACGTCTCAAATCCCCATCATGGACATCTCGGAGATGAACACTCAGAGACTTGTCATTTTAGAATAGCTTTTCCTAGATCGGGCAAGAGATAGGAGCAGAATTCATAGCAAGGATGATTGCTTATATTAGAGTTAAATAAATTGACAGGCAAGTCGGCTCCAGAATACAAGATTTTTCGTTTGACTTCGCTCTGATAGTCCTTCGCAATGGCTGTAGTAATTGTCGTTTTCCGTCACCGCCCTCCATACTCTCCATATTTCCCATACTCTCCTTACTCTTCACGTCATGGCTCCGAAGACGTGGTGGATCAATTCATTGACAGCATGGAAGGGGGATCTAGCTTTTTCAAGCCTACCCTCTTTCGACCTGGCATTCCGCAATATGTGCAAGTGATCCAAGTACTGTGATTGAACTGTAGTATGTGCGTAAAAAGGAAGCGGCAAATGTCATCTGTAAGTGGAACAATTGATTCAAGGGGGTTGCTCATTTCAGGCGACTGTGGTGTGTTACATAGTGATGCCGACGATAATTCACTAATCATAAGTTGATCTTCTACGATAATCACGCGTCTGTGGTTATGGAACCAGCTTTTGAGAAGTTGAGGAATGAAGTTGAAAATTAATGACTTCCTTTTTACTCTTTGTATTTGGCTCATTGGTGCCCATCGAAGGCAAGGGAAACGTTTTGAGTTGCTCAGTTTTCGTTATTTCCTCATGAAAATAATCCTCCCTTTGTACTGAAATTTCTTTTCTACGCTTGCTCTCTTTATGTTGTTATCTGCGCTCGTTAGAACCATTTGTAAGAAATCTTCAATCCATATAGACCCTGGTTGATTTGGCTTGAATACTACACTTAGTCGTCTAGATACAATGCTCTCATTGGCATCATCAGCATGCTGGCAAATTTAGAAAGTCGGCCTTTCGGTTTTGATGGAGCACTGAAAGAATGGTTTAGAGAGAGAGAGATTGAAGGAAGTATTCGAAATTTTTATTGTGAATGAAAAATTCTTAAGACGATCAAAAAGTTTTTTATTATTGTTTATTTAAGCTATCGAGCTTCTGCACAGCTTCCATCACGCTTAGTAAATTACGCATCAAAGACTTATAGACTGAGCTGAACACGTAGCAAAAATCGAGTTGGTGAAGTCATAGATCATACTTTGGCTGTTCATGTGTTGATTATCGACTCGCACTAGAGGTCAGTCCAGAGCAGCACGACGTCTTATAATATCGGAAAGATTCTCATCAACAATCCTGAGACGGCAATTTCAGGATTTACAAGGGATATGGGAGTGATTCCATGGACATTGTACATGTGGTATCTTTTGTGGGGATAGCCTATTGAATTGGATATTTGTATTCTAAAAACTATTACATTTCCTTTTTAGGCACTCCAAATCGTCGAGCCTTAACCATGTTGCATTAAATTTCTCTAGTAAACGGAGATTCAAAAGAAGCTTATGCTTTGGCTTCTCAATAGGACACTCATTCTTATTACAACCTAAGCAAAAGTTGTGGTTTACAAATACCTCTTCAATTTATTCATTTTGAATTTTTTTTGATTGTTTTTTCTTTTTTGTTTTTTTTTTTTTGTTTTTGCTTTTAAGATAGTGAACACATTTACTTTCCAACTAAGATAACGCGTGCAGAGTGAACAGCACGAGCGGCAGCCAAATTTACAGAGGAGTTGACCTCTTGGACCTTAACGATGCCTCTGTGGACACCCTCTTGGACTTTAATCTGATAACCGAGCAAGGTCTCATGGACATCTTTAGCAGCGTTCTGAAGGATAGGGAGAGTCTCCTCAGTGGTCATGTGGAGGATGTTGCGGGCCTTCTGAACAGCAGAGAGATCCTTTTTGGCAATCTCGGTGCGAACAACAACGTAGCGTTCGCTGACAAAGTCGACTAATGGTTGGATGCGGATCTGGACAGACTCGGGGAGAGCGGGGCCGTGCTGCTTCAAATAGCTGGAGAGTGAATCAATATCTGAGAGAACCCTGTGGCTCACCTCGGTGACTCGAGTATGGAGAAAGGTGGTAGCCTCATGAGGCGCTTTTTGGACATTCTCCTGAAGCTCCTTGCTGTGGAGACGGAGAGACTCGAGGAGCGATGTCAGACGAGTGTTCAAGGCGTGGAGCTGGTCCTTGGACTTGACCACAACAGTATTCTTCTCAGCAGCGGTGCGCAAGTCCTGAGCAGATTTCGTGACGGGAGCGACAGCAATGCTAACACGACGGCTGACACGGACAGAGACTGCACGACCAATGTCAACGACACGAGTGGCCTGGTTCGTTTGAGCAGCAGGCGTCTTCTCATCGTCAGCTTCAGCCGGTGGCAAGACACGGTCGACGATGTTCTCAAGGCCATTAACTAAAGGTGTAGCATGGGTGTTGACCTTGGTAGCAATGTTTGTAGCGGTTGTCGTAGCCACAGTGGTGATTTGATTGCGAGTGGAAGTAGCTGTAGCAGTGATCTGGTCGCGGGTCGAAGCGGCCGTCGAGGCAATGCTGGAAGTCACAGACTTGACAGGGGTAGTAACACGGGCATCGATAGTCGACTGGATCTGGGTATAGGCATTCTTGGAGGATTCTTCAACATACACATAAGGCTTCTTCACCTGAGTGACAATCTCGGAAGTAGGCTTTGTGACGATGGGGAAAGTCCCTTCAATGATGTCTAATGACTTGGAGGCAAGCTGATCCACCTTAGCGATATGGGGCTGCAGACGAGGCTGCAAAGTCTTTTGATAGTTTTCTGTGTACTTGTTGACAGTCTCAACAGCGGATCCAGCGGTGTCAAGAGCGTAGCGACCATATTTGTTATCCTTAGCATAGGAGTGCAGAGTGGAGACACTATCATGGATCAAAGGGATGGAGGTCACCCTGGAAATGAAGCTTACAGACTCTTTTTGTGAGCCAGCATGGCCGTTCTGTTCCTTCATGTCCTCGTCAACAGAGGAGCTCGAAGTAGAGTGATCCTCCCCCTCAACATCCGAGGACTCCGTGCTGGAAGCCTGATGGGCAGGAGCGGAATGCTCGTGGTGAACAGGAGTGGAATTCTCATGGTGAGCAGGAATGGAATGCTCGTGGTGAGTGGGCTCGTGAGGAGGAGCAGCCGCGACGGCAGCATAGCTGCTGTTGTTCATTTTACTCTTTTGGGACATTATGGATAAGTTTACTTGAGAGATAGGCTCTATTGATAAGAGAATGGGATAAAATAAAGGATGAAGAAAAATGCCCGGTCAGTACAAGAATGGGAATAAAATAGAGGAAAAAAAAAAAAGTACACGTCCTCTGGTGATCAAAAGCTTTTTTTTTTCTTTTTTTTTTTACAGCGTTGCAGGAGAGAAAATCAGGGGTAGAGAGAGACAAGTCTGAATGGAGGAGAAATTGGGCACGGGGCTACTGCCTTGCCAGTGCTGAGGATAGGTGAAAGAGAGTACGACATTTACTCTGCAAAAAGCACATGTGCAAAGCTCAAACATTCAGGCCCTTGTTGTCTGTATATATCTTTGACGGCTTATTTTTATGAGAAAAACAAATAAGTGGGAAAAAAAAAAAAAAAAAAAAAGACGCTTCTTCGCACGAAGCACACTTTATAAATGAACCAACAACCAAGGTAAAGGAAATGCTATTCAAAATTTTCCTTTGTATTATTATAGTACAAACCGTATGTACAGTGTATTCCAAAAAAATATAAAAATAAAAATAAAAAAAGCTCCGTTCATTGTGTATCCGTCCTAGGAACGGAAGCACATTCATACACAATGAGGTATTTAGATAGAAAAGGATAAAATAAGATCCATTGGACAATAAGCACGTCCCATAGTGGACAACATTCAGCCTTTTAGCTTCACCATTCTGGGGCCTCAAAAGTCAACACGAGGAAGGGCTGGAAGGATGTGTATAAATGAACTCAACATTAAAAAAAAAAAAAGGACTGTGCGTCACATGGGAGTGAAGTCGGAGATGTAGGAAGCGTCGGGGCAATTTCAGACATGATACAAACGTGGGTGCGGTGAATGAATGTTCCAACAACTCAGAAGAAACACGAGCGTCATTTTTATTTTTTGATTGTCGCAGATAAATCGACACATGTGAAAGAAACTGCTCTGTACATCATTGTCAGGTGCGAGACAATAAAATCAAAGGATTGTGGCGATAATGATGGCGACGATTATGGATTAAAAATTGAGCATATCTTATCATTTGCTAATATGACTCCCTAAACGACAGGATCATTCGAAACGCTGGATTGTCGAAGAAGCAGAGACAACCGCAGTTTTATGTTGGGGACGCATGTGTATGAGAGCTTATGTTTGTGTATGGAGTCTAAATAGTTGTGGGATGTGTGGGAACCGTATGGAAGAAAAAAAAAAGGGAAAAAAGAGCGCGCGCGTCATTTGGGTGGTATACATGTACTTACCAAGTTAGAGAAGTGATCGTAAAAAAGTTGATGCAAATGCAAATAAAAAATAAAAATAAAAAAATTCAATGCCAAATGCAAATCAGAAAAATTGGTTGTTGCTCGATGTTAAAAAAAGAAAAAGGTTTAAAAGAGCGTTTTCGGTCGAAAGGTGTGATGATTTAATGACAACGAAAACAGGCCAAAAAAAAAAAAAAAAAAAAAATGAAAAGTTGGATGGCGGGAAGAAACAATAATGATGATATGGAAGGAAGCGACGTAGCAACAGAGAACCAAAAAGAAAAAAAAAAAAAGTAAGAAAGGAGAGAAAGAAGTGATGCGAAGGAGTGCCCTATTTATTGATTTGGGCAGATAGACAAAGACAAACAGATGTCAAATACATGTAATGTCATCTATACCAAATACATCATGTCATGAGCCAATTCATTTTATCTTCTTTCTCCTCTACACTCCGCTTCACTTTGATTTGGTTTCCCATGTGCCACCCATACAGGTATAGATTAGGCTTTTTTTTTGCTTGGGGTGGATTGAATAGAACTGACTATCCATTCATTACTTCTGAATCTGTCTCGAACCCCAACCCTAGTTTCTAGTTTCTAGGAACCTAATACAAATATATGTACATCACCCCAAGATGACCCTTCCCCAGTCTTGTAGCTTCTCCAATTTCAAGTCTACAGTTACTGAGCTTGGCAGCCATCTGTTTCTCTCCTTTTTATCTTTAGTGTGGTCCTCCGGCCACTGTTTATTAATGCATTTAATACAACCACAGCAATGCAGACATTAATAAAGTCTATTACATATTATGCTGTTGAACTCAGATCACGCAAGAAGATCGGAAATGAAAAAATCTGTCTCAATGTGTCAGTCAGGATGACAGCAATACACAGTGCGCGCAGTATTCGTCATAGAGGATGGAAAAAAAAGGGGGGGGGGAAGGGAGCAATATTCAATTACTGGACATTGGCAGCCACATTCTTCATGGAAAGAGAGCTCGTCTCAAGTCAGTTCAAGGTAAAGCATATCGCGCGTTCTACAGAAGCTTGAATGCGAGGCGAGCAGGAGTCGATGGCTACATTTGTTTTTGATATTGTTTTTATTTGTTTTGTGTGTGAATGATCAATAGTTATGTAATAAGTCCGTTCTCGTCTATCCCTATAAAAGGTCCGCAGTCAACGACTCTTTGCCTAAAAGCAATTTTGGGAACATGAAATGAGCATGAAGAGCCATTAAAGCAAATCAATGTCATTATCACCTGTAACCATATCACTCTAGTATGCTCCACTTTCAACTTTGTTCCTTTGGAAACACTTTGACCTTGTTGAAATAGTGTGTTTCTGAATTTATCTCTTGTTCTTGCTTGGCCCCCAGTTAGTTCTCGAACGAAGTTTTTCCTATTACGAGTCAACTGCATTTCTGATGAGGAGATCTAACTACTCGGGTAAAAACCAAATGCTAAAGAGCGAACAACATGAGAATACTTTTTTTCAAAGAATAAATATAACAGAATAAATAAAAGAAAATCGTGTACCTTTATGATGGCAATGATAGGTTACCAATGACCACAACCATGAGTGAATGTGACAGACAAGGATGAATCAAAAAAAATAAAATAAAAATAACAATAAAATAAAATAAAAAAAAAGGCTTTCTTCTTGCTTGTTGTATATGTCATATGAATTAGTATTGGGCGGATGCCTTGATGCACAAGCTTGGAGGAATGGAAGGAAGAAACCGTCCATTTTGAATTGCAGATGTTATTCAGTTATTTTTTATTCATGTAATCATAAGCGCGACCACTTCTTGTTTATATTTAGTGATTTCTCGCTCAGATCACACAACATATGCATCCAAACAATAGGCAAAATAAATAAGAACATTTTTTAATCTAAAAACGCGTTTGTATATGTTAAGCTTTTATCCTTCTTGACATTTATAAGCTCACTCTGAATTCAATTCAATCATTTATTATTAATACTTGGCTTTTCACGTGTGAATCCATCTGTCGGATAGTACACACTGCTGACCCTCTTTAAACGTAAAAAGCAAAGAATTATACTCAAAATATATAAATTAAAATACATTAACAGCGTCTTTTTCTTTTCGAGGCTTACTCATGTGAGGATATAGCAAACTACAAAAATGGAAAAAATAAAAAACAGTCTGTGCTTGTAAAAAAAATTATAACCCTGCGATCTGATCGGTGAGTTGCAATCTGGTTACCATGGTTGATTTTCTTTTTGTTTTGTTTTCGAGGCTGGAGAGAAAACAGGAGGTAAAGTTTTTCTTTTTTTTTTTTTTTTTGTAAGAAGAATATACTTTACCATGGCAAGTTGAGCGGCAGCAGACCACATCCGTGCAATGTCAGATCCTCGGTTTGACCCCGTCAAATACAAATATAAAATAAAATAAAATAAAAAAAAAGAAGGGGTGGAAAGTGGAAGGGGAAGTGATGAGGATCAGGGGAGATAGATAAGTTCGATGCATTGGCACCATTGTCAGCTATATCTCGTCTTTGTACTTCGTTAATGTACAATGTCTGACTATGCATCTGCGTAACCACGTGTCCGTGTCAACTTTTACAAAAATCCATTGCTCGATAATCGACGAAGGGGCATTGAGACATTTAGCTGCAGGAGCTGCAGACAAAAGACACTTTTAATGATCCACATTTAGTCAAGTTTCAATGATTGGATGGTATGAGGCACTAAAAAAAAAAGGCGGAGAATGAGTCCATGTGTATATATTATCAGAGCGAAATTACAAGAGAAAAGGCATGCTGTATATGCTACAGATGCAAGCCGAGGAGTGTTTTGCCACAAATACAGAATATGCTTTACTGTGGAGCAGAGACTCGAATGGGCAAAATACTAGGAAAGAGCGCACGCCATCGTATAGTTCGCTTTCGCAAAGCATTTTTTTAGACTCATGATACTCCTTCGATGAGCGTAAAATTTCAGGCACAACCATCGTATATTTTTATATTCTACCATGTTTCCCTATGGCCATTTTTGCATCTCATTATTTTGCTATTTCGATCGAAGTTTGGAGCTCCGTATGCCATATGAGTATGGAAAAGAGCGATGATATATACATATATATATATATTTATAATCGAAGCGCAGCTTGGGGCTCCAGGTCTGGTATTCTGTACTCTATCCTTATGTCATGTCTCGTATGCTCTATTATCTACTGAGCCTGGCATGTGTCAACGGATAGCAGACGAACTTCAATGAGATGGCAGATGTAAGCAAGGGGATTACTTCGTGGTTATTTATTTCAATATTTCAAATTCAATCTGGAGTATACTGTTTATAAACACAGTGAGTTGTGTTCCAGACCTGTCAAAGAGTGGTGTTGAACTTGTAGCATCGTTGATCAAGCAAAAAATAAAATAATATCGGCTATTTTCTTTAACTTTTCCAAACTTCTACATGTCATCTCTCTCTCACACACGCGTGCAAATTAGTAAATCTTTCGCTTTTAATTTATCGACCAGGAAAAAAAAGGGAATGTAAAAGAATAATGTGATAGCGATAATAAAGATGCTCGCAGACAGACATTGAGAATAGATATTTTCTAGTCGTGTGATTGAGGAATCTCATGCATGCATAAGAGTGACATCGGGGTTTCTTGTGGGCAATACCCATCACAAATATTACTACTCGTTTGGCCTCCACATGAAAATATGCATATCTAAGGTGAACAATTATGGACACACTGCTGTCTCTTGAGAATATCCTGTGTACCGCTGAATAGGGATGTGTTTCTACAAACATTGAGATGGCCACAAAAAATTCTGTAAGGAAAGGAAGCGCTCATAAGTTTGACTTGAATGTAATGTTAATTATATAAGGGATATAATGTAACGTTTTTAGAGTACTTAATGCCATTTATAAAATATAAATCAATACAACGGGAAGGGCTCTTCATCAGGAAATACAAAGAGATGGAAGCATCACCATCCTGGATGCCATTTAGATATTAATATCGATTGTACCATCCACAGCCGTCTGGGAATGCATGAGAAAGCAGATAGGATCACCTAGCATGTGTAAGCTAAAAAAAAGCGCATATTTTCACGAGTTTGGTGGCTAATTGTAACCCCATAATCTCAAAACATTGCTCTCTATTGGAGAAATTGTTCCTTCACAAAGAAGGGGAAAAAAGAGCAGTGACTTGGATAGTTGAGTATGGTAGAGAGCGAATCAACGCGTAAAAAAAAATATAGACTTGCAGAACGCGTTATGTCTGAACGATTGAATAGCGGAACTTTTTACTTTACAGTGCTCATTTAAAAAATGCCTAGACATCGTGGCAAACCTGAAGTCTTATTCCTAGACTTCCTAGACTCATTTGATGTTTACTTTAGGGGTTTTTTCTTTAAGAAAATAAGAGCGCGGCTTCGATGATTAGAAACGCAGGCTGCTTTAGCGAGTTAGATAAAAGGATGGACTGCTGTAAAAGGACTAAACAAGATATTGGATGAGCGAATCACAATGCATTGCCTCTGTTCAAGAACGTTTCAAACTAACCATTGGACCTTGCTGTGCCATCCTGCTCTCTCTCATTGACATATGATAAAGCGCAATGAGTTCTATGCTCACTACAAAAATGTGAATAGAATATAACTTTTTTTTCCTTCTTTCTTTCCCCAAGTCATAACCCCACATATGACGAAGCAAGGGTTGTGGATTCAATGGTGGTCAATATGTATGGTGAGTAACTAAGAGTATAGTGCGGACCTTATTTGTGCAGCCACCCATCTCCAAAGAGCATACATGAAAAGGATATCAGGCTGCATATGTCTGTCTATTCATCCTCTCGTGTTATGCTCTGTTCTATTTTCAAAAATAACCTGATCCCGGATTATGGAGCATACCAACAACTGAAATCATTTTATCTGTAGAAGGATCAGCGACGGCTGAAAATGCCTCTTGCGGCGTGCATTCTTTGTAATCATTTTTTCCCCTTCTCCCTGTATTACCGTCCCGTGAATTTGAAAGAGGTGCCGTAGCGCGTCTTGACCATTGAAGCAGTAAAGCAATGTTTTTTTTGTGTCTTGACACTTTTGGCATGCAGATCATGAGACTGTTTATTTCAACAACCCTTCTTTTAAGCAAGCAAGGTCAAGGCGAAGTGGGGCGCCCAGACCAGCTCATTTTGTGTGACATTCCCGCGCCTAACTACTTACTTTGTAGTCACCACTTCTTCCTGTCCAATACACACCGGCGAAAAGAATAGAATTAAGAATAAAAAAATTCTTTGTCATGATTATCCATTTTTCCCCCTCAACTTCTATATTTTGAAGAATACATGTCTGTGTATGTTTTTTTTTTTTTTTTTTTTTTTTTGCTCCACACATCCTGCAGACCACTCATCCATCATGCTACTGGAAACATGATATGCATGCCGACATCTGTCGCTTCTTCTTTTGGTTTTTGATATTTGTCAATAAAGAAAAAATTCGTATCATAAGCATAAACATGCACAAGCACAAGCACAAGCATAAGCACAAGCACAAGCACAAACACAAGTGCAAGGAGACAGACGCACATTCGCACAATATACGTTCAGGCATGAACAATGTCTCTGGTAGCCCTGTGGCCCTCGTCTTTTACCCTTTTCTTCAGCTCCACTATTTCTTTAAAATAAAGCAGTAGATGATTATTGTTAAAGTTGTCTCTGAAACGGTGAACATGCATTTCGTGGTGTAATTATATCTTTTTGTGCAGTACATGTCATGTACGTTTCCGTCCAATGCATTTATTTGCATAAAGATTTTCAATTCTTCGTCTTTTTATGTCACGTTCAACATGTAGACTTCTAATTGGAGAAAAGTATGGGCAGGAACCAATGATAGATAAAATGACTCAGAGAAAGACCAGATTACTTATTAATGTTCATATTTCATATGAGCTGAATAAAGATATGTATCTTCATAAAGTGCTTCGGGCTACTGATCTGGGTACTTGGATATGCAGACCCAAAGCAGTAAAGGGGAGTCCATGCATAATTGACTGTACAATTACGGAGGTGGAGACAGGAAAGAGGCATGAGTTTTTTTTCTTCACTCGCCATTGGTTACAGTGGCCTGACCGTCCGACCAAAACTCTGTCCTGAGTTTGTTGATTGGGAAAAATGGAGAGCGTGGGCGCGTGCGTTTGTGTCCAGAACACACAAACGGCGAATGAGTGAAATTGAAGTGGAGAAATAAAGAGCTCGACGAAGGTATATGGCATGTTTTGTTTGTTTGGCTATATTCATTACTGTTGATGAAGAATCTCGCTTGTGTATTTTTTTTTTTTTTTTTTTTTTTTTGCGTACAAACGCATCCTCGCTCTACCCTCCTGTTTGTCCTTCCTGTTACAAATTCGGGATCTTTCTTCACTTCTCACTGATGGAACAAAAGAAAGGGCCAAAGCACCCAACGTCCAGCGCGTACAAACCAAAATACTGACGAGATGATTGATGCCCTCTTACAACACGCAGACACAAACACCCTGCCCTTTTTTTTTTTTTTTTTTTTTTTTTTTTTTTGAATTAGATATCCATCGCAGCGAACTGGCGCTCTGTGGTACTCTATTGATAGTCAGGGTCCAAAGGAGCGCAAAAAAAAAAGGAGAGAGACGAATTAAGAAAGGGACAAATTCTTCACACAACACCCATTCCGTGCTGTACGATCTGAATGTCGTTTTTTACTCTTAATCATTGAAATAGCTATCAAATTTAGTCTGTGCCGTAAATGACATCTTTGAGGTTGCTATTAAAAATCAGCCTAAGCAGGTTTTGTATCCTTGCTAACATGTCCAGATGGTGTAAATTCTTTCGTGCCACCATTGGTTTAGAGCATGGTGGTAATAAAACTTTTTAATGATATTCACTAGGTCAATGCTTTGGAGGAAAAGCAGTGAGAATCAAGTATGTATACAGTACGAACATGTGCAAAAGAGAAGGACGCTAATTTTGTGGGGGTAAATGAGCGCTTTTTCATTTCATTTTTTTTTTTTTGGGTCATTAATGCAACTTGCATGATACAACGGTAAGGAAAAAAAAAGGAGAAGCATCATCCGGGGGGAGCAAGAGGAGGTAGGGAATGTAATTTGTATAGTTTACAGAAACCCCCCTGCTGGATTCACCAGATTAGTTTAGTTTACCTTGCTTTACGCCTTGACCATGGGTTTCATGAAGAAAGCTATCTTGTTTTGATCAACCTGTTTCCTATGAATAGAGTGGAAAAAAGAATAGCTTACTAGTTTTTTTTTTTTGACATCTCAAAAAGATGACCCCGTTCCGCAAGAGAGGCAAAAAAAAAAAAGAAATAGATCTGGGTCACCCATATTTTGTAATGGCCGTGCCATTCATAGTCTACGAGAGACTAGACTAGACTAGGCTACATGTACCAAATTATTGTTTTTTTTATTTTTAACCTACTTTTCATCTTTCATGGTTCATGGCCAGGGAAAATGACGAAAAGTTTTAATAAGAACAGTAAGAACAAGAAGAACTATATTTCTTCCGAGCGGCTAAAGAATGAAATGCCTTTTTTTTTGTGCATTTGTTGAAATTTTGTTAGTTTTGCATCCTCCACAAACCTCCTCGAACACATAGTGATGCACCCTTCAGTGGGCGCAAACAGCTGGTCCTGGGCAAAAACACGATTGCATTTTCGTTTTTTGTACCCAAACATCAATAAAAAATTATGCAAGAACTTGTAGAATTGTTTTTATATGTCCGTTAGATATTCAATTAAATAACACGTATTATATATCCAGATGTATCATGCAATTTATGAATGTATTTGTAGGCTAATATTATGAAAGGCGCGTAACGAGCACGTGTTTGACATGTCTTTAGCAACGAACGCGTTCAATAGGGAGTTTCAAACTGACATTTTTGGTTATTGGAGGGAAGCACATTTGAAATGTTCATCTATACATTTGAAATAGATCAGCCTTCTGACACCTGCATTTCAAATGTACTATATAAATGAAATGCTGTATTTCAAATGCACTTTGGAGTATTCGCGTGATTGTCGTTTATGAAATGTGCATACATTTATTTGGCATATTTACATCTGCTGGATGTCTTATTGGAAGCTTGTGTTTTTGTTCGTGCTGACATTTTAACATGTCAAAGACCTCATTATCATCTTTTCTTTTCTTTTTTTTTTTTCTTTCGTACGTCTTTAATCAAAAAAAAAAAGGGAGCGGAGTAAGAAAAAAGTGGAGTTTGGAGAGAGAAATGAAAAAATGGAGATATTGAAGGACATCACATCCTCTTTTAACTTAGTCGTTCTGTAGTCAGCAATACATTAATTCAATAAGAGAAAAAAACCTAATTATCAACTCTTCTTCAGGATTGGAAGTAATACTGTATTAGACAGCTAAGTAGATTTTGGTAATATTCTTGGGAATCCGGGCGAAAAAAGAAATCGCAACTAAATTAGCTCATAGTAATAATGATCGTCAAACCTTCTAGGGCTCCAGGATCATTTTTTTACTGGGAAGTGAGCGAAAAAGCTACTAATATTTACACAAACTGGTGTGTTGTTAGATCAAGCACGTGATACATGTTGTCACAAAAGTTTTATTAAAACGCCACTAGAGGCCACAACAAAGTCTTCGCCCTATTGTTGCATCCGCTTTCGCTAGGACAAAACGGACGATCATAGCTAGATCTCTTCTCGCCTGTGAGCAAGGTACCATAGCTACTTCACCAAGTCATTAAAGGATTCATCATTAGAAGGCGATCCAAGAATTAAGATCTTGTCGCACCACTCATTAACTCACTGCCTTTTTTTTTTCCCCCCTCGAAATAGGTGTTTATTACTGAATCTTATTATTATCATTATTCCAACCATATTTATATTGCCTTGCCTTTCTCATCAGAGTAACCTCACCATGTCGAAACGCGGAACAGAAAACCAGATTACCAAGGATGATTACGAAAGAGGCGATGATGATGAAAGCACGCCACAATTGGGTGCATTCAGGATGGCCTCAACTGAAGAACTTTCAAAGAGAACGTAAAGCTATTTTCTTTTCATTGTTATTTGTCTATCGTTTTGTTGCAAAGTTAGTCATGACGCATTCTAACGCGTGGTTTTATATGTTGATGTTCTATATAATACTAGGATAAAACCTTTACGACGTTCCGCAGCCAGGGTATGTTTATTAATTCGCGCAACCTGAAGTTTCTGAGCAGGATGTCAATCATGTCAAGTCTTTTTTTTTAGCCTCATAAAAACTCTGCCCGTTCACTCATGTTGAGTTTTTTTTTTTTTTTTTTTTTTTTTTTTTTCATGTTCTTGTGGTTATAGGGTGCGTCAGTTGCAAATGATGATGGTTCCAAGAAAGGACCTTCACCGTTTGCTTCGATCGGCATAACACCCTCAAACTCCACCTCATCACAAGTATCAGCTACCACCTCATCATCATCAGTCACCACATCAGCGAACCCTTTTGCGGCATTCACCTTCGGAGCACCTCCAGTTACTACCGGTGTCGCCACTACAAAGCCTATCTCTGAAACAGGGGGCTTTACGCCTACAACAGCCGCACCCACAGTCACAGCAGCGCCTATGACATCACAACCCAACACGGGCAATGGTATGTACACATATTCAGTCCTCCAACGTCTTGAATGGAAGGCGTCTTTTTTTTTTTTTTTTTTTTTTTTTTTTTTTTTCCTTGTGTCATCGGTGATAGTATAAGCTTTTTACCTTATATATAAATATTCTATTTGTATCCTTGTGCAGTGTTTGCTGGGTTTGCAGGCCTCACACCAAAGACTACTGGTGACAATATGACAACTACGCCTGGAAATTCGTTTGCAAACGGCACCTTTACCTTCAACATTGGAAGCAGCGCCAAGCTTGAGCCAACACCATCAGAGAATCAATCTTATGGCGCTAATACAGCTTCTTTTGATCGGGAGGGTTACCATAACGCATTACGCGCCGTCAACCAAACATTCTTGAAGAAAATTCAAAAGGGGCTGGAAGATAACCCAATCCTTAACTTGGCTCAGGTCTTTAATAAGTATATTGTTCATCGAGCCAAAGCTAGGAGTAAATATTTAGGAGTTGAGGAACCTAGAACGATCATACTCTCTCCGGGAGGCAATGCGAAGTTTAGAAGAGCAGAGTCTTCTGAATCGGCTAGCAGTTCTCCACCTGGCATAGGATCGAGCAAGATCATTAGGGTGGGTTCCGAATCTGAAGAAGTGCCTCAGACAGGATTTGGCTTACCTATTGATATTACAGCAAAGTCATCATCAATGGTGACAGATGCTAGTAAAGATGAGGGTTCTCCTACACGTACACCGCCTGGCACTTCCGGTATTTCTTCCACACTATCAACGTCAGTAGCAGCAAAATCGCTACCATCTGCTTCTACTTCGTTCCCTTCCTTTGGAGCTGGAGCTCTTTCTGGAGCTGGATCGTCTTCTATGAAAGGTGCTGTGGATCCACCCAAAAATCCTATAGCTTCCGGATCAGGATGGAATTTTGGAGGCCCATTTGGTAGCCCCGGTGCAGCCGCACCGAATCTTTTTGGTACAGGAACAATAGGACCGATCAAATCATTGAAATCAGCTTCATCGCCTTCTGGGTTTGGATCTGGTTCGATTTCAGTTACAGGAGCGAAACCATTCGAATTTACCCCTAAACCCTTTTCATTCTCAGTTCCATCTACAATGTCCGCATCATCTGATGCACCAACAGCAGCACCTAAGCCATTCTCGTTCACAGTGCCTACCTCCACCCCTGCTGCATCATCTTCCACTAGTGATGATCAAGCTAATGAAAAGATGCCGGACGATACAAAATCAAACCTGGTGGATACGAGGGAAGGAGAGGAAGGAGAAATAACTGTGTTTGAGGTCCGTGCAAAACTATATAGCATCGTGGATGGTAATCTCAAGGATATGGGCGTGGGGCAATTCAAAGTCAATGAGAATCAGGAGTCAAAGAGGCGTCGAATGATTATGAGGATAGGCGGAACTGGCAGTCTTGTCTTGAACAGTAGGTTTTTTTACTTTTTTTTAACTTGTCAAATACATGCACAAATGACTTCGTTTCGATCACTTTTATTTATACGTATAAATGTTCTTTCACAGGTTGGGTCTATACGGATCTGCCCCCTAAACGAGATGAACAAAAGACTACTCTGACAGTGTTTTCGGTTGAGGACGGAAAGCCCAAGATGTTCAGAGTCAAAGTGAAGGAAGAGCAGTCTAGAGACGATCTGTTCAAGGCTTTGGAAGCTGGTCTGAATAATAATTAACTATTATACATGATATAGATTCCCTACTAAAAATAACAAAGAGTTGTTTGGGCTTCGTCTTTTCGTTTCGTTTCATTTCTATATTATTTTATGGTATGGAGTGATACAGCGTTGGATAGAAGATTGATCAATTGAGCGCGTTCATCTTCTCGTTCTGGCGGTCCCTGTCTGGCTTGGATAGCCCATGCGACACAGTAATGTCCAGCCAATAGCTGCCACTCTTCAACCTCATCAAATATCTCAAGATTCGAAATGCTGAAAAAAAAGCAAAAAGCAAAAAATTAAAAAAATTAAAAAAATTAAAAAAATTAAAAAAATTAAAAAAATTAAAAAATTAAAAAAAAAAAAAAAAATGCATCTTACCGTCTCAGTTCGGTCTCTGGTATAGAGTCATGCAAGGTATTCATGCTGACAGCTTTGGCTGCAAGCCAGCCTCTGGATAAAAATCTTTCCTCCTGGCTCTTAAGAGAAGGGTAAGCATGAATACCTGGGAGTTCAATTTGGCGGGCATGCAAGTTTCGAAGCATCATAGCACCAAATGCATCTGTTGGGTTGATTTGTTCATAGAGCACAAATAAAGATGCGTCCATGTTGGCCCCAACCCATTCCACAATTCTATCTGAGTCCTGAGGTTGAATGTAAATCAACACGCATTCTGACAGAAACATCGTTGGCAGACTTCCATCATAATTTCATACAAAAAAGGAAAAAAATAAAGTAAGCAAAGTTCCTGGCTCCTCATCTTTTTTTTCTTTTTTTTTTTTTTTTTTTTTTTTGGTACCTAGTGTCAAATCCATGTGCTTTGAGTTTCGGGACAATAGTCTCTGTGAATTCACGCAGATCCCCTGAAAGTAAACAATAATCTTTGGCGTAGAGTTCCGTCCCACCTAGTCCTAGCTTAAGGTCTGGATCTGCTATGACATCAGTGAAGTCTTTATTCTTTTTGATCATAACGGCCTTCTTCGCTGTTGATTCTGGGAAATCGATCTCAAAGTATTTGTGTACCGAAAGCCCATTTTTCTATTGCAAATAAATAAATAAATCAAGTGAACACTTTGCGTGTCATAAAAAAAAAAAAAAGAAAATGTGTATATATATGCGTACGTATATGAATGAATTAATGAAATAAAATAAATTGATAAAGTAATGCGAGTGCTACTACCTTGAGGTTGAAGTAGCGAGTGTCAGAGCCACATCCAAATGAGACAATCTGTTTATTGACAGGGAATGTCGAGGGTCCTACAGATGCTACTGCTGAAGTAGACAGTGATGACGGCGATAGTGATGGTGATGGTGCAGTAGCCAATGACGTAGTTGGCTTAACAGTTTCTACTCCCGAGAACGATGGCGTAGAAGTGGGAAAGGCATGTTCTATGGGTGGCGAAGGAGGAGGTCCAGCAGCACTTTTAATAAATTGTTCTGTGAGATTATCCAATGATGCAGTTCTCAAATACGATCCTATGAATAATTATGAATTTGAAAATCGATTTTAATTATGGTAACAGAATGAACGGGCCGACAAAAAAAGAACTTTTCTTTACCTCGATTAATTAATGGAGGTCGACGGGAAGGACGTTTGACAAAGTACTTCACGAAAGGATCATCTAGATAACCCAAATCGACGGCGGATCTTTTATACAGAGTTGATATATGATGTCAAAAACCAGATGGTTTCGATAAAAGCAATGTAATAGGAGGCAATTGATTGCACAGTTTTTCACAATGAGCCGGATTAGTTTCTTACAATTTGCTAATGATGGCATCGTCATCAGTACCCTTGATTACATCGTCTCGTCCTATGCGTGGCTCCATGCTCCCTGGAGGCGATCCGACAATGGAAGACATGGCTGAGCTGCTTGCCCTATGAGGCGGTAATCCTTCTCCTCGAGTCCCACGGGGCTCAGGCCAGTAAGGGGGGCTTCGGTCGCGTCTGGGACCAGTTCCTGACATTACTAAAAATATTTTTGTGAGTTTCGAAGATGGTCTGAGCTCACCTGTCGTACAAAAAGTCAAAACTTTGTATTACTACATGTGGCTTTGTGTAGTCATGTATAAAAAAGATCATTTGACAACCGAGATCAGTTTATTCACAATTCCTTTCTTCAAGTTTCTCCTTCTTTTTCCTTCTCATAGCAGAAACGTGGAAAACAGAGGAGTAAACAAAACAAAAAAAAAGAGATGAATATTTTATTAAGACAAGTCTTGCTTCGCATACATCAACCCTGTGTAGTAAAGCTTTCATCACCACTACTTCTGTGTCAAAGCCGATTGATACACGTTTTTTCAACTTTCTCGGAACCAGCTCCTGAGCAGAGAAAAGAGCAGTCAGCTGAAGCTGGAGTTAAGTTGGTGGTACAGAATACGGAAACAGACAGCTTTATTTCACCTAAAGATGATCCTCGTTTCCGTTACGGAGATGTTCTTATAATTAATAGTCGCAAAGGCGAAAGACAGCTCATAGGGCCGTTAAAGGTAGATCTTTTGCGAAAGCTTTTTTCTTCTATATGGAATGGTTATTGAAGAATCAAAGTTAATTCCTTTTTTATCTTTTGCTTATTTATTTGGAATAACAAAATCGCCTGAAGAAAGGGGCATATAAGGATCAACACGTAGGGCGATTGAATCACGATGATATTGTTGGGCTTTTGCCATTAACGACTGTCGAAACTAAAACAGGCACCAAGTTTACGTTGCACTGGCCAAGTCTGGATGAGTAAATGTCACAAAGTAGATGAAATGGCAGGATATCTTTCATTTGTCATCTAATTTTTTTTTTTTTTTTTTTTTTTTTTTTAAGATATTGCACAAAAGTCAAACGTCAAGCGAATATTATGTATCCCAAAGATGCAACATCTGCAGTTCACTTGCTCGATCTCTTTCCTGGAGCTCACGTTCTTGAAGCTGGAACTGGTAACGGGTCCATGACTCTCTATATCCAGAGGGCAATCCAAGCTCCTGGATCTCATCTTGACACGGTTGATATTCGAAGTCTCCATTCGAAGCAGGCGGAAGAAAATGTAGAGCACTTCTGGAGAGGACTTTATCGTCCTGGGATCATCTTTTGGAGATCCCTAGGGGGTTTGAAGAGAGTTATCCGACATCTCAAGGGTGAGCCATTGGAGACAGAGGCAGAGGTCCAAGCTGCCGCTGAAGCTGAACTCTTTCATGAAGATGGAAGGCCCTTATCAGCACTGGAACTTCGACGAAAAAGGCTCATGTCAGAAAAAGAAGCTCTCCTGCCAAATCCACATCCACCAGGCCATCAATATGATGCCATCGTCTTGGACTTGCCAGATTGTAAATCTGTGTTAGTGGACTTGGTGCCGTTGTTGAAATCAGACCGACCCATGTGTTTGTATATGGTTAACATGTCCCAGATCTTGGAGTTGGTGCAGTGGATGCGGGGGAACGAATGTGGCTTGACTGTAGAGAAAGTGCTCGAGATTGATTGGAAGGAATGGAGTGTTCGATCCGCAGCGGTGAGGAGTAAGGTCAGGGGTAGAGTTCATGTAGGAGGATTCGGCAACGTCTCTCCAATCCAGAAAACCACGAATAGAGGTGAGGCTGACATTAAAGAAACAGTAAAATCGAATGGAGAATATACAACCGCAGCTGACAACATCCCTGATGACGCCGTTGGTTGGATCTGCAGGCCACTTCACATGCCTATCGGACATACGGGCTTCTTGGTTCAGTTGCGCAAGACAGTTTGAGATTCCCATTTGTACAACAGAAAAAGCATACTTTAATAAATGTACCAAAGCAATAAAAAAAAAAGGGAGGAAGGGATGTCCACCTTTAATGGGTTTGCTAAAGTATCAAAGGGGTAGTCGAGTCTGTCTCCAACTCCAATAGCCGTGATATCCTGGACTTCACTGCCTGTTGTTCCTGTTGCGGCAAATACCATAGTGCTAAATTAAGGCAGCCCAGCTGATCTCGTGATAGCATTGGGGGCAACACTGAGCTTATATTAGACGCCATCGAGTGATCAATCAGAGTGGTTGGCTCTGGTATCCGCGAGCCTGCTGATGCTGAAGAAGAATGGTCTGCTGAGTTCTCCTGCCGTGACTGCACATTTGCAGAAGTGACAGCCGGTAGCTTTTCCTTATCTGCTTCGGGAGTCAAATTAACTCGTCCCGAATTAGCTCTTTCGTTTTGACTTGATATTGTAGAGAGTTTCTGAGTAGATGTTGCCATAATGCTATCGAGCCAGGCCTGCATACCTTCATCCATTCCGTCCCCTACATTTCTCGAAGCCCTCGAAAAGCCACCATCATCGTTTCGGTATGCATTAAATGTTTTATGAGAAGATAAACCTGGACTGTAATGTTGATCAGCTGCTCCGTGTCCATCACCCCGACCTTGCACATGGCTACGGGCACGACCACGACCGCGCCTACGAGCTCGGCCGCGACCTGGGCCCTGGTTTTCTCGACTAGTGCTGCAGTGATCTTCATGCATATTATTGATAGGGTTCGGTCCACACTTGATTCTATCCTTCGCATGTCTTTCATACGCTCGGTAATAGATGTCTTGTCGCTTGGCGAGCTCATCTGAGAGATTCATTGCTGCCAATACGAATTCATCTCTGGCTTTGTGTCTAGCAATGGACTCTTGTTTCTGTAATGCCTCATTCTGTAATTTCATATGACTGATATAATTACTATCCCAGGACGATGGTCCCAATTTGGATGTCAGTGGTACGAGTGAGCCAAGCTCCATACGATTTAAGTACACTTTGTCCTTATGCTCATGAGTGATAATGTAGGACATCTTTGAGAACATAAAGAAGCTATACAATATCAAGTCATTTGACGCTATTGACCAGTCTGGCTGAGCAAGCTGTTGCAGATTTTTTAAAAGGAAAGAAAAATGAGTTTTGTGGACAACAGTATCCCTCAGGTTGTACGATGGAAAGGTATTCCAGTATCTTTTAAGCCTTACCTTCATTGCCGAGAGCAATAGAGAACTTATTTGATCTATCATTAAATCGTATCCTAGTTGGATGCGATAAACTCGCAACGCTATCTCTGTATTTTTTGGTGGCAAGGGTTCCAGCGCGAATCGTAACAGCATTTCTGTAATAGTTAGGATAGCTAAAGTTATTTCCTCAGTACTATGATTGCGATCCTGCTCCTGGTCTACTTCATTTCGACTTAAGATACAGGGCTTTCCATGCAGGAAATCATCCCAGTATACGCTCAATGATTGATGAGGAGCAGCTGCTTGATCAACAGCATGCCAAAAAAAATTGGGGTTTAGTGGTTCGCCCCATTTATGCAGAATGGACGGTAAGCCTTGAACGAGAAGGCGATGTGCCTCAGACCGGGAACTGATACTCAAAATGCGGTAGAGACTTGGAAAAAGCACCTGCGTGAGGTAGGTTTTTTCTGTCTGTAGAAGGTCGGTGACATTTTCAAGGGCTTGCAGAATGTCTGCGAGGAGATCATCGTTCATGCGCCCCAAATCCAGTACCAAGAGGAGCGCCTCCAAAAGATTACTATCTCGGGCAGTTTCGGTATTGAAATTCGGCTTCTCCCCATACTTGAACATTTTCAGATGGTCATGACAAAGCGGCCAAATGCTGGTTGGAAGTGGCGGGAGTGACGAGAGCACCGAATCTTTTCCAAGGTGCTGTTGACAGGCACGTAAAAGTCGAGTTGTCATTAGTTGTGACTCCAAGTCAATTGACATGGTTTCATCGCGTAGCTTTTGCGCTGTATAGGTTATCCAATCGCGGCTGTCCTTACTCCCACCCGCCATCACAATGGACAATACATTGGTTGAGATCCTCGCAACCAGCGATTCACAGAGCCTCGAAATATCGTTCATATGTTCTACGAAAGCGATTTTGTCACCTTCATTACCCTCGAGAACACCAGCACTTTTCCTTGCCTTTAGTTGGGGTCCAATACGTCCCTTGATCCTATTCATAACCCAGCTGTTTTTAACCGTCCGCAGCTGCAGCAAACGTAGTAAAGTTTCTGAATGTATTTCGTGCGGGAGCAAGCTTTCACCTACAACTGGCACAACCAGGTCGGTTTCATATAGCTTTAGTAGACTTGCAGCAACTGCGTGAAAGAACTTCGATTGTATAGACTTGACGGTCCCTTGGATCATATGATTGAATAGTGGTATGGCGCACTCTTTCAGGAACTCGGCTACACTAAGTACAACTTGATTGGCGTCATTCTTAATGGTGAAAGCCATATATATAAATTCGCTAAAATTGCGGTAATGCTGCTCAATTGTACCAACGTTCCCCGATATATCTGAATTTTCTAGGAGTATGTCGTGTAAGACTCTAACAAGGAGAGTGGGAGTCTCTGGAGTAGATCGTAACCAGGGAAGCTGCCCTAGATTTATGAGTACCTGGAGGAGGATAGTGCACTGACCACGATTCACAATTGCGTTGTAAATGATTTTGGAAACAACATGATAGGGGGCTATTAAAGAGATCTGAATTCAGGAGTTGCACAAAACAGAGGTTGTCAGTAAAATGAATATCAATAAGGAGAGCATACGTAAATCATACCATAAGATTTACGAAGAGAGTAGAGAACATAGGGTATACCTTAATCAGCGATTCGACCGTATGTGATGGTGCGAGTGACTTGGATGATTGTTCAGTGACGATGAGTTGGTTGAGTGCAGCAATGAGCTGGACATCAATGTTAATACGCCAAAAATCCCAAGAGCCGAACAACGGACCTGTTGCATCGTTACAAATAAGACTAAATATACATATGAAGCCACAAAGGTACGGTGTGAGCATGTTGTTATGCCTTCTAGTGTAATTTTAAATGAATCATAGCTGCTTTGTTACCTGGAGGTACTGAATAAATGGTCCCTGAGCTGGCACCGCAGTGGTTCAGATTTTGAGAACACTGATAACAATAGTTCACAACCTAGCTGGAAAGTCTCAAATGAGACTCTTAAAGGATCCGCTCGATGTCTTTTTAAGTACTTGCAAAGAACATCACATAGGTCCCAATGTAGGCCGCATGTGCAAATAAGATCAGCAAAGGTTTCATTGATAGATCTAAGTGAGACATTATAAAGAATATAAGGAGTAAGTTAACGGAGGGACTAATATAACAGCCATCCTTTTTATTAAAATGAATGTATGGAAAGTAGGTAGACACACACACCTTTCAGCAAATATGGCAAAGAATTGAAGTTTCAATTTGACACATGATTTCCATCCGACTTCTCGATTGCCAATTGTATGGTCAACCCATTCAATGTGGCCTTTCAACACAATTTGTTCTTGTGGACTATAAAGTGAGCCATCTAAAGCAAGCCTGCTAATGAAGCCCGGCGGATGGCTATGGAACATTTGACGACGCCGAAGAGTATTACAGATAGAGATAAATGCTCTTTGATGATCATCAAGAGGCTTTATAGGTATAGCAGGAGTACATGGCGTCTTCCAAGTTGTGGCAAGGGATTGGTCTGCGAAGCTTAAGTCTTGTTTCAACTTTGAATAAAATCTGTTTAATCGTGAATTTACCGGCGTCTGATCTTCCAGAGAGTGAACCCGCCTTCGTTTTGATGCACCTAAAGTACCTTGTCGTCTTAGAAGTAGATCTAGGAACCCAGGAATCAAATCATCCATACGTTTAAAGTCATCCCAGTACTCCTGGATGAAGCTATCGTGGTCACCACAATGTTCAATCAAAGTTTCCATTATGTCTTTCAGTAGTTTATGAGTCATATGGCCTATAGAGACTTGATTATCCACCTTTGCCTCTAGGTTGGTCTGTTCTGCCAGGTGCATCTTTAAAGTATATGCTCTTGTCAACCTCAAGAACAATCGATCCATGATGTTATGAAGGGAAACTAGTAAAAGCTGCCTGAAACGCTCCTGTTCTGTGATATGTTCCATCCAACGGTCTGCTAGTACCGATGGTCCTTGGGTTCTCTGTTTAATACCGCCATCCCTTTCGAGGCGGATACTCTCAGCAATGAGCTGATCCACAGTCCATATAAGCAGGTCAGCGGCTAATTTGACAGATAGATGTTGTGATTCCAATATGAGAGTTATAAGACGAGCCCTCTCCATAGCCGTTACTGTTAATAAATCCGAGAGGAGCTCGTCATGAAGATTCAGCCCCTGAACAAGCTTAAGGTATGAATCCGTGCTTAGTGGCCATGCTACGTTAAGAGTTAAAAATTCATCTTCACATCTTCCTAAAAAAATGTACAAGAGGTATAGTGATTTGAATATTGTGTTATTCAGTAGCGTGCATAATACCAGTGACAGTTTGATACCTATAGAATAGTTCACATACTTGAAGACCAGGCGTCAAACATGTATCCATGAACAAGTTTCTTCAACGATTCGCTTTCCGCTCCTTTAATCGACAGAACAAGTTTCAGTCGTGCTAGAAGTCTGCCAGTCATCCTATTTTTGATCCGCCAAAATTGAACATGGTTAGCAACATAGTCTTTTTGTGCCCAATACAGGCATCCGAGGATTTTAAAAACATGCCTCGACCGCTCTTGGATATCGTTTTGGTTTATATAGCATGATAAAAGAGCCGCTTCAAGATCAATCTAAAGTAAGACGTTAGACCTTCATTGTATTTCGATAATAAACTTTCAGCAAGTAAATAGTAGCGAGCATCCATCAATTGATTAAATAAAAACCAGCCAATCTACCTTAACACGTAGTGCCACGCTTCCCGCTCTTGATCGGTGTGTCAATGACATTCTTGAAGTACTGTTGATGCTGGAGAGGAATGTCACAGCCTATTTTACATTGACATAGTATTAGGCAGTCACAGCTGTAGGCTTAAACAATACAAATCAAAAAGGACATGGTTTTCTGAACTAAGTATCATTGAAAAAAAAAAAAAAAAAAAAAAAAAAAAAAAAAATCGACCCTTAAAAGAAAAAACAGTAGAAGGCAATACGAAACTTAAGCGCCATTGCACTCTCAGGATGCCATCCAGCTGCAAGGAAATTAGGACCGAGCTGGTTGAATGCATCCTCAAGTCTGATTGTGTTATCAAAGATGCATTATCCCCAAAAGAGTGTCTTCGTTCCGAGAATGAATATAGAGTGCCGGCTGAATGCGTAGCCATAAAGAGAAGCTTTTTTGAGTGCAAGCGAGGAATGGTATTTTTTTTATTTTTATTTTCATCATAATCAGCATTTGACTCGCATACATTTTTTTTTTTTCTACACAACCTGACCCGGTTTTTTTTTCTTATCGTGCAGCTGGATATGAGAACAAGGTTCAGAGGCAACAAATCATAATATGGATTACTTATAAAGCATGCAACAGCAGCAATGACAAAAAGTCAGCAGAATAAACAGCGACAGTATAAACGGAGTGCGGTCTTTCAGGAACTACATAGTTGCCATTTTATCTTCTTTTATCCACGATATCATCTCAAGACGCGGCATTTGGCTCAATATAAAATCAGCCATAGAATGTATTATATTAGCATATTAAATCAGGGTTTATAGCATTGCAATTAAGATTCCTCTTTTATGCTTGAATGCCAACATAAGCTGATATCTACAGATCGACTTAGTATAGATTAATTCTTGCACTAGAGGTTTATCAGTGCCAATAACCGCTGTCTCTCTTCGTTAATATTATAATGTATGTCCGATGTTCGAGTTTTAATCCCGTTCCAAATCTCATATGCATCAACATGATTTGGCGTTTATAATCTTGGCACTTAAAGCGCAAATAAAAAAAAGAGGGGAATCCTGTGAGGCGATTTACAAATAGGTTATGAGTGGGGAAATTTGGAAAGTCAGGTTGAAGAAAAATTGAGCTGTGTCGATTGATCATTTGAAAAATAAAAATAAAAAATATCTAGAAATAATCGGTACGTTAAGTGTTTATTGTAGTCCTTGCTGATGTATATCTTTATTCCTGTTTAATCTCTACCACGACCGCGTCCACGGAAGTCGCCTCTGTCACCACGACCAAAGCCTCCTCTACCTCCCCTTCCACCTCCTCGAGCTAAGGGACACAAAAGTAAAAGCGAAAAAAAAAAAACAAAAAAAAAAAAATTAGTAGCCTTGATCGGAGCCCGTCATACTCGCAAGATGTAAAAAGCTAACTTAAATAGCCCAGTGTCATGTCGTATGGTATGACGAGTATAATATGTAGTATTGGTGAGTGGTTAAAAATGACCTGCCTTGTGCTCTTGCTACTGTCGCCTTGCCTCTGCCCAGTCCAATACCCTTGCCCTTCATTGATGCTGCACCTTGTTGCTTGAACATGGGCGCATTCTTGAGCATGTCTGGTACAATGAAGAAGCGAATATGGGATCCACGAATGTAGACTTGATCCAGCTGTGTCATACGCCCATCCCTTGCAGTCATAGTAATGTCTTTGAGCTGAATATTCATATTGTCCTCAGCTATTTAAGATTATTTAGTCAAAAAAGAACAACAGTGGAGTGATAGAGAATTAAGAGGTTAAAAATGGGATTATCGCCTCATAATAGCCGTGGTCAAAGGATGCATTTCATGATTCGTTATTCCTCCCGTATTTACCCTCAAAGAGAGTGCCGCGGTAGACAGATCCAGTCTTCAGCTCGATAGTAATAATATGACCCTGAGCCTCATGAAGCAGTTTGATGGGGACACCGATAGACATTGCGGTATATGAAGATGTAATGAACCTGTAGGGATAAGAGGTAATGGGTGTTCCAGGAATCAGGACTGATAGATCAAACCATTCCAAAAGTAATACAAATGTCGCTCAATCTACGAATTATACATGTCACGAGACGAAATATCCACCAGATCTGCTCTGTTACAGTCCATCAAAATAAATTAACCCAAAAAAGTATTGTCAAACCAATACTCACAATTTTTAAAAGAAAGGCCTTTCAGGACCTGGTTATATTTGTAGTAGACCAAATCCTATTGTTGCTGCCGGCTTGATGTCTCTCCTCCTCCTGGACTCAACAAAGGTTCTTTCGGTATCTCGAGTTTGGACCCAGCCTGTTAGTGAGCATTTGCAACACACATAAACCACACATAAGCCACACAGGCTGATGGCGAGCCTACGCGTCGTAGGGATTCGTGGCTGTGTGCTAAGTAAGATTATGGTCATGAGATATCACAAATGTGTTTTATGTCTGTTCAAAAATGACCAGAATCCAATGGTGAATCCTTTCATCGTCCATGGCCTCCATGATATAATCAGGCTTCAATGATGGGTTTCTCCGACCATTGATACACGTGCATAGTTAAATTGATTGGACACTTAAAGGCGTAGAGTATTTTTGTGCCATGGTGTTGAGAAACATGGCTATTAAGAAATTGAAATTTCGTACGCGTTTTTTTTTTTTTTTTTTTTTTTTTTTTTTTTAGTGGTAGTGCTAATATATTATATATAATTGATGGGTTTCTTCTAAATTGTTCATGAACCCAATCCGTCTATGCGTTTCAAAAAATTAAAAAAAAAAAAAAAAAAAAAAAAAAAAGAAACACGAGCCGGTGACGCAAGGCAAAGGTCTTGGTACTTCTTTGGCCTTAATCACTTTGTTTACCCCTTGGACCGTAAAACGGGAAATAGTTGCCTATTTAGCTTTCATCAATTCATGGCCAGCTCAGATCACAGTTCTCTAAGCAGAAAACAATCGTCTATTGTATGGTAAGAAAGAAAAAATCAATCGACAGAAAAATCAGCATATATCAAGCCATATAATCACAATGCGCTATGTCTACCATTCACTTACCCCCACTTCTTTGCGCATCTAGCAGCTTTTACCGTTTTTTCATTTGTTGTTGATAGTCATGGCGAAGGCTGGATTTGGCATATGAAGAGCTGTAAACAGCTCGAAATAAAAAAAACAATTTGTTTCTCCCTTGTTGTTTTTTAAATATGATCCTTTTGTTTCGAGTTGCATTGCTGCTCCACAATGAAAGCAAATTTGTGGTAAATTCAACAGCCTTTTGTTTCACTCTTTTTCATACACCTTCAAATACGCCGCCTCTCTCTCTCATTTCATACTGATATAGCGACATTTATCTCTCACCCCCTCACATAAATCATGTCTACCCTAACAACTTCAACTTCAGTCTATAGCTGCTTAAGCTAGCATTGCTTGCATTGTTTTATATATGCTTTCCCTAGATGGGTATAAAAGGGTTCTATTCATAGCTTTCAAGGAGAGGTCTGCCACCAAAGGAGATTGATGTACATAAGCTTGCTGCTGACCCGATTCATTTTTTGAGTTGGATCTGCTTGGTTCTCTGCACAGCGATATACACAATATCATCCCAAGGAAATTCAACCGGCAGAGTTCTTTCACTGCTTGCGGCCATGTTATGAATAGTATCATTCTAAAGATCTTTGGCCCTCTTGCCACAGTAACGATATACATTGGTGAGCTTCGCTGCAATGAAAAAGCGCACGCTTATAGGGGCTAAGGTACTAAGCGTACAACAGCTGATGGAAAACTCGATACACTCATAGCCAACATGAAAACCAAGTCCACTGAAAGGAAATGGGAATCTCGAAGCCATATGATTGTCATTAAAAAGAATCTTCGATATCTCTTCACATTTAGTCATAGCGGGAAGAGGGAACTCACAGCGTCATTTGGCCGGTACAATAACTTTGTAATCTGCCACTGTAGCAAAGATGCTGATGTATATATTGCCGCCAAATGCACATCAGCCAGTATCGCTGTACCTGGAGACTCTGGCATTCTCATCTATCCTTCTGTACAATGAGTTTTTCGTCCAATCCCTCATCGCCATTACATTTATGCGCTCTATGAGAAACAAGGGGCCCTGCAAGCCCTCGAGTTTTCAAGCGACATTCAACTCCTGCCCTATGGCGTTATATACGATAACGATTACACCCTAAATATCCCTACCTTTGCTCTTACCACAAACGCTGAGTTTATCTCAGCGCTCACTGACACCAATGTCGAAAATTTGACGGTATCATATGTTCATGAGGTCCATGCCCTTAGCCGTGGAACTCCTTCAGAAGGCCGATTTGACCATTCAATCAATGTTTTCTTTGGTGGGGCTCAAACCCAGTTTTTGCAACAACCAACCGCTGAAAATTTCCTTCATTACTATGGCGGAATGAGGGCGCGGTATCCGCTAGGTACTAAATCAAAAATAATCAACTTCGACTCAGGTAAGCTGCTTCAAATGAACATTTTACAAAGCATATACGTAAAAAAAAGTCATCTAACCCTTGACACTGTCGTTTCATAATTAGATACTTTAAGCCTAAACGCATAGAGCCGAACCGCTATTGACCTATTTTCCCTACTGAGAAAAGGGGACTCTCTCCCAAAAAATATGACCCGATCAACTGTAAACAACACGACCGTTCTGTCAGCTCCGGTCATCAAAGAAAGTCCAAAAAAAAAAAAAAAGAAAGATGAGAAAAAAGAGAGGGCAAAGGAGAAAAAGAAGAAAAAGAAGAACAAAAGGAAGGTCAAGTACATCAGAAAGACTGATAAACCTAGGAAGATGAAAGCTACTGCCAAGAATCGACCTTACTGTTGCATTAGCTCTGGGTACGCTTAAGACGTGTATAGGTGCCAAGCTGAACTCCAATTTCGATCCCAATCTCAATCCCAAGCCACTTGCTGCTACAACCCAAGGGCTCATTCAGCCCCTTTATCAAAATGTTGAATGAGGCACGAGTTCGAGCTTCCTGGACCTACGACTTGTGGATTGATAACCTACTTACCACCGGGCCACCTAATCCAGCTGATCCCCCACAATTCCTGGATGAAGTTCTTGGTAGCAGGGACTTTATTTACGGTTGCTGTATTATGGGGTGATGATTCCATTATCCAAGTATATAAGAATGTGAAGAAAAAAGGCGAAGAAAATGTAGTCGAGCCGTCCCAGCTCAAAGCATACGGATACTTTATACAAAAATAGAATTTGGTCCTTTAAACAAGATCTATCCCAATTTTGCGATCAGTAAATCAACCCAAATGGCCAAGCAACACTAAATCTCGTTATCGAGATGCACAGGTGAATATAATATTTTGAAGTTGTCTTATAATACATTCATAGAAATGATTCCCCAGGCGATGGGAGGAGTCCCACCCAATCCTTTTTTGAGCAAAATGCTACTGCCAAAAATATCTGGATTTCCCTAGATCCGCTTCCTCATACTTAACTGATGACTGCCTTCTGGACATATTATGGTTTAATTCCACAGTACGAGAGGAAATAGTCCTGGTGCTGGGATTAAGGGAGGGTATCAAGGAGCCGCAGAAATCAAGGTCCTTAATCAAAAAGGAATATTGTTATAAGAACTGTTTTCCCTGAAAGGATGAAGGGCTGGCCCTAGGAGGAAGCTACGAACATCATTCTTTACAAATAGCCTTATCCTTACTCTTCTTGCTTATGATGCACCAAAGCAAAAAAGAGGTAGAGAATCACAAGCTGCTCAACCTTCGAAAATTTAAACATATCGGGCAGCCCAGACTACTTCAAGTGCTCAGCGGGGACCTAGTCATGGCGCAGGCGATGGCAATGAGACGGAGACGATGGCGAAGATGAGGATGATGATACCTTGCTGGGTGTCAACGATATTGACTTGCTGGAAGTTGATGGACCATTCTTAGATGGTGACAGAGAAGAAGCAGCTGAAGGAGGTATATTGAGTACAAATCCGCTGTCTCCAGTGAGCCCCAACCCTCGGCACGAGATCAACTGGTTGCCGTCTTCTCGACAATGTAGAAGTTAAATATGACACCAGACAGCGTGCACTCCCCCCGGAAATACCGTTATTATTGGGATCGATCCAAGCGAGAGGCATTCGATGCCAGTTGCGAGATTGGATCCAAGAAAGCCTAACGAATGCAAGATCCTTCGGAATTCTAGAGCGTATTTTTACAAATCATCCAAGAAGTTCTGGGGAGAGCTAGAAAGGCGGAAGCTTGGAAGAGGAATTACAGTAGTTGAAAGCAACATTCCACTATTCTCAAGGTCTTTTGTAACACAGTATTCCTCTTATATGAGCTCGCCACCAAATCAAGCTTCATCAAGTACCGGAGGTAATTTCACTAGTACTGGAGTTGGAGCCGATAGTAGCAGTGGAGCTGGAGTCAGTGAAGTCAGTGGCAATAATAGGGGACTATATATAGAGCGCTTGTCGATTTCTATAATGATAGTTGGTTTGTTCGAAATATCTGGGACAGTAGAAAAGCACAGAATGGATGCATTGATTATGTGATCAACGCAATTCTAAAGCTTGCAGGCGGAAGTAATGGAGGAAGAAGAGGTGCCAATACGAATGTGGTGGTCTGTATTGGACATAGATCATTCAAGGTAAGCATCGAAGCATGGGATATTGACGAAAAAGCTTGTTGAAAAGGAAAAAAACATCTTCTGATCAATGACATCTAATTTTGGGTCTTTTTTAACATGGGTATTAAATTGGGCAAAACCTTTAGACTACCCCATTGCAGGTTGTTACGAACATTACACATCTGCCAAGTGTCCATGGCCTCACTGTGATGCTTTATTGGAGAATGTTCATTATCGATCCAAGTACTGTCGAAATTGTAATTAATTTATTTATTTCTATGCCTAATGAATTTCTTGTTCTTTTTACAATATCCTTGGTCTAGATGATGTTTTTTAATGGGGAGGACTATAAAGGCTATATGTAGACCCCCCCATATATTTTTAATCTAAAAACCACGATCGAATTGGTTTGATGGCATCTCACTACGTAACGGGTTTGTAACAACAAGCGGGTCGCTGCTAATACACTCAAGAGTATTCAAAAAATATAAGGAATCGCGAGCAAATGAAACGGACTATACAGTTGGGAGAGAACAGAAAAAAAGGATTTTACTCCGGGCGGCTCGAGTATTCTTCCACTTTCTCTGTAATCTTCTCAAATACAGGAAACAAGGAAGATTTAGGGAACTGTTGGACTAGGTCGGTATCCATTGCTGTCAAGGTGGGGTCAATTGGCACTCTACCTAAAAAATTGAGTGCAAATTCTTCCGACATGGCCTCCCCGCCTCCGGCAGAAAATAAGTTATTGCACTCCTGTCGAATTATCGTTTCATCAGGCGGGGTGAATTTAGAGTAATGCAAATGCAAGGTTTGGTTAGCAAACTTTTAGTAGCCAAACTGATAAATGCTTACAAATGAGTGCATTCCATGACTATGCAAATCTAAGTAACAAGAGTAATAGCATTACAGAGCAGTGAGGGCAAATGAATCCACTCATATTCTCGATCAAACCGACGATAGGGATACCGACTTGTCGACAGAAGCTGACCTGCTTTCGCACATCCGACAATGCGACTGCCTGTGGAGTTGTCACCAGAACTACGCCATCTGGATTATATGCTTTGACATGCTCTACAATCGAAATGTTTTCATCCGAAGTGCCTGCATTTGAGTTTTGCAATGATTCAGAAATGGTCAATAGGAGATGTTTAATAGGCCGTATTAAAGATTCGCCATCCGATGAATTAATCGATCGAGTTACAGTCAGCCATTTTACCTGGCGGCGTGTCGACAATCAGGTAGTCCAGCTCACCCCAGCAGGTGTCTGTTAAAAATTGGCGGATCATGGCTATAAAATAAAGAAGATAAAAACCGAAATGAGATTCTTAAAGTACTGCGCAGTTAAGCATTTTCCACTGATATCACAATTTCCTTTTGTTATTATACCTGTCTTCTTGGGCCCACGCCAAACTACGGAGTCGTCCTTGTTTTCAAGCATGAATCCAATCGACATACAGCAGAGCTGCTTCTTTTCATCTGCAAACACTGGGATCCATCTGGACAGATCGAGGATTGAATGGTTAATTCTGACTATTATTTCTCGGGAAAATGAGGTTCAATATGAAGTAAAAGAAGGTGTAGGCCACATGAGTGCACATTACCCTGCTGATGACTGGTGGATACCCTTGCCATCAAGTCCGAGCATGCGAGGGATTGAAGGTCCACAAAGATCGATATCAAGCACACCCACCGTCTTTCCTCGAGCGACAAGCGACAGAGCCAGTTGGGTGGTAACGGATGATTTACCTACACCGCCTTTTCCAGACATGACAAGGAGGATATGCTTGACTTTGTCGAGTTGTGGTGGTTGTTGCATGCTGTTGTGGTTTGTTCATGTAATGAAGCTGAGGGAATGAGAAACCAAAGCTGATGCTTGCTGAGTAAACAGTAATAGACAATAGTATTCACGTGACTACGGTCTGGTCCGCCACTAATTTTACATTTGAATTAAATGAATTAATCTATTTGACAACCCGGGTTGTCACTCTTATTTGACAACCCCTCCCTTCTCAATTTTTTTTCTTTGCGTGACAACCCCAAGCTCACTGTTATTTGATAACCCTTTTTTTATTGGCAAGATTTATTATGTGAAAATCGTTTCTATTGCTATCCCTCAGCAACACGAAATCCCTCCAGCAATCTAAAAGCTTCCATCAAATAACAAACTTTTTTTTTTTTTTTTTTTTTTTTTTGGTTACGAGGTGTTGTTTTTTATTACAACTGATTTCTAAAACAAGGGTTTGCTTTTATAGAAAATGTGCCTATACGGGTAACATGCACTAAGGGTTTTTTTTGGATAAGCATGCATAAATTCGGAGTGGTTATGCGAAAATAATCTTACATTGTTCCTTATTTGGTTCCTGTTGCAATACACTCCTGAGCTTCTTTGCGCTCTGCTGGTGTCATCGCCCATATATAATTACAATTGCTTTGCACTTCTCTCATCATGGCGGCCCCTTCCCTTAGGGTCCTTGTTAACAAAAAAAACTTATCATGATAGCCCTCTTCTGCCTCCGCTTGTCTCCCGCTTCTCCCTCTAATTGTCTATTGTTCATTATCATTTGGAGTATTCAATGGTCTGTAAGATATGGCGACATTTTTAAAGGATGTCTTGGCAAGGACGAGTGTAAAGCATAGACGAAGAAAAGGAAAAAAAAAGAGAGACAGAAGAAGCTATAACCACAGTCATGATAATGGAGTGTTGCCACCATTTTAGAAATCCAGCTGAGAAAGGCCCTCCATTAGTGCAAGAGAGTGAAGACTTGTCATGTGACAGGTTGAAAAAGACAATTTTTCTTCTTTTTTGACAACCCGGTTGTCAAATAACAAAAAAGAGAAAATTGAAGACCTGGGTTGCCAAATAAGCCGGTGTGACTGCTAAATTAGGGGGGTTGTCAAATAAGAGTGACAACCTGGGTTGTCAAATAGATTCACCCCTAAAGAAACTGAAAAAAACACTGATATGGCCTGTGAAGCAAAGTGTCAATGTTTAAATCCATCATCAACCCACGATATAAATTGAAAGCACTGTCTTCCTACTTTCTCGCTCGCTCGCTTGCTCTTTGGTTCCATCTCTTTATCGACGTTGTTACCGCAGCCCCTTGTCCCTGTATATTTGCATCATTCTTCTCTGCCTGAACGTTTTGTTTTTTATCTAAGGTCAATATTGATTTTTGATCAATTCAGTGGCAGCGATAACCTAGGGTCACACTACTTTCCGGCTATTGCCGTGCTTTATTTGGAGGAATTTCATCAGTTAAAAGTGAATTTTTACTTGAAGGACTAATTCTGGCCCTCATGATCAGGGGGCAGACATTTTTAAATAACGGATGGCAGTGGGAGCATGCGATATAGCATGTGTATAGCTTTATGTTGACTTGGATACTTCACCAACCGACAACCTTTTTAACAATTTAAATATCTTTTTTTACAAAGCAAATAGTAATACGTTTATCCTCAAGTCTTGTTAAAGTTTGGAAACGTAGTCATGTGGGTGGTGCATTTAGACAGAAGCTTTCCTTTTCCCATGTCGGTTATTGTCTAAGTGCTGGATAGTGATCATTGATATCATTGAGGCTCGTAAAAGTTTTATTTAGGGCGCGTGTCTTTTGTCATTAGGCGAATCCCAAAATATTTTGAATATCTGAAGTTTTTCCAACGACATTGATTTTTATAGATGCGTTCATCGAGACAAGGGCGTCCTGAAATTATTTATTTGATGTCTAAAGGCACGGATATTCAAATCAAAAGAGGTGGTTTGTGCAATAGAGTGGCAATGTACATCAATTTCTCTATTTCTAGAAGGTTTTTACCTCCAAGGCAGAATGTTTTGTGAATTTGCAGAGTTATAATTTGTGAAGCGTTAATGAAAATAAACCGTGCGCAAATACAGTGTCTTTGTAGGTTTACTTAAAGAGTAGATTTGGGCTTTGCACTAAGCTACTCGTTTGATTGACACGCATTGGCTCTCGCGCCGTTTGGCGAGTAGGATTCAGGTTTCATCAACTCCTGATGGTAAGTAAACTCATGAGGACGTGGTATTGCTAATTAATGTTTACGCTTGTGGAGATCATTCGGTCCAAACTTTCATGTTGTTACTTTGGAAGGGGGTGAGGCGGATGACAGAGATTTGACAGTGGCGACTTTCACTACCGTTGCTCTCGAATTTGGGACCAATTGAGTGGATCAAGGGTTGGCAAAGGGTTACACTATTACTGCTATTAAATATCGCAGTTTGAGTGATCGGTATTGAAATATCGAGTCCTTGGCTCAGCATTAAGAGTTCCAGTTGACGGCAATGATAGATTCAAGGGGTAAAGGAGCAATAGTCGTGGTAGCTGATGTCGATGGAATGGCATGTAGCTCTTACTGCAATGCTATATGGTATTATTCCTGTATCAATTAATTTTTGTATTTTACGTTTGCTAATTTGCTTTTTAAAGATGTTTGGACAGAGTTGTTGCAAGAGTTACTACTTCAAAGTGAGTGGGAAGGACGATGGAAATAAGAAGAATGGTTTAATAAAGGGAAGAGCTGTGTCTCAAAGGGATAGGTCATCTGGACACTTGAGTGCCCATAGTAGCATCAATTATTGGAAAAGTTTTTTGTTGTTTTAGTGTCAATTGATAGACAGACAAATGCCAGAGTGAAAGGTAATGGGTGAGACTGCAACGTATGTACCAGTATCGTCCTTTTCGTTGCTGTTGAAAAGACATTTGTAAGTGAGAATAATTTTCTCGTAGTAAACGGGATCTCGCTAGGAAAAAGTATAAACACGTTATGCATCTCAACCTTCTGTGTAAGATAGGCTTTATTGCTGTTATTAATGTTTTGACGGAGATGGAGCGCAAACATTGGAATAGGGGTAATAAATAATAATGGGTGACCACTTGAGTCATGTGAATGCTCAAGGGGTCATACAATGCCGGATGATTCCTCTCTCCTATTTTTGTTGCTCCCGATGGCAATTAGTGGTTACATATAAAGTATAGGATGTAAATTAGTAGCTACAACGACAATGACATTCAACGTCCATTTTGCATGTTTTTCTTTCTTTCGCATTCCTTCTAGTCGTAAATACAAATACACATAGACCTTCAAAGACCGGATCAAAAAAATGTCTCGATACTCAGGGAGCCCGCCATCCTCAAACTATCCGCAAGAAGATGTGACAATCCAATACAATCCTACCGGTGACACATCCCCACGTCGACCCACGCCTCTGCTCGCGTCTGGTTACAATGCCGATATCATGAACAGCAATAGCAGCGATAAATACATATCTAGTCCATATTTTCATTCCCAATCAAGTATGCCCATGCCCATACCCATGCCCATACCCATGCCCATACCCATGCCCATGTCTATACCTATGCCTATGCCTATGCCTATGCCTTTACAACACCATAACTCCATGCTGGACCCAGCCCATTCTCGTACGCAATATATCGTTCCCGCTTCAAATCTAACATTAGGTCCAGGAGGATTCGTCCCAACAAATTTATCGGCAGCATCACCAGCTCCAGGCAAGCGACATTATGGACCAGCTCCTATTACTCAACGCCGTCGATTTCATACTACCAAGAGGGTCAAGTTGACATCTGGCAACTTGGTTTTAGACTGTCCAGTGCCATCTATGTTCTTAAAGACGCTGAAGTATCAAGAAGGAGAGGAATTTACTCATATGCGGTATACGGCCGCTACCTGCGATCCGGATGATTTTGCAGCGGAGAACTACACATTACGGCCTTTAATCATAGATGGTCTGCCGCGCGAAACAGAACTATTTATTGTCATGACCATGTATAATGTAATCAAGCTCTTGAAAGAAAGAGGAAAATAGAATATATGGTTCATTATAGCAAACCAACAAATTTTCCTCATTTGACATGTATTTTTTTCTAATATAGGAGGATGAAGTATTGTTTACGCGGACCATGCATGGCGTAATGAAGAATATCCGCCATCTATCAACACGTGATCGGTCACGAACATGGGGATCTGATTCATGGAAGAAAGTGGTAGTCTGTATTGTATCTGATGGACGCTCAAAGGTCAATCCAAAGACTTTGAATGTGCTTGCAGCCATGGGAGTCTATCAGGACGGTGTAGCCAAAAACATTGTGAATGACAAGCCTGTTAATGCACACATATATGAAGTATTGTTATTAATATTGTTGCTTTTGCTGATATAGTAACGACAAGGGTACATATAGAGGAGTGATGACATTTCTGCATTAACAACACTCTCCTTTTTTTGTATTCCAGTATACTACACAAGTAACCATTGACTCCCATATGGACCGTTCAGGTCATGATAAAGGCTTTGTTCCAGTTCAGATTCTGTTTTGCCTTAAAGAAAAGAATGCCAAAAAGCTGAATTCACATCGGTAAAAGCACTGTAAAAAACCTAAGAGATGATGGAGAGATAGAGTTGATTTAGCACTAATATTCTAAGTGATTTTTATCTACAATGCTCCTTAGATGGTTCTTTAATGCATTTGGGAAAATATTGAAGCCCAACGTTTGTGTGCTACTAGATGTAGGGACGCGACCTGGGTCAACCTCGATTTATCACCTCTGGAAGGCATTTGATCTTAATTCGAACGTAGGGGGCGCCTGTGGAGAGATTTGTGCCATGTTGGGCCGTGGAGGCAGTCAATTGCTCTCGCCTTTGGTTGCATCTCAAAATTTCGAATATAAAATGTCCAACATACTCGACAAACCATTAGAATCCGTTTTTGGATACATTTCAGTTTTGCCAGGGGCTTTTTCTGCATACCGCTACCGTGCCTTGCTGAACGATGCTACCGGTCAAGGACCTCTCGAGAAGTATTTTTTGGGTGAAAAATTTCACGGTTCAGAAGCCAATATTTTTACAGCTAATATGTATCTGGCAGAAGATCGAATTCTATGTTTTGAACTGGTTGCCAAGCGTAATAGCGCTTGGGTGCTACAATATGTCAAGTCTGCTTATGGGGAGACAGATGTTCCAGGAACCGTCGCAGAGTTTATTTCACAGCGCCGGCGATGGTTAAACGGATCATTCTTTGCCTCAGTTTACGCATTGACCCATAGTATGAATATCTGGCGCTCAGACCATTCAACAACACGCAAGTTATTCTTTCATCTCGAGTTTTTTTACAGCTTTGTTTCTTTGGTCTTTTCGTGGTTCGCTTTGGTAAGAGGGCTCGACCAACTCTTAGCATCGGGCGACATTTTCTCGGATTAGACGCTTGCCGAATGAACACTTCTAACTATATATCTTTCTCTATCTTCCCCATATTTGACGCAAAAGGGCAATTTTTATCTAACTTTCTATATTCTCGGTAGTGCCATGGTATACACACTTAATGAAGATGGTACTGTGGCACAGCCTAGCCCATTTGGCGCCAACGATGTTGGATTTTGGGTCTTCACGGTCACACGTTACATATACATTCTTTTGATCATCGTTCAATTCATCATGAGCATGGGTAACCGTCCACAAGGGTCAAACTGGGCATATAAGACCTCCATGTGGTTCTTCGCATTATTGATGGGATACATGCTCTTTGGAGCCGGATATACAACAATTAGTGGAGTCAATAAGGCACATCGAGATGCAGTGTTGCGGGAAATGGATCATCAATCTCTGGTATCACTCTACTTCCAAGATGCCATTTTCCGAAATACTGCTATCTCCCTGACATCAACCTATGGACTGTACTTCGTTGCTAGCTTTTTATTCCTAGAGCCATGGCATATGTTCCATTCGTTCATTCAGTACCTGTTCATGCTACCGTCCTATGTCAATATCTTGAACGTTTATGCGTTTTGCAACATCCATGATATCTCATGGGGTACCAAGGGAGATACATCCGTTGCAACAGATCTAGGAGTAGCCAAAAAAACTTCTGAAGGGGGTGTCGAAGTGTCGGTGCCGACCGATAGCCACGATATCAACAATGCATATGATGAAGCAGTTGCAGCGCTATCGACGAAGACTGTCGAGGTCAAGAAACGCCGAGATGCGAAGACGAAACAAGAGGATTATTACCGTGAGATCCGAACACGTGTTCTTCTTTCATGGATCATGAGCAATGCGATATTAGTGGCGTTAATTACCTCGTCTGTGTTAGGAGACTTCAGGACAACGAGTACCATCTATCTTGGAATAATTCTCTGGTCTGTGGCCGGCCTTGCGCTGTTCAGGTTCTTTGGAAGCGTAACTTATATGATTCTTCGGCTCTTTAATAGCCGCATTGTATAGACGTGATAAAACAAGGCCATATTATTTACATTTTTTAAAATGCCAAGCCTCAAAAAAAAAAAAAAAAAAAAAAGAATTTCGCTTTATTCGAAATCATTAATTGTATACTTAATTAACCTAATTCATTGCAACAACGATGGGAAAGTCTGCAAAATTCTTCAAACGACCTACACGCAAGGAAAAGGCTGTGTTATCCTTGACAAAAGGATCTGCCGCAAGCAGCTTATTCGACGCTGTTAGCAACCATCACAACGAAAGTGTGGAGGTTAATAAGAAAAAAGGTGTCCTGTCTACTACAGCTAATCCTACTATTATTAAGAAGGGAGCAGGATCAGCAGGGGAGCTAGGAGCACAACCCTCAAAATCCTCACTCGCATACAAGATACAGCTTAATGGTGGTGTCAAACAGGCCATAAAAGATATGAAGCTGTTGCACAAGAACGACGGTGGTGATGATGATCTGATGTCAGAAGATGAAGATATGGAAATCAGAGACAATAAGACTGTGGTGGCAGACAAGGTTAATATCAACAATAATGGTGACAAGAAGGAGCTGGACAAGACAAAGCCTCGACCAGATTATGTTGAGTTGATGTATGGCAAGCCTCAGACAGGGAACAAGAGGAAAACGTTCAAGCCGAAACCAGCGCTCATTAAATAATAGAATGTATCAGTATAATAAAATTATAAACTTGTATTTATATTGCCAATAATAAATTGCTTGACTATTGTTTAACACGCTTCTCCCTAACACATACTGACAGATCCATTGTAACACGACAAAGAGCAGCCTTCTGAGAATGTCGCTGACACGAAGACAGCGGATAACTTTACCTGAACCAGCGCGACGGCTCATTAGTTGTGTGACAGGACTTCAAGTAAGAAAAGGACGAATGGAATGTTTAATTGATTGTCAATGGCTGAAGAAAGGAATTGTTACTTGAATGGTGCTTAACAGAAAAAGATCATTTTCGTGACTTAGGCTGGTCATGAGTACTTTGAGACCTATGAGACTTATGTGGCCCACCACCTCTTCGATGTCAATGGTTCAGGCGGAGGGTGTTGGAGTCGTAATAAGGTCATGGATAGCAAAGCCATTGATAGTCGATTTGTGGGTCTGGCGGAAAAGTTCTCAATAAGGGGTCAGGATACAAAGGCAGATGCGATCAAGAGGTACTTGCAGCAATTAAGGCAGTTCACTCGGTTCTTGGGAGGCGGGGATACTGCAAGGGTGATCGCTGCAACCAATGAAATGGATTTAGAAGACGCTGCTCAGAATACGATGTCCTCGGTGCTTTTTCTTTTTCTTGAGCTGTCCGAGTCACCTACAGAATTGAAGAAAGGCGAGAGTATGTATGTTATCCCAAAAGCATTACAGGAAACAAAGTCCAAACAAAAAACTCAGGAAGAGATCAACAGAGAACTATGGAAGTCAATATTGAAAGAAGATCCGCTGGTGGGTCCTCACTGGCAGACACAAGAACAAGGTGGGATGGAGAGTGATGGAAGCGATTACGAGGATATGGATGTCAGGTCGCGAATTGTACCAAAAGCTCAGGGAGTCCTATTAATGTCTGAAGGTGACAACCATGAATCTTCAGATCACAGTCGGATCCTAACCATTGAGGGACGCGACATGAATCTTCCGAAAGAGCAGCGGGTCCGAACAACAGCTCATGAAGTAGAAGAAAAAATAGCAGAATTGCTCAATGTGCTGAGGAGTCATCAATACTGGGATGAAAACAGCATTATATCAGGGAATAAGATACCAGTGGAAAACCTGGGTCTCAACGAAGCGGAATTTGACATACAGGATTCAACATATTTATACTCTACTCAACAGAGCTCTATGGGGTACATCCTCTCCAAACGGATACCCATAATGGATGAAATCGATATTATCAATGAAGTCCTTTTGCTCCTTCTTGGGCTTCCTACTGTTTTATTTCAGGTTCAAGGTCAAAAAATTAATGTAGGTGTACACATCTCTATGTGTTTCAAATGTGTATTTTATTCACTTCCTGATAGCCTACTTCTCATCCATTTAGTACTCTACCAAGGTCGCTGTTTCTCATCTATCATTGGGAGCCTTAGGCGCAATTCTAGAGCCATTCATGGAAAGCGCGAAAGAGATTATGGAGCTACGGGCAGCCGTCGACAAAATATGTTCCGCGCCTGTGCAAGAGTATGGGAAAGTCATCCAAACTCTGGCTTCTGCCATTCATTTTGAGCTGCTGGACCTCAAAGCGTATCTTGCAGACAAGCAGAAACAATACCAGCGGCACCGTAAATGTAAAGATAATTTGTTAACTGAAAAAAAAAAAAAAAAAAAAAAAAAAAAAAAGCAAATATATGACCAAGACTTTTTCCCTGATACCAGCATCTTTTTATAATCATTGTTATACAACTGGTTATGGTCTCAGCTTATAAACAACGCACCGCGTCTCTAATTGAGCTACACGCGACAATGTCAGGCAAGTTGGCTGCAGTTCGTTTTTTATTGCAATTTTTGAAAGATCGTCAATTTTACGGTAAGTACAGTTTATAGATATAGCTTCGTAGCCGCACCAGAGCGCATGTCAGAGAAAGAAAACGTACTTGGTGACCTTATCGCGTCGATTATCATCTATTTATGCTGCCTTCCACACCTTAGCATTGTCGTCAAGTGATATAAGCAAGAGCGTGTGTACATACGCAACCGACGTGTTATCAAGCCTGTACGATAATATTTGCACATTTGAACTGTGTGGCGATAACATGGCATCTACACTGCTCTTTCGGCTATTTCAGCAAAGTATCCGACCATTCTTCATCAACCTGGGATGCTGGCTTTCAGGAGAGCCTCTTGACTCAAAACCTGAGTTTCTAGTGCAAATGTAAGGTAATTATTTTTTATATTTCCATCTTCCATTGTTTTAGGGAGTATACACAGGGCTAATCATCAACGACAAATATAACGTTCTGTTTTATCTTATCTGCCAAGGGCATCTAATGTTGATCTGTTTTCAAATGAGTTTTGGTCTAATGGTTGTTATGTTCAGTCGGAGGTTATGGGCTCCAGCAATAGTATCAGTATTGGAAAAACAGTAACCTATCGCATAGTGCCTTGTTTTTTGAGTGAAGAATCCATCAATCAGATAGTATACACAGGGAAGGCTATCCGAATTGTTCAAGCATTGATGGCTGAAGAGGTAAGGCGCTTTAATTTTTTATTTAAAAAAAAGAAACCAGTGGATTAAAATAACCTGAAATAACTTCTCTAGACATTTATTGCTCCTGCCGCCATGGGATTAGCCTCGAAGGTTTATCAAAGCATATTCGGGGTACAGAGCCCCATTGGCACCAAAAAACAAGGGCAAAATTCAGTAACCGTCAGCATGAATAGCCAATTTCCGTATTATCATGCCATACTGGCTCTCCAGTATCGACTTACAGACGATGCCTCTCTCGATTCTCCAGCTCAAAGCAGCAACCGAACGGTTTTAGACACTAAATCCCCTGCTCCTGACATCGATTTTCAGTGGAGAATGCAACGTAAACTGGCAGACTTTATTGAAGAACAATATCAGTCCACAAATTCCATATTGAAATCGACGCTGTTTACACATTCGCGGCTGATGTGGCACCTGAAGGGTATGGTAGACTTTTACTTTATGGTGCAAGGGGAGGTTATGCATTCATTTAGTACGATCATCTCCCGCAAGGTAGGATGGCAAATATTGATGGTCTCCTTTTTTTGCTTCTTGATCGTATAAGATCACTTATTTAATACTTGTAAAAAAAAAAAAAAAAAAAAAAAAAAGATGATAAGTAGGCGGCCATGGTACGATAGCTATATCCTAGAGCAGACTTTTGATCACGTCGCGTCACAGTGTGGTTGGAAGCATACCGAGTTCGTCAAAATTAGAATCAATAACGGCCGACCAGGGAATCAAAAGGTGACAAGGACTCATCTATCGGCACTGCAACTCCAAATTCTTGATCAAATTATGTTTGAATATCAACTGCCGTGGCCACTGGCGGGAATTATATATTCAGCTGAAGATGCAAAGCGCATGTATGGTCGGATCACTTGTTTGTTGTTGCAGGTCAAGACAGCGAAGCATACAATGGAACTGATATCGTTTTTCAAATCTAATTCAAAACCGAGTCCAGAACTGAATTTATTCTGGAAGTTGAGGTTACGCTTCTTGAGCACCGTGAACGATATTTGGAGCTACCTTATGATGACTGTAAGCAATTTTTTTTATTGGATCATGGTACTCACAATATCCTAGATCACTGGATGGAAACTAATCTTTACTCTTATCTTCATGGATGTCATTTGTTTTTACTATAAACCAGGTTCTAGACGCTCAGATCAAAAAGTTTATGTCAGAAATCGAGGGTCAGGGTGATGTAGACGACATGATTTATCGATCGCAGCGATTCATTACGGTCTGCTTTGAGCGGTGTTTCTTGAAAGAGCGTACAGCGCCATTACACCGGTCATTGTTAACCATGTTAAATCTTGCAGTCAAATTTTCCGCTTTACTCTCATCGTTTATTTGCGACCAAGAGGTGGGTTCAATACGCCAGCAACAGACTGTTTTAGCGGCAGCTTCAGCAGCCAACAAAAGGATGGATCAGACAAATTGGATTGGGCGAGGAGGAAGGGGAGGGGTTAGAGTAGATGAAGATGAGCTTAGTACTGGCCTTGAAGATGAGGAAGATAATGACAGTTATGAGGGTGAAAGCGAATTCTTGGGTGTTCCAGCAGAACAGGCCGACAAACGCAAGAAGCTTTCCTCTGGCGATAATGACTACGATAGTATTGATGGTCATGACAAATATGGCGTTGGGGATGAAGTTATTGCGATGGCTCTTGCTTCTACTCTTATTCCTGCCCCTATTCCTGCTTATCCGCCAAGGAAAGTGAGCCATGCTGGGAAAAAGCAGAAGACTGGATCAGTCGAGGCTTCTGAACCTCAAGATCCTCAATGGAATCTCCTCATACCATCATCATCTTATAAAGACCAGCTAGAGGTTATCGAACATGAGTTTGACCGATGTCGAGAGTTTCTGGCCGAGAGCTTGAGGATTATTGTCCGTTCGAATGCGGCGCGCGGAAATGCCAATTGTCAAAGACAGGATTATGTGCGAAGTGGTGAAAGAAGAGGAGTTGGGGGTGGGGAAGGCGATTCGAACTACTTGGATGGACTTATTTTAGCACTATCTTCTAAACCAATACCATGAACTACTCTTTTATGATGAAATATGTAACAATGGATGCAGCATTTTTTTTTGGCTCAAAAACAAAGAGGGTCATGCATACAGCTGAATTGTCCACAAAATCTTAACACACTTCGAATGCTCGAGTGTTGGCCTCTTCTTTCTTTCTTTTCCTCTTCTCCTCTCTCTTAAACTCTCAGCTCGTCCAGCTGGTGCAGTAAACCTGACAAGATAATGCTCCTGAGAGGAGGTTTAAATCGAAATCAACGTGCTCAGACTCAATGTACTTACGTTCAACGCGTCAGGAGGCGTTTTTAACTAGCGAATTTCTTTTTTACTGGCGGCATCAAAGAGTAAAATTGACCGCGCCGTCACCGGTTGACCAGCTGTCGCCTGTTTTAGCCATTTCACCGGCTTTAACCGGCTTTAATGAGCTTTACTCAGCTTTAAACGGTTAAAACTATATCAGGAAACAGCTGGCGGTCAACATTTACTGATTTAAAATCATTGCTGGCGCCATATTGAAGATAAAGCCGTCATAGACTCTTGACACCAAATATGTGTATGTGTTTGTCATGGTAAGGGCATGGACAGGACGGAAGGATAGTGTTTCCTATGCCCATAACAACAGAGTATTCTCTTAGTATAGGAAACGGGCTGATTACCAATTGAAGAGAAAGCAATCGATAGAATAGCTCTTATAAATCTTAGCTGGCAAACCATTAATTTTTGTACATGTCTTTCTTTGAGCTTTGTTCTCTCAGACTATAGCTTTTGCTGCATCTGAATTAAGTGCCAGAGCCCCCACTTTCCTATTCTTTTCATGTTGTGAGGAAGCCGCGGGTCGTACGCCTTCCTTGACATGAAGTATACATTCAAAGACACCTTTTAGAAAATCAAAGACAGAAACGACCGGAATAACTTTTTGTTATCCAGAATAAGCTTCTTTAAAGCCCTGAACCATAGCAGACAGGCTGGAGTAGCTTGGCCAGCTAGAAACACATCTTCCTTTCGTCCTTGAGAAATATGTAGCGTCTTCGAGCGCATTGTTACAGTACACTGTATAATTTTTTTTTCTCTACTTATTACAACCCTCCTACATTTGACTCCGCCTTGCACCATAAAAAAACATTGTTTAGTATCCATGACAATAAAGGGGCCTCTAATTAGTGGTGCGGAAGCAAGGGCATAACCTCTAGGAATATACTTATTAGTGCCATCTCACCCTTCTGGCAAAATTCAAGTTGATCTGCAAGTATGGGTCTGCCCTTTACTCCGATGAGCAAGCACGATGCCCACCGACATCGCCAATAGAATTGTTAGCAAGAGACTTCCCTCAATCATCTCGAAGGTCTGGCAGATGATCTATCTTGGCGGTGGCAATGTGTTAGAGAAACACGCATGAAGAGTCAAGAGCTGCTGCTGCTGCTGCGGTTCTGGATATCCTTAAGAGTTGTGTTGCTCAACAGCGGTCGACAACAAAATAACAGCATGCTACAGTGAGAAAAAACATACAAAAGACGTTACGGTTTCCTCTTCAAGCACGTACTTCTCCGGTGGGGTATTTACGGCAGCTAGAATGGGTCATGGTGCATAAAGAAGTAGAAGCGGACGTTCAGATTGCATGGGACTGCGGCTCCGATGACGTGGCCCTCACCACTGACAGCGACACTCTTCCCTATGCCAACATCGGAAAGGTCTGAAGGCAGGTAGGATATCATGGGGCCATGGAATATGTTCGGAACGATGTCTGTACGATCCTCAAGCTGCCCAGCAACAACCGCCTCATCGCACTGGCAGTGATCTCGTCTGTTTGTGGAGCTTGAACATATGGAGTTGGAGATGAAACTCATCCATCCTTATAGTAGCTCTTGGTAGTACTCATCGCTATACGTTTTTGGGATCAAATCGTCTGCTTTACTATTGTTGATATGAAGTTCCGTCACTCATAGCTCTGGAGCTTTAGTGTCTTTTTGATAACCATTGTAATCTTTGATCTGCAGTTGCTATGTTTGCCTCGGCCAACGTCTGAAGGCAGCCTGGTTATAAGGAACCGAGTGGGCTTCATTGACAGCCAGCCACTAGTTATATCATTCTGGGAGCTTGTAGTTGGATGGTTGTTTCGAGCGAGCTTCGGTTGGTAATGTCGGACCGTGACGTTATTCTACATGACTTGAACCAGCTGCTGCTCAGCTAATGGAATTAAGAGTACTTTTCTCATGGGTGCTATTTTATCTTCTACGGCGGACAGATTAGCATCAATAGGGATGTTGGGAGTATCGGGCAATCACCTCTTGAAGAATAATAGCGACGGAATTCTGACTCCAACTGTGATACTGTCGAATTTAAGGACAGGATATTGCGATCTAGTTCTCAAACATCCTCTATCTGTTTCCCTTAGAAGGCCCAAACCCTTCAATCGTTTGATGAAACACAAGACGTCGGCTCCTATGCCTGCTATGGTCGGGAGATCTCCTGTGTATAGAAACCTCAACAGACTCATCAGAAACTGTGTGGTTGCCATGCTGATATCGCTCTCATTCCCCTTGTGTTAATCGTCCTTTGCTATAGGGCTATTGCCTTGTGCAGTTTGGTCATGTATGGAGGCCCTTTTACAGATCATGTCAAGAAATGCCCTGTCAGAACCATTAATCGCGTTTCCCGATGAAGGGTCCGACTAGGCACTGGTACTTTCTTTCCGTATACGCAGCAGCGCTATTAACCTCTTTTAAAGCGGTTTGGGTCTCGTCGCACACTTTCCATTGCTTTTAGAATTTTGCATGCAAAGTTCCAACATCCATGGTCACGGTTGGATACTCTTTGGTCAGGTTCAGTGCTCCTGTTCGATTCGAACGGATCGAATTCGAATAAGCCCTATCCTGGATCGATTCGAATGACGCAAATGGTTCGAATGAATCGAATGGCTCGAGTATCAAATGGTTCGAATAGGAGCACTGTTGAAAGGAAGCATTGTTTCGCGTAGCGTAAGGACGGTCATTGTATTATTACACCCAATCAAAAAAAAAAAAAAAAAAAAAAAAAAAAAAAAAAAAAACCATCTATGAAATCACTACAAACACAAGTTTAATATTATCATTTCCTATTGTGCCAATGGTTCGAATGGTTCGAATAGCATTTGAATTTAGATATCTATTCGAATAGGAGCACTGGTCAGGTTACGCAGAGCGGATGCTTTGCTGAACTGATTTACGTCTACAGGAGGCGATGGTAACGGTGGAGGCCGTGGCCGCAGGCATGGAGTTACTGTTTCAGTGCCGTCATGTTTTGGTGCTTTGTACGGCCTGTATTTAAACAGCTTGAAAGTTACAGGGGCCTCATGTTGCTTCTGCTTCTAAAGCGAGCGTTCTCTATAGCTGTATCGAGGATGCCGAGAAGGCCATTCAAGGTGAGTATGGCATGATCTGCGATCAGCTGCCCCGAGTGATAGGGAATCATTGGATGCCAACGAGACCCTCACAGTACGCTTTGGCAGGTTTCCCATCAACTGCGGGCTGCCATCCCTTCGAACAAGATTCATCTCGTTTTTCGTGAACAAACTTCAGTCCCATAGCTATGTTGTATTCAATACTATATGAGCAAGAAGTGCCCAGTCTGTCGCAACTTCATGGGCAGTGTCGACTTGCGGCATCTATTTTGCCCTCACTGCAAGGCCTATGTGTACTGCAACATGCCTGGAGCCCACAACACCACAAATGTTGTTTGCGGCTATATCGTGCAGCAAGAATAACCGCAGTACCTCCACGCTGTTGACGAAGCAGGATGATATATTTGGTCAAAGGCAGCTACGACTACATATAGGCCCTAGCATCGTATCAGCATCAGCAGCAACGTAGACTGTTAAAAAACAGACTACTGGTTCCAATCAAGCAAAGAATCACTTGTTCGAACGAAGCGGGGTGATGAAGTAGATCCAAAGCTCCCATGACGAGGACACACAGTGACCCAGAGCGTGACTGCGGTTGCAGTTCATAACAATTCTTTTTACAAGATTCAGGTTTTTTATTCAGGAAAAGAGAAGTACCAATAGTGCTGGTGGCTGTTGAGAATTGATTAGTGGAAGAGCTTTTGGTTCAAGAAAGGAAGTGTGTGATGTCTGTGCGACCAAAGACAAATAAAATCCGATCTATCCAAATTGTCATTTACCCACATTCTGTACATAAATATGAAGACTTTTCCTCATTCATGCTTTCCTCATTCATCTCATGACAACCACTCAATTCTCTAAAAAAAACTCTCTGTCGCCAGAGACTCAACGTCCTTCGGCATCCGAGTCAACAAATATCAATGACTCATTTGTCAAACCCCAGTCGCTCTTGACAACTTTTACGGCTGGTCCTCAGTCTCCTTTGGATATCGAAGAAGTTCTTTTTGTGATTGTATCCTATCTTGATAAACAATCACTTCATAATTGCATCTTAGTCTCAAGGATATTTTACCGTGCTAGTGTCCGTATGCTCTGGACCTCAGTCCAATGGAGGAATTATACTTGGACAGACTCTTTTATTTCGGAGTTTGAGCGATACGGACACCTTACGATCGAGTTGCACGAGAGCTACAACGCGGACCTCGACAAAATTGCGTGTTACTGTACCAACCTACGAGAATTGCGCCTAAACTGGACACAAGCGACAGATGAAAAATTGGCGAGTATCCTCAAGAGTTCTCCCAAGATTTCACGCTTATTTCTCTACAGCTGCAGGACTCTCACAACTCGATCGCTCGCACATATCGCTGCTCTCACAGAGCTCAGACGACTTGAACTCAAGAACATGGTTAATATTGACAAAGCGTCGCTTGCAACAATATTCCGATCTTGTCCTTTGCTTGAACATTTGACATTGGAGGATGTTCGCCTCGATGGAATTGCTCTAGACAGCTTAGGATCTACATTATTACAGATTACATCCATAGCTTTGACTCGTTCTTCACCAACTGGCAACCTTGTAAGAAGCCTTTTACGCAATGCACCTCTGATCAAAGATCTCTCACTAGCGAGGAATGTACATTCAGTACTATCAAAAGAAGACTTGCTGCCAATCGTGGATACGTACGAGCACCTATCTCGTCTTAATCTCGAATCTTGCAAGGGAATCAGTAGTGAGAGCCTTGTTGCTCTTATCCACACTTGTCCAGGGCTCGAACGAGTCAATTTAAGTGGGACCAACATTAATGATACGGGTTTAGAGGCATTGGCGACGCATTGCCCAAAAGTGACCAGTCTGAACTTGGCCTGGTGCTCTCTATTCACAGACCGAGCTCTCCAGCGATTACTAAGCACATGTCCTAGACTGATCTTTTTGGATATTTCAACAATAGATATCATCTCAGCCGGTATTTTCTCACCTGAGCTGCCATGGGTATGCACACAGCTGGAAACGTTGATCATGATTGGTATCAATATGACTCGCCCAAATTTGTCCGTCCAGACAAATCATACAATGATGTTCAGCCAGTTGAGTCGGCTAGCGGCGCTGCAGGATCTTGCCATAGGTGGTGCTAGCTTGATTCTGCAGCTAGAAGCTGGTCTGCCTCAGATGGCAAAATTGAGTAACCTGGAATCATTCCGAATCAAACATCTTCAGACAGAGCTAGGCGAAGATGAAATTCGATGGCTGATTGACGCATGGCCCAAGTTGAAGCGAGCACGGTTTGAGTCTGGGTCGTTACCTACACCATGGTACCGCTACTTTCGACAACAGAGGCCTCAACTAGTCCTCGGATAAGATTTTATAATTTTGATATTGTGACGTGGCATGCTCGCGCTGGAATCGTGGAATTAAAAGTGTTCCATTCTGTTTTTTCTTCACTTTTATTTCCTTGTGTGTGTTTATTCGTATTCTTGCATGTGCATCATTTTCCATCAACAGGTCTTTTCTTTACTTCAGCTCAATCTAACGTTCAAAACACTACCCTTATCCGGTGCATCATTGCACCAAAAATTGACGTGACATGGACCCTAACAGTGCAGGTATATCAGGACTTTGAGCTGATTGTTCGTAAATGTGGCGCGACGCATCCACTGTGGGATGCATCGCTTTACATAAAATGATCCATCAATCCCTTTAGATCCCATCTAAGGCCTTTTCGCTATTTCCATTATTTCTCTTTAATACTATAGGCGCGCCTTTTCCTAGGGATGGCGCTCCTTTACAGCCAGCTAACAATCAGAACCAGAACCAGAACCAGAGCCAAATGCGACCCCCACCTTCGCCTGGAAATAGCAGCATGAATTTACATGCACGACCACCATATTTAAACCAGAGGCCACAGCAACAGCAACAATCTCTGAATCACCAATTTCAGCCTCCTACACATGGTGGGTCTCCCGGTGGACGTTCGCCCATCCTGTCTCCATTTCAAAAGCAGGATTCAAATGCATCGGTCCAGCAACAGCAACAACCCTTAATTAGACCCATTCATCAATCAGGCCAACAAAACTTGCATCAAGCTCCACCCAATCCTGTGCGACCACCCGGTAACTTTTCGGGGCAACGACAACAGCAACAGCAACAGCATCTGCGGCCTCACCTCCCTCCTGCTGGTCAACAACCTACTCCGTTAGTGAATCCAGGAAGACCTATGCCAAGTCCAGGCCAAAGCCAGGCTGTTGCTGGAAGTCGTAATCCAATAGGTCCAGTTGCAGGATCTCCACAGCCCCAACCTTTGCAGGTAGCACGGTCTCCAGTGCAACATAATCAACAGCATCAAACATCGCCCCAAATCCATCAGACACTTCCGAACGGATCAAACATTCGTCCATCAGGATCACATTCAAATTTGATAAGTGGAGGGTCTGGTACCCAAGGCAGTCGCTTCACGCCACCTTCACCTAGTATGGCCATCGGATCACCACAGATCAGACCCCTTCAAAACTCTTCACAGAGCCATGGAAGCCAAGGAAGCCTTGTGGGGATACAGCAGTCTCAACAACAGCAACTAGCAATGCGGCCATTGTCTACACAGGCACATCATAGTCATCAGTCCGGTGCACGCCCCTTACTCCCTGGTCATGGGTCTCCTACTCAGGGCAACCAACCACCAGCGATGCGGCCTTCTATGATACAGCAACAACAACCATCATTTCGGCCACGTCCCCCTCAGGTAACTCCACATGTAAATGCTTCATCTCACCAGCCAGCTTCTGAGAAATCGCTGCATTTGGATATGTCATCACTCAACGACAGTCAATCTGGCGATTTGGACCCGACAAGTGCTCTTCAGACCCAGCTACAGCAGCCTCAACAACTTCAGCAGCAGTCCCCTGGCACACGACCTATCCTGGATCAAATGCATCAACATACTCAACAGGCACAAACTACCAGCCAAGGGCATAACCATATTCCTATTAATCCGAACCCAACTCAGCGACCAACTCAGCGACCAACTCAGCGACCACCGTCAGTTCAAAGTCAAGCATCACGGCAACTGCCTCCGATGAATCCTCAAGTATTCACAGATCCCAGACCATTAAATGATGGGCTCGGACGGCATGACAGATCGCCACCGCAACAGCAACATACCTTTGTGCCAAACCGTTCTGCCAACCCTCAACATTTTACCGGAGTGGAAGCTGGTCAATCGCAACAGAGCTATGTCCTTCCTGCATCGAGATTTAACATGGCGCCAGATAGGCCAGGTCAGAGACCAGTAGGAGTAACAGAGATCAAGGCTTCAGGCCCTACAACGGGTAGCCTTCCCCAGCAGCATTATAATCAGCAATCACACAAACCTCAACATACCCTTCAGCAACCCCTTCAGCAACCCCTTCAGCAACCTCCCCAACAGTCTTCTCAGCACCCTTCTCAGCCGGTTGCGTCTACACAATTAGAAGAGTCCGATGTGTCACCCCCTATCGAAAATAAGGATGCATTTAATGAAGACGACATCGAAGGAGGCGACAATCCAGCGCCCAAACCATCCGCTGCTCATACATCTGCTGACCGACCTGGGCCTCCTCCTCCTCCTACGATTGCAGGTGGGCCTCCTTCAGGGCCTCCCCGTGGCCCACCTAAAAAGGCCGTAGCCACTGCTGGAGTTGGACCCACTCGTATCCTACCCCCATCCAATAACCCTTCATCCCCTCCAGATAGTGCCTTTCCACAATCAGCACAACTGCGGCCTCGTGTACGGCCCCCACCGGGAAACAAACCTTTCACCCCTTATCGTCCACCGGAGAGACCCTCCCAGGCTCCTCTCATGTACAGTAGTGAAACAGGCCAGCTTGCGCTCTCACAACCTTTCCCACAGCAAGACGACAAAGCTCAAGCGACTGACAAGTCATCTCTGGCGGCATCTATGGTGCCTCAAGGAGCTGAGGCAGCCTCGAGCAGTGTGCGACTTCGTGAGGGCGGACTGCAGAAGCGTACTGTTGCAGGCGTAAACAGTGTTACCAAATCTACGCCTGCTTCAGACGCCAAACTGGACGTAAGTGAAATTTGAATTAATATAAAATGTCGTGATATGAAAGAGTTGTATATTTACTAGGTTCTGATGAATATTTGCTACTATGTCAAATCAACTAGACGCCCCCATCACCAAAGTTGCATGGCCAGAAGGGTCCCGCTATTCTGAGCGTATCTGGTCGAAAGGTAGGGTGATTGCAACGGGTCATATGAAGCTTCATTGTCATTTGAACACTCTTTTCCTTTATTTATTACTTTCGGCACTGACTTATAATGACCAAAGACACAGCCTTTACGTTCAACCCCCAACTTGCTCAAGACGCTCAAGACGTGGGTGATCCGTGGAGGTCTTTTATATCTAGGATACACTGCGGTTTTTGACTGTGCACCAGGAACAACAGGCGTCAAGGGACTCTACTGCAAGGCGACTAATGGTCTTGGTGGACTTGCGAAACCCTTTGTTGCACCCCACTATAATGCCTACCTTGGCCCTCATATTGATAAATACGTCAAGCCTGTAGCCCGTCAGACCCATCGCATTTACCTTAAAGTGGCCAATCCTGTCGTTCAAAGAGCCATCTCTGCAGTGGGATCAGTATACAGATCCGCAGCTAAGAAGCACGTAGATTCAGCGAAAGGCCAGGTACATGCACCTTCTTTTTACAAGCTCAAAAATAGTTGTAAGCCGCTTTTTCTTTTGCAAACTTTTTTTTTCTTTTCTCTTTTTCTTTAGGTGATCTCCATTTTGCCTAAACCTTTTAAACCAAAAGCAGGGGCTTCCACGGAGCCAAATCAAATAAACGAGAAACAAATTGGTTATCAGAAAGATGATAATAAGGATGCAGATAGTGCATCAGAACAACCAATATATGTTGACAAGCCTGACGAGCCTGTGGAAATACCCCAGCAACTGGTGGATCAAGTAGATAGCCCGATCGACGCGGTGAAGAATGATATTACAGACAAACTGAATGAGGCCCAGGAGAAACTTGAAGACGTGAAGAAAGTGCTTAAGGAAACAGCACCGAGGGCTGACAATGTTCAGTATCAAAAAGAAGAGGAAGAATCAAGTGAGACACATAGTCATGCATCATTAGAAGAAGAACAGCATCCTAGGCATGAACATGGACATGAGCATCTACACGATGGAGGAATTAGCGATAAGAACGAAAGCTCCTTGGATTGGGACATCACTGCATCCAAAGATTCACTGAAGGGTATCGAAAACATCGAAGGTGAACAACAGCAAGAGGATGACATTAACAATGACGAAAATGAGCGACATGAGCAAGCAAGGAATCCTTTGGAGGAGGAGGAAGAGGAGGAGGAGGAGGAAGGCTCAAAAGAGGAGGATAATATGAAGGATAATACGAATGAAGCTTCTTCAGATGTAGAACATGGTCATGGAGGCCAGCCAATCGTTCCAGCGTCAGCATTGTCTCCTGAACCAGAACCACAGCCTGCTTCGACTATTTTGGAGGAGCAAGAGCCACAGCAGACAGACAAGGCATCTGAGGAGCAAACGTTGATTACACCAGCTGAGGAGCCCCAAAAGACATCCACTGAAGGTCATATTAGCACAGACACCGCAGAGATGACATCAGAGTTCTTGGATGAGGCGACCGCATCCTTCTCTAAAGAGCCTATACAAGCAAGTCATCGCCCGGAATCATCTAATGATGCCATTCATGACATTCAGTCTTCAACAGAAGCAGCAGAAGCCCCAGTAGAAGACGAACTCTATAATCAGACAACGAATGACCTCGATTTTGAGAAGTACGCAATAGACAATGCCTTACGTTTCAACTCTGAGTCTGAAAAGCCCGTTTCGGTACAGGGGACAACAGTGGTGCAAAATGATGTTGATGGTGATTCGTTGACTCAACAAGAGCAGGAGGCCGCTCCGAGGTCAGAAACAACGCCATGAAGAAAGTCTACCATATTTGTCTCTACAATCTAGACAATAAATTACAGCCTTTTTTATTTTTTGCAACAGCCACATTTCATCGCGTGCTTTCAGATCTGATAACATCACATGATATCATTACCATTATTGCATTTCGAGAGGAGGTTTTTTTCTTTGAACTTCTTCTTTTGCCTTCTTCTACCGGATCTTAGCTGGGAACAAAACCAGACGACATGGACAGGTTGATTTCGACCTACATTCTTGCTCAGACTGATTCACAGGAGCAGGCCGATGCTGCCATTCAGGACATTGTCAAGGGTACTAAAAATTTAAATAGATGCACTAACTCTCACACACGTATCTTTGCTATTGATTGTCAGTTCTGATAATTCTTCTATGTACGCAATTGTTTTGTCATTTTTATCTAGACGTTGGCACTAACCCTGCAAAGTTACTCAGCCTTGTGCAAGGTCTTGGGGAATATCTCACAAGTGACGAGGCCTTTGTCCGCTCAAAGGGTAAAAAACAAGTTTAACACAATATTATGGCTTAATCGAATTGGACATATTTTGCTGACATCACAACGATGGCTCCTATTATAGCAACGGCGCTACTATCTACAACGCTTGCAACCCTTGATCAATCTAAAGTCACTGGCAGTGCAGGTAGGATGATTTCCCTGAAAAAAAAGAAGTCTTGATGATATAAATAAGTCTATTACTTAACAAATGCGTATTTCATTTATTCTCCTTTATCCTCCAACAGTAAATGTCCTTGTTGAGTTTTATTGTGATCGTCTCACAGATCAGGCGTGTGTACCAGAGCTCTTGAAGGGTCTACTCGCCTTATCCAAGTTTGACAAGTTCACAAGCGTCGACTGTATCAAAGCAGCCAAGGCGTACGTTGGTATCCTATGTGACTTATTGAATTGAGCATCGTAGAAAAAAGATGGATATTTGAATTAATGCAAACCCAATTTATTTCTTTATGGTATTTTGTATAGTATCCTCGCATTGGTCAACGTGCAAACATATCAACAGACAGCGCGACACTTCGTATTTTTGTTTTTCGAATCTGTACTTAACCGACATACACAGAGTAAGTATCAATAAAAACTTTGGATCAAGCGCCTATTGGTGATGAATCTGAACTGAACTTCATCGTTATGTTATTAATATTGTTTTTTTTTTTTTTTTTTTTTTTCGTGTTTAGGTCTCAAGACCATGTCTTCGGATTTTGTGTTTGGGTTCATTCAATGCTTGGACGGAGAGAAGGATCCTCGTAATTTGCTCTTAGCATTTACTCTGATAAAAAAGATTATTCAGGAATTTGACATTGCTCAGCATGTGGAGGTCAGTTGCTGTCGCTTAATGATACCAATGAGTATTTATGAGGCTATAACCTTCTCTATCATCTTGTCCACATCCCTCCTTCCAAAAAAAAAAAAAAAAAAAAAAAAAAAAAAAAGCTATTTGCTTGACCAGGATAATAACCGCAAACCCATCATCCTTAGGATCTGTTCGAGGTCACATTTTGCTATTTCCCGATCACATTCAGACCCCCTCCTGACGATCCATATGGCATTACTTCGGAGCATTTGAAGATCGGCTTGCGCGATTGCCTCGCAGCCACCCCATACTTTGCAAAATTTGCGTTGCCATTACTCCTTGAAAAGCTTTCTTCCAGTTCAGGTGGTGCGAAGGTACTGTCAGGCTGAACTGAGCAATTATAAACAAGGTTGCTCTTATTTTTATGAGTTAATATTGATTGTCAGTCCCGATCCATTCTTTGTGAAGTCTAAACCATATCTTTTTTTACCTCCGATCTCAATAGAAAGACTCTATGGAGACAATTGCGGCGTGCGCGCCTGTTTATGGGTCATCTGCGCTTACACCATATGCAGAGGAACTCTGGAGTGGACTACAAAACGAGGTAAGCCAATACCTACTATATTTATCAACAGAATATTGAACATAACAGCTAATTGCACTATTTTTTTTTTTTTTTTTTTTTTTTAAAAAATTAGATCTTTCATGCCACAGGGGATGAGCTTGAGCAGGTTGCGCTCAACACATTACAGGTTATTACAGCTGAGTTATCCATGGGAGTGAGCTTGGGTGGATCGAACGATCCTGTTGAAAAGTTCCTAAGGCCCATCATTACTGATTGCATGACTCAGCTTCAGCAGCCAGAGCTTAAACTTGCTAAGCCCAGTGGAAAAATTTTGAAAGCCTGTGCTATGGCTTCAGGTAAGCAGTGTCTCAGAGGTCGCAAGAACCTTTCAACCATTTTCTTAATGATCTCTTCATTTATCAACACGACTTCTCATTTTTTTTATCTTCATTGACTTAGATCCCGCGTGCACTTCCATCACCCTTGCCACTATTCCAACCCTTCTCTCTCAATATGCTGCTAGCGAGCAGTCAACAAGAAAAAAAGCACTTCTGGATGTTCTTCTTGACTTTTTAGAAGCTAGCAGGGTGCTTTACGGTTCCGCAGGAAAACCATCAGAACACGACACAGACTTTGTAACACCTCTGCTTACCTTCAAGGACCGTTTCTTTGAGCTTTTTACCGGCGCTATCATGTCATCCAACGAATACAACGCTTTGAGACTAGCTGGAGTTAAGGGTCTTCATGGAATGATTTTGCTCCGTGAGTTTTTATCAGAAACAGAGATTTCCTATGCTGTTCAGTATTTTGTCCGCATAGTACTCGAGGATCCCGACACTGAGCTTCAGGAAACTGCATTGAAGTCGCTGGCGTCACTCGCATCAATCATGCCTGGAGTTGTTCGATCAATTGCTTTACCAGCCTTCTTCGAAATGCTTCCAACGTCGCAAAATGACATGGATGTGGATACAATTATTCAGAAAAAGAGCCCAGAGTATATTTTGAGCGCTGTCACCAAGATAGGGCAGGAGCCTACATTATTTGCTGATGTTGTGCCTCAGATTCTGGAGAAAATTGAACTTATCTTGCGTGATTTTGCTGGTGCAAACACTACATATCCTATAAGCTTACTCACAACTCTCCTAACTCTACTACGTGCAAAGGCTGAGAACGACCACTCTGACCTTCCTCAGTATCTCAATCAGTTGGTGCCTCACCTTATTGGCATGTGTGTCTTACCAACTGTTTCATCTGATGATGGCAATCACATCATGAAAAATGCAGAGATCTTGGATGTCGTTGCAGGAATCACTCGTGTTATCATGATTCGAGTTGATGCTAGGTATCTAAAGAACTAAAGGGTACGATAAGCAGAAAAATGAAAAATGTCTTCTAATTTTTTATTTTGATATATTTTAATGTCATGATTTAGTGCCCAAAACGATTTTGTCAAAACTATTTTCGGCATTTTCATGAATGGAGACCTCTCAGCGCTGCCCAGTACTACCCAATATGCCCAGCAAGTACCCTTCACTCCTCTTCTTGCAAATTCAAGGGTTTCCCAACAGAACACTAGTATCTTGTTTGCCACTGTTATTGATGGCTGTCGTCAACAGGTAAAAGCCTTCAGTCAGTATGCAAGCGCCATTGGTATATTTGTATTATGTATATTTGAACTATTAAATACAAACGCATACGTTTTACATTTGCAACTAGACTGTCTTGCCTGTCGAAGACTTGCAGCAGTTTACAGGATCCCTAGTCGAAGTAGCTATTCAAACTGCAAATCCAATCCAACGCATGGCATTGTCAAAGACTGTCGCAACAATCCTTAACAAGTTTAACAAACGAGATGCTCTTCAACCTTTCATCGTACAACAATTGATCCCATTGTTGCATACTAGGATCCATCAGGAGCAAGCATTGTTTGAAGAAAGAGAAGCTGCGTTGATCATGTATATCTGGGTGACAAAGGCCATGGTCCTGAGTACCAATGCAATCGGATACGACATGGGAGGAGAATTGATGAATATATTTTCTATACCACGTCTTGGGAAGGTTGCTGCAGATGGATTCAATCTGGTGATTGGAGAGCAACATGATGTTTTGACTAAAGAGACCTTTGCTGTCATCAGGGTACGAATAAGCACGTTAAAAAAAATACAAAAAAAAAAAAAAAAAAAGAAATTTAACCTGTTTTTTTTTTTTTTTTTTTTTTTGGGAACTCTTTAATAGCTCCTGTATAAACAACGTTTCTTTAACTATTGCATCCCAGTATTAGTTAAAGGCTTCGAGAATTCATCGGATGAAGTGCGGCATAACTTTCTGATCGCACTCTCGCATGTCCTTCGCAATATCCCCAAGCAAGTCTTACTCACGGAGCTCCCGCCTGTAATTTTTTTTTTCTTTTTTTTTTTTTTTTGTTTATTTTGTCTTGGTCTGAGTAAATCATTATTATGCTTAACTTCATCTGTGAATAACTCATTAATGCTCGTTGTTTTTATTTATTACCCTTATTTTTAGCTGGTACCAATGTTGGTGCACTCGCTGTCTTTCCCAGATCCAGAACTTAAAGCCTCAACTATCGAAACTTTTCAAGTCATTACCAAGGATGCACCTAATCTTATGGCTGATCACCTTTCCACATTGACGCCACTGTTACTCGACCTCACAAACGCTTCGGATCCTGCAAATACAATGAAAGTGAGGACGGCAGCGTTGAAGTGTTTGGGCGCTCAACCAAAATCGTTGCCCTTCACTGCGCTCAGGCCTTACAAAACACATGTATTAAAAGAGCTGGAAAAGTCGCTTGATGATCGCAAGAGGATGGTTAGACGAGAAGCAGTGGAGTGCAGGAGCCAGTGGTTTACATTAAATGGGAGCATTGGAAGTGCCTAGAGTATATTAATAAAAAAAAAGAAAAGAAAAAAAAAATAGAATTGAGTGTATATTTTATTTTTTAGTTGCAGCGTCTAGCTGGGACTTTGTATTGTCCAATTTGGTCATGAGCATTTTCTATCCTTATATTAATTGAGTTGAATATCCATCGTTGCTCATAACCAAATGACGAGGACGGTATTTTTATATTTTTACAGGAACATAAAAACGTAAAAAAAAAGCGTAAGTTTCATGAGAGTGGGTTGAGAAGTGGTGTATATTTATTAGTTATGTTGAAATAGACCTCCATACAGTTTGAACAACATCCGCATCAGAGCGTACATATACGCAGAAACAGGCCGTAGGCCCTTGCTTTCCGTCGAGAATGTCGTCTTCTTGGGCCTATTTGAGTTCGGAACAAAGAATAAATAGAATAAATACGTGGTATATTTATATAGACTTGGTTTGAATGAATGACCTACCATTCCAACTTCATTCACTCTTTCGTCACTGTATTTGAACCATCGTGGTGGCTGAGACTGATCATCCAGGATGTCAACCCAATAGTGGCCAAAGTTGATATCGCCTTCATGATGGAAAACTGCATGGAGCTTGTATTCAGCTCTAGTCATGCCCGCCACTTCACCTTCGAGCCTTGCATTCAGCTCAACGATTTTGCCAAGGTGTTCAGCTTCTTTTTCATCTAAGTCTGATTCTGAGACAATAATGTCAGTAGTGGTCATATCACAGAATGCTGGAAACTCCTTTGACTCTGCCTCAATGCCACTTGAATATGTATCCACAACAGGTGCATCCACTGAAGATGCCGTATTAATTGTCTCAACATTATATTTCCTATCAATAAGGCCGTTATCTGTCTGCTTATTTGACGCAAGCTCCTTGATTGAAATAACGACAAATAGCGAATAGTAATATTCTCGTTAACTCTCGGCGAAAATTATCTAAGTATAGTTCTTTTTTTTTTTTTTTTTTTTTTTTTACCTTGCGCTTCATCTGGATGCGTTCCAGCGCTCTCCGAGACTCGAGTCTATCCATCTTCCACAATTTGATCCGCTTGAACCGCTCTGCGTTCTCTTCTTGATTAGATTCCAAATATTGGTCCATATAGAGCCGTTTAGGAATAGAAATAGTAGCAGAGGATTTGTAAGAAGAATTGTCCTTTCGATTATATTGGGTCCTGTTCAGATAGATCTGTAGAATTGGAGGGAGTTCTGTCACCCTAATATCACGCTCAGCCACAATAGAAGCGTCGCCGCCGATACCATCAATAGAAGTGAGGGGCGACGATATTCTTGAGTCTGCGTTTCGGCTCTCATAAAAGTAGTTGTCAATGAGTTCTTGCATAGCCACATCTTCGTCTGCATTTAAAATTAGTGTACTACTATCTTCTGGAATACGTCGTTCTTTTGTCGCACCAGTGACATCATCCATTTCCATCCCTTTCTTGAATGCTCTGATATAGAACAGGCTAAATGAAAACACACAATTAAGGAGTTATAATCCGTCATTGTTTTATGCCTGTTCGTGAGAGCTGAGTTCAAGAAGTCAAATAAGTCATTTGAGCTTGCATACCTATTGAAGCGATCGACTGGAGGGCCGCCATTGTCCGGCGTGAGAGGTACGAACGCAGCATTAAGTCGAGACATAAGAAGTAACATTGCCTCTATATTGATTTGATTCAGAATATTAGTATAAAGCATAGTTATTGTTAGTGATCGAAATGATATGAATATGGCTTACTTGATGCTTGATATTAAGTATAACATACCTGATACATCTTGCATTTCATATGGTTGCCCTTCTGAGGCTGTAATGACTGAATTTATTGACGTACTACTTGCAGTAGTAGGACGCAGTAAATCCACTAGTCTGCTTGAAGGGACAACAGCTCTTGTCTTTGACCACTCCATCTGTGAAAATAGGTCCTTGAGTTCTCTAACAGCTATTCATTTAATAAAACGATTCATATATTACAATCATTGAAAAAAAAAAAAAAAAAAAAAAAAAAAAAAAATAAAGCAAAAAGAAAATTAAATAAAAATAAAAGCGAAGCTTTGCGTTATCCCTAATTCATCGGTTATGGATCATAATACATACTATCTTTGGCTTCGATAACCTGCTGTCTGCTCAGACGCTGGCCATCAATAACTTTTCCTTGCCAATCTGCTGCATCTGTATTTTCGACATATGCCTCCATATTCAGTACAGTCTCTCGCAGCTCCTTGATAGTGTAGATGTACTGCAGCAGGGAGTTGACATAACAGGTGTTGCCAATGTTGGTTAGACCTACTGGATTCTGAGCATAAAATAGGTCCATAGTAGGATCATCTTGATCCAAGCCTATTGTATTTGAGTCAGGTTGTTCGAGTAATGTGTTGATGGCGACATCATTCCTGGCTTTTGCAATGATCCTAAGGCTCTCCATAGTGGTGGGGTTGAGCGAAGCACGGATGAGTCCTATTAAAACCTCATTATCAATACCCTCACCATCATCTGGGATCTCAAATTGGCGATAGGCTGCCTTAAGCTCTGCAGTTGTCACGAAGCTCTCACACTTCTTACATGCGATCTCAATCTCGAGCTTTTCGCTCTCCCGCCTCTTTTGAATTTCTACAAGTGCATCAATTAATGAATGCGACGCAGTTGTGTCGTGCAAAAGTTGAGTTTGAAAGGCGTCGATCACAATGTTATCGTTCATATCAGTAACACAGCCCAGCTTTGATAGAGTAGAGTGTTGCTCTGCAATAAGAGTTGCCTTGTCCGAGAGATTGAGAGGTTTTTCTTTTAGATCACGCTTGTCTATTTCAGGAAAAGATCAATCAGTTTATTATGTTCAGATGAAACTGCTTGCAATGAACATTTGCGTAGACTGATGTTAGGACGCGGAAGTACAATGTTATTTAACTCACATGTTGAGCACCCAAGTTCCTGGAGGATGAGCGGGTACGCTGGTTTAACAGTAGCTATAGTCATTAAATAAATATTTGTTAAAGAATACATATCACAATAATCCAATGGTTAGCATGGGTATATATCACGTAGCTTGGATCGAGTACCTGAGAGTAATTCTGGTTTCTCTTGCATCAGTATAAGCTCTAGCTGGAAGCGGCATCGATTTAAGAAGCGGATATTGTCTGAAGTAGGATCCGGAGCATGAAAGTGCTTATCAATCAGTGAGAACTTGGTATGAGTAAAGAACTGCTTGCTATCATTAAAAAAAAAAAAAAAAAAAAAAAAAAAAAAAAAGCTGTCTGTTAGTTTCTAAAGTCAGTTCTTAGAAATATGTAAATTGAGGTGGTCCTCAATCTTTTCCTTACCTTTCATTGTCCAGTCTTATCTTATCTTTGAATACATTTGATTCGACATTAAGAGGTCGAGAGTCTGGCTTGATCGCATTATTTAGAATCCTGATCAGGGTTGTGAGGGTGTCATAGATATTTGGGGCAGTCAATACAGCTGATTGTGGTTTTCTGGATTTACGCATGCGATAGAGCAGACTCTGAGGTATGGCTGGCTGTTCAAGCGTCCCATTAACTGCGGTGCCACAGTGACAACATTCTGCATCCATTGAACTCTCTCTGAATTGAGAGTGAAGATGATGCAGGAGTCCACTACACGACTTAGTTCCATGAGTGATATGGATAGTGTATTGCTTGTAACAGGTTTGACAGCAAATGTTGAAAGGACCTTGATCACTGGCGCCAATGCCTTCATCTGGGTTTACAAAGAAGACGTGTGGGTGAGGCATCAAGCCGATTTCATGAGAGGCTAGGTCAACGATCCACCTTGGTGGTGTTACCCCTATAGGATTTAGATCAAGTGCGCAGACTTCGGACTCCATTCTTTTTATTGAGTGTTAAAGTGCGAGAGTAGCTGTTGCGGCTGTCATGAAATATGATAGATATTCGTTAGTAAATGAATTCATTTTATTTAAATGTCCTGCTTGCTTCTAACACTTGGGCGAAGTTGAATGTACCAATTTGGCAATTTGGAAATGAACGTTGTTTAAGCAAATAGTGTGGAATTGAATGAGGATAAAAAGGACGGAGAAAAGATTTTGAAAGAGAAGTGGGATGTGACTGCTTGACACATCAACCTAAGCACTCCATGCAGAAAGCCAATCTGGATTGCCCTGGCTAGTGTATGCTTCTAAACATCCAACAATGTTTGGTGATTGAATGAACCAAAGGTTGTGCCATGAAGGGTACCCTTGAAGTAGGAAATAGCAGATATTGCAAACTGTAGGCTCCAGATATTTAAAGGGTCATTCTCCCGTCTGGTCTAATCAGAATGCTTATTGCTATGCATGTTGAGATGAGGAAGCCATAATTATGGAGCCCACAAAAGTGGAAGACATGACACATCATAGCCTAGAAAAGAAGTCAGAATACAAAAGGTAGTTTCAGGTCTGTTTAAATAAAAGCCTCTCTTCCTTTGCGCTCAGCTATCACGAAAGCTGCGAGTTTGCCAGCACCGGCTCCTAGCACCAACTCATGGAATTTATTGTTAGTTTATACAAAGATTTTAACTTAACTGCCAAACTACCATTCATGACGCGTAATCCCTCGCCACCATCTTAGGCTTGACTTTTTTTTTTAAAAAAAAAAACTTATTTCTCCATTCTCACAGTAATTCTTCCTCTCTGTCTTTCCATCTTTATACACCTTATCATTCCTCATCATGCTTGCAAACACAAGTGCCTACCTGGTCGCGTCGTTACTGGAGAAGGTATAAATGTTTGTCATGTTCCTAATTCTTTTTGAGGAAATATCTTATATGACAAAACATAACAATGCTCATTTACTCATGACTTGATTATGTTATCAAATGCCAGATGGGCTCCGACGACAATGACTTCCGTTTCATGGCTCTGAATGATCTCATTACAGAGCTTCAAAGTCCCAACTTTCAATTGGAGGAATCAACAGAAAAAAAAGTTGTGGACAAAGTTCTCTTGCTGATGAAGGACAAGAATGGTGAAGTACAGAATCAAGCTGTAAAATGGTATGTCTCATTCTTGCTCTATGACCATGATCTATTGTTTTGATAAAGTCAGTTAAGAGTTGAAAAAGTTAGCAAGCTGATATTAAAAAATACCTTATTCAACTCTTCGCTGCATATAGTCTTGGATCGCTTGTAAAGAAAGTACAGGAAGCTCAACTGCAACAGATTGTCGATAATCTGTGTGCATTCGTGTCACAAGACAAGGAAGATCTAAGAGAAATTGCGAGTATTGGTCTCAAAACAGTCATTGTCCAAGTACCTGTCAATTCGGTGGTTGCAGTCAATGTTTGCAAGCGACTTGTGCCGCGGTTATTGTCACAATTGGAGAATGTATGCTTCTTTTTTTTACTTTGTTTTTTATTAAAGTGATTATTGAATGTGGCTGATAATTTATCAAGTAATATCTTATGCCTGCAAATAGCCCAACGCCAGTTATGATGCGCAAATGGATGCGCTTGACATCCTTAGTGAGGTGCTTCTCAGATTTGGAAACATTCTTGCGACTACAAACCTTCAGAAACAGACTGCCAACACTCTTTTCATACTCTTGGGCCACTCCCGTCCAGCATTACGCAAACGTGCAACCCTTGCCATTGGGCATCTCGTCGTACATGTTCCTGATGACATTTTTGAGGACCTCTTAAAGAAAATTTTAAATGGATTGGAAACATCAAAGAACTCACCTGACCGTTTGCGCACATATATTCAGGCCACTGGCACTATCAGGTACGACGAGTCATGTCTTGGGTTAAATTGTCATGCTGCGCTCTTGCTAACGTAAATCTTTACTCTTTTAAATTTTATTAGTCGGTCCAATGCTCCGCGATTTGGCAAGTTCTTGTCGGGGGTTGCTCCGTCTGTAATCAAATATTCTGAACTAGACGATGACGAGCTGCGTGAGAATTCCTTACAGGCTCTTGAGGCATTTGTTCTCCGATGCCCCACTGAGATCACCCCTTATATTGACACTATTATTGATCTTGGATTGAAATTCCTTCGTCATGATCCCAACTATGATGATGGTGATGATGATGAAGACGATGAGGATGAAAACATGGGTAGCGATGACGGAGATGATGAGGAAGACGAGGATGATGGGTAAGCTTAGATGCTCTCAATACATTTAGGGACAATTCCCTCTAGATGGTTTCGCTATCTCTTACTAATGATTGGCGCTTTATGAAATAGTGATTACTCGGACGATGATGACATGTCATGGAAGGTTCGTCGCACATCTGCCAAGCTGCTTTCAGCTATCATTGGTACTCGCCAGGATCTACTTGGACAGCTTTACGCAAACATTGCACCTTCGCTAATCAGTCGCTTCAAAGAGCGTGAAGAGACTGTCCGTGTAGAGATTCTGCAAACTTTTATTACCTTGCTTCGCCAGACCAACACATATGGGGGTGCAGAGTATGAGATTGATGCAGGCCTCGAGAGTCTCGCCAAGAAACGAAAGGGAAGCCGCCCTGGAACGCCCATCGAGACTGACCAGAGTCCCAAGGCTCTATTGCGTAACCAAGTGCCTCGTTTGACTAAAAATTTGGCAAAGCAGATGTTGACAAAGTCTGTGCAGACGCGTGTTTTAGGGTATATTCTGCTTAAGGAGTTAGTCACAGTTCTGAAAGGAGGCTTAGAGAACACTTTCATGCTCTTTATTCCATCTATCCAGCAATCACTTTCCACGGCCTCGCATACAGATCACCATCACTTGGGCACCAACTCCAACTTGAAAATTGAGGCACTCGGATTCCTTCGCAGCCTTTTCCGCACACACTCTTCTGATGTTTTTCAAAAGCATCTCGGCCAGTTATGTCCACCAGTCATTGCTGCAATTCAGGACAAATTCTACAAAATCTCTTCAGAGGCGTTGGTTTGTTGTATTGAATTGATCAAGGTCGTTCGCCACATGGGCTTTGATGGAGATGCGCAGCGCTATTCGTACACCGACTTGGACCCTGAAGCCAGGCCCTATGTCCTTCAGATATACAACGTTATTTTGCAGCGGGTTTCTACGGCCGATGCCGACCAGGAAGTCAAGGAACGCAGCATCCTTTGTTTAGGTGTTCTTTTGTCACGTGTTGGCGATGAGCTCAAGCAGGAACTAACCACCTGCCTACCCCTTTTATTGGAGAAGCTTCAGAATGAGCTCACACGCTTGATGGCTGTCAAGACATTGACGCAAATCGTTGAGAGTCCTGTCTGTGCTGAGGCTGATATTAAGCCCTACATCCTGAAGGCCATTCCCGAAGTCGCTTCACTCTTGCGAAAGAGCAACCGTCCTCTCAAGGTAGCAAGTCTCCATTTCCTGGATGTCGCCATTCGTCGGTAAGCATTTAGTATATTTACTGGCTTTGAAATCTTATCGATTTTAACAAGATGCTCTTTGCACAAATACTAATATCTACTCCATTCCTCTCATCCACCTTTTTTTTTGTCGATAGCTTCGGAAAGGTATTGCCTGTCCAGACTTATGACGAACTACTAAACGAACTGAAACCATTGATCACAGATGAAGATCTTCATCTTCTACCTCTCGGGTTGACCTCTGTTGTATCGATTCTTCACGCTAACCCGGCCAGTATCAATGTTGTCAAGCAAGAAATTATGTCATCTGTTCTCAAGCTTGTCCGCTCACCACTGATCCAGGGACAGGCTTTGGATAGCCTGTTGGCATTGTTTGCAGCCCTTGTTCGGACCAATGACAAAGAATTTCCAACCTTAATCAGTGGCCTAGTTGAGCCAGTGGCGGTCTCTACGCCTGAAGGCCAACTTGCCCTGCCTAAACAGGCATTCTCTACAATTGCTCAGTGTATTGCAATCCTTTGCGTTAATTCGGACAAGAACCAGGAGATGACCGTGGCTGAATTTGTGCGCAAGATTGAGGATCCACATACGACGGACTCGCTCAAGTATTTGTCTTTGGTTGCATTGGGCGAAATTGGTCGTCGTGCCTCTTTGAGCGATCATAAGACCCTTCATACATCGATCTTGGCGATGTTCGACGTCCATTCGGAAGAGGTCCGATCAGCTGCTGCATTTGCCATTGGCAATGTCAGTGCAGGCAATGTTGAAGTATATGTCCCTATCATCATGCAGGAGATCAAAGCGGATCCTAAGAAACGATACCTACTTTTGCATGCCCTCAAAGAGGTCATTACTCGCTATACTCACAAGCAGGGTGGCCAGGAATTGGAGGCTCATGCTTCAGAGATATGGACGCTCTTGTTCGACAACTGCGAGAGTCAAGAAGAGGGTACACGAAATGTTGTTGCAGAATGTCTTGGAAAGCTTACCCTGACCAACCCCTACAAGTTCTTACCTGAGCTTCAGGCTCGTCTGAAGTCAGAATCCGCTCAGATCCGCGGCACAGTTGTTTCGGCATTCAAATACACGTTTACGGATAATACTCGCAGTTATGATGAGCTCCTTCGTCCTCTAATTGTAGAGTTCTTGTCGCTTATGAAGGATAAGGATCTCAACGTCCGTCGTCTATCGCTATCAACATTGGACTCGGCAGCACATAACAAGCCATACTTGATCCGGGATGTCCTCGGACAATTGCTGCCTTTGCTTTACCAGGAAACAAATATCGTAGAAGAGCTCATTCATATAGTAGAGATGGGACCATTCAAGCACAGAGTAGATGATGGTCTCGAGATCCGCAAGTCTGCATTCGAGTGCATGTACACGCTTTTGGAGAAATGCAGAGATAAGGTTGAAATCTTTGCATTTATCGATCGTATCCTTGTTGGTCTCGTTGATCAGCCAGATATCAAAATGCTCTGTCATTTAACACTCGTCCGTCTCTCAATTGTCGCGCCTACTGCGGTTGCACAAAGTATGTTTATCTGCTGTATCTACAATTATTTTTATTTATACGTCTATATTTATTTAACACAATCACACTTTTTTGTTTTTTGTTATCTCATAGGGCTAGATGACATGGTGGAGCCATTGCATGCAACTCTAAACTTCAAGCTTAAGCCTACGGCAGTGAAGCAAGAGTTGGAAAAGAATCAGGAGCTGGTACGGTCTGCTCTTCGTGCAATCGCGTTTTTATCCAAGCTTGCAGATCCTGCGCTGACCCCCAAATTTGAGCAATTTGTACACGAGGTCCGAATGGGGCCCAATGCTTATGACCTTAACCAATACATTGCAGAGAGCGAGAGCCGTGATGACTTATACTCTAGCCACTTTAGGGGCGAAGCCATGGATCTTAGCTAAAAAAAAAAAAAATAATAATAATTAAGAATACCATATCCAACGCGTGTTATGAAGAGAGAATAGTTGGTTGTCTTTGATTTGTCCTGAATAAATGGTACATGTATTGTTGGCAAGTCGCCTCTTGAGGTTCATTTATTTGTGAAGATACTTTGTCCAGGAAGCTTGATAAATTAGTCTTCAGGGCCAATCTCCATTATGCTGCCGTTTCTTACTTGACGCAAATAATCGACATGGCTTGAATCTTTGAATTTGAGATCCGTAAGATCCTCACGCTCAAAGTGGGTCTTAATATTCTTACATGTCCTAAGGTCGCTGACTTCTTTCAACAAGAAGCATGCACAATGTTCAGGACCGGAAGCAATGTATATGATAATTTCCCCACCAAATGACTCGGCAGTCTTTGTAAGAGCCCTTAACTGATGTGCAGCCCCAAGAACAAAAGCTGGTGTCCATTTTCAGCTGTTGCATGAATACATGAGAAAAAGTTTCTCAATTTCGCACTACGTAGCACGAGCGCAGTTAGCTGCACACTCTTTCTCTTCATTATGGAGAGAAAAAAATGGGCACTTTATTTAAACCATGTCTAATCTTGAATCCTTATGCAAAAAGTTCCAGAGCGTTTGTGCTGGTCCTTCCCCCAACAGCGCCACCAGCTTTGGCATTTCCATCTCGACTAATTCACGAATGCTTTCCACATTATTCATAATATGCTTGTAGTTCTTGGAAGTGATGCCAGGCATACTCCGAAGGATATCCTGCGGTGTCAGGTTAAACGCGCTCTCAATCTCTTGATCCTGGTCCACACCCACAGCCTGCGCCTGCAATACGTCTGGCTCGTTCTCGGATCTCTATTGTGGATTTGCAAAGCATGCATTATTAAACAGTAGTCAAAATCCCAGAACATCACCAATACTCATTCTATTATATGATATTTATTACCTTCAAATCTTCAAAAATTTCTACGGTGGCATGTACAGATGATGACCAGATCAGCTTGAGAGTTGGGAATGCGATAGTCAGAAGCACAAGCTTTGAAGAAAGCTCTGTGACTGAAATATCTGACCTAATTTCTGACTTATCCTTCATGCCATCCATTTAGCCATTGTACTCAGTATTTATATTCATATATCTCCATAGCACATGTAAAAAGTAAGAGATTAGTTAGTACCTGTAGTGAAAACGATTTTTCTTGATCGAACTCAATTAAGAGTACTGGTTGGCTGTAATGAACGGTCATTGCTTCGACTTGGGTATATCTATATTCAAAGGCAATATAAGAAGTAGTGCATGAGCTAACTTGTCTTACAATAATGACACTGTATTTAGGATTACATACATGAAAACATAATTGGTGCTTACAATCTTCCAGAAGCAAACGAGCTGATAAGATCCGATATACTTTTCCTTTCGACACAAATATTAGGCGAAAGGACATAATCCCCGACAGTGATTGTGCAAGGATCTAAAACCATCCCTTGTGAGTGCAAAATTGACGGTAAAGAGCTTCTAAATTCTCTTGAATCAACTACAATCCTAGGTAACGGGTGATCCTCGCCTGTCTTTCCGCCGCCAGCTATTCGTGTATGGATGTTTCTGAGCAATGACTGGTCTTGAACCTGTTTCGTCTGTGTGTCTCCAATGGGTAGTACCATTTTCTAAACACATAAGAAAAGTGAGTAAATAATTTCTGAGAGACTTAAAGCTTTGGAAACCCCATAATGCTATATTTACCGCTTTGTCATGGATCAATTTCGTAAAGGCATCCTTCTCTCGACGAAGCGCACTCAAATATAACTGCTCTTCAACCGAGTTATCATAAACAGTAAAGTAAACGCGGACTTGCTTTCCAGGCTGGGTTGCTTTGTAGACCTCAATACATCGAACAAACGTCGGGTCTGGATCATACATTACAATAAAACGAGGCTTAATGTTCTCCAGCAATCGCGCATCAGATTCCCCGGTGTAACTGTGGACAATCACAAGGGTACTAGGCTCAACCAAACCAAAGTAGTCCGTAGGATCGTCGATCTCTTCCAAGTCATGGTCATGTACAGATGCTGTCGGGCTAGGATCGCCTTGAGTTGCATGAATACTGCAATCAATGATTTGTATCAGTAGAACAACAGATTATATTTGATGCACTAAAAACCTTCTAAGATCTGCACTTACAATGTTGCAATACTTTCTACTTCTTTATCAAATGATGCGGTCGTTGGCTTGGTCGTCAATGCAACCATGTTTCCACCTCCTCGTACACGTCGTCGCTTATTTGGTGGTGGACCGCGTCCAATAGGGTGGTTTCCTAATGATGATTTTCACTTGACTCAGTTAGTAAAGAGAAAGAGTAATATATTTTAAGTGCAGTGCGTTGTTGAAGGAATATAAATAAAATTTACCAATGGATGATGAAGATACTGCAGATGTAGCAGTACTTTTATTGACCATATCTTTAAAGTTTTTCATGTTAGCTTTCCAGCGTAAGTATCCTTGCAATAGATTCCTCATAAGTGGCTTCCCTCTGGTCGATGCGTTAGATTTTGGCGTTGAAAGGTACCGCTTCAGTTGTGTGCATGTCCTTTGGTCCTGTGTCATGATAAGAACCGTGTCCTGCCCTATATTATATATGTATAACTTGTTAGACAATTTAGAGTCGAGAAGTTGTCACGAGATTATGAAATTCCGATCCGCATAATCAAGACGGGCAAACCTTCTTTATGTGGCGCGTGATGCATCTCGAGCTCGATTTCATCCATAATTTCAGATAACACATTCCATTTTGGCAGCTCTTCCACTATAGGTCTTGTGTTAGGGAGCATACTAGGATCATCGGGATCCTGGTAACCCATTTGATGTAGAAATACTCTTGATTTCGCTGTCTACCAATTGATAAAGGCCAGAAGATGATGGTCAGAATAATGTCGACGGGATATTATTATTAATAGGACTAATTGATAATACAAATTCATTCCCTCTCATGCATACTGTATAAATTTTATCCGCGGGGTCCGTCAAGAGCCAATAGTTCCCCGATGAGGCATTGTGCGTTGCAAGAATAGTTTCTAGGTATAAGTTAAAGTTCACGCTGTCGTACGACACAAGGTAACTTAGAAGGTTTCGCAGCGTCTTCAAGTCCCCAACAAGTTGCTTTGTTTTAGACGTGACGCGATGCCAAATAGGGTCCAGCTGTTTCCGAATAATCACATCGAATGACTTGAACAATGCCTTTTCTACAGTGAAATCATCAATATCGAGTTCAATCTATAATGAGGACATATGAATAATTAAAACATGTCAAGTCGTTTATCATTGTCCAAAATCATTAGTAAAGCTGCTGGGGACAACGGTAAACTAGAGCTTGAACATACTGCTGAACTGGACCGGCGAAGTTCTTGTAAACAAATATCCATACAGTCTATTATAGCTGCCTGGATAGTCTTCATTGCCTTTGTCATCGGCTGTCGGATCTCTATCACATCAGTTGAATGGGATTCCAAACTTTCTGTCACCGTAACATGGAATCTAAACAACTCACATTCAATGATACATCCCAGCAATCAGCAAAGCCTAAAACTATTGCAAACAACGTTTGTTTTCAGAATCACTTGCCAATCTAAAATATTTTCAATACATTACCTCGGCCAGAGATTTACTTTTCGAAGATAGAGAAGTTTAAGTGTTTTTTCCAGCGTAGCAAATCCTACTGTGAATGATTCTGGCTGATCACTGAAAGCCTTGATGAAAGCTTCTGAGTTGCTCTGACGGAGTAGCCTCAAAATAAATGCCTCAGTGCTTGTTGCTGTCACTCTAAAAAAAAAAAAAAAAAAAAAAAAAAACGCCTAAAACATCAGCACCAATGAATATATGAACGTCAGTGTAATATGGGAAATGATGACATAGCTGAAGACTTGCCTATGAGCATTAGCGACTAGTATGCCGGTTATAAGATGAATAGGTATTCTGGCGGTCAAAAGATCCATAACAAGAATACGTGAGGTAACAGCCATAATGCCTCCATAACGATATAAATCGTTACGTTCAGCAAGGCTCTGCTCACTGGTAATGGTCCTGAAATATGCACCTCCTTTACCAACATCCGTGGACCGTGCAAGGTCGTCTCTGAGCTCGGCCTCTTCTTCAGCATTGGTGTTGATAAGAAGGACAAGGTTTTGAGGCTGTGAGTAAATTTTTAGAAATGCGCCAATGATACTTCGGAGCCCAAGGCCTTTGGCCATGATGAGTAATGCATCTTCGGCTACGAGCTCCGCGACTATTTCCTTCTGAAATGCTAAAGACAAGGTTGACATGATTATGAATGAATGAAGCAAACAATGATTCTGACAGCAACTCTATTTCATTTATTTACTAAACTGCCTCTACTTTGGTGGCAAATATGACCGAATATAAAAAATTACAGCGTCACTGTGCTTGTGCAGGTGTCTTCATCCAACGTTCCACCAGATGAGACGCGGTTGATATAATCGGACAAATGGGTTGCCTCTGATGTCTGTTGACAAACAGACAAACCACTGAAAAGTGCTTCGGACACAATATCTGTTGTGAGGTTAGTCAGCCTAAAAAAAGTGAACAAACCATCTTCAGTCTTAAAACCATCCCTATAAAGCATGTAAAACATGTAAAAATATGTGAGAAAACACTAACCAAGCCTGGAGTTCAATGGGTAGACGAGGCTCATCAGTGGTATTTGCGGTTTCTTTAAGTTCGTTAAAGTTCTCTTCGACACGATTTTTGTATTTTGTGGAAAACCGAGGTCCTGCCTGATTGATACATTGCTGTAGGCCCCAAGGTTAGGAAACGTGATACAAAATGTCGATCAGAATCTAGGCAGGGACTAATATCAATCTTACGTAAAGAAGTGCCACTTGATGAGCCATAAACTTGTGATTCGATAGTCGAAGGTCATTTTGGAGCTGCATTGCAATAGATACCAATTGGTTGATAACCGACATCTGACGAAAATGGGCTGTGTCGGTCGTTAGGGGTGAGGTCACTGTGGGTAGGACCATACCCATTGATAGAACACATTTTATCATCTTTGATGAAGGAACAAATAGAATTTCCTAACAAACCTTCAATGAGACTACCACGTGGTAAAATCAGCTCGATGCCCAGGTATTCAGATGACTTGGGGAACATTTCCGCAAGCCCAGTTCTAATCATGTACCGCTGCATACCAAAGAGCCAACGCACAGAATTAGACGGCTTTTTTTTTATCAACTATCACGCTATATTTCTGTTCGCCAGCCTATGGGATGTTGAAATGCAGAGTATTTATCTTTTACCTGTAACATCATATGGGCTGTTGTATTTTCAAGCCTAGCGCCTTGGTCATTTTCTACTTCGTATGCATATAGTGTCTGCTCCAGGTGGGCAACTGTTTTGGCCAATTCTGCAGTGGTCTCCTCGTGCTGCACTTACTCATCCACAGTGATACAGTTAGCCACATGTTTTGTGAAGGATCTATTGATTGGGCACTCTCTACCTTTTATTGGCTCGATTAATTTTGTAAAATACGCCTTTTACCTTGCTCATAGCCTCGATTTTGCTGACAAGCATCTCCACGCGACTGAGCTCGTTCAACATTTGAAGGCCTAGTCGCTTATGCTTGTTCGTAGAATTGGGATGAATGGGGTTGTGGATGTGAATGGGGACTAAACAGGTATCAGGAGGATGAGCATTAGTTTCTTGGTGTCATTGTTTTGACTCTCTTTATCGGATGGGAGAATATATTGAGGGTGGAGATTTGCTGAATCAGGATCCAATTGAACGAGGATTTCTCGGCTCCAGCCTGTGAGACGAGCACTGCTTAGCTAACATCTAGGCAAGCAAACGGTAGATAGCCTAATAGAAACACAAATAATGACACAAAAGACCCATATATTAGACTATACCTTCGTGTATATCTCTCAATGGTGCAAGATTGACAAGGGGTGGTGACTCTAGAATCATGGCGAAGTACAAATGAGTAATGACACGGACTAAATAACACAAACTGAGCCTGTAGAGAAAGGAGTGAGAGGGAGGAAAAGAATGAGGAATGAATGTACGAGAACGAAGGTGGAAAAAAGACTAGGCACGATATGATCGCATGGGGTCAAGGTCAGGAGCTCCGAAGCAAAACTTTGCACGTGCACTGTGGAAGTTATAAAACCAGTTTCAGTTCCTCGACATTACTTTCACTACTTTCATTACTTTCATTATTCGCAATTCTATCTACCATGAACGTTTTTAAATCACTGGGAAAGTTCATTTGGGGCGACGGATCTAACCCTGAGCTCGTGCAGATCTCTTCAGGACAGTTTTATGTCTATAAAACTGCTTCCTCACAACAGCGTATAAGAGAGTGCATGTAAGTCTTTTTTGTCGTCCTTGTCATGACTCTGTAAATGTCCCACGCATTCAGCAAACCAACATTACCTTTTTTTTTTCTTGAGTTACATCGACTGCAAGGCTACTATCCGGAGAACCACCCAGCCTTTTCAGTATACACTTGCCCTCACTCGCGTCTTCGAGGAAGGAGAGGAAGAGCTCCAAGATGATGGCCAAGAACTTTGTAAATATATTTATTTGATGGCAATGTTTATAATATGTCATTATAATCCTACTAACAGTACTCAGCACTTTTTGACCGATCCCCTTTGTAAATAGTGGATGAAGAGAAGGTTTTTTTAATTGATCAAAGCATGAAATTTAGAAAAGGCATGTCTGCCGGTGCGACCGCATTTACCTGGCAGGGGATGACACTCGTATGTCTGTTGTAATTTATAGTTTTTAATCTGCCACGGAATTTAAAGTTACTCTGAAAAAAATATTTACCATCGTCATTGCTGACGACCATGATTATTTTGGTGCTATTAGGATGATGCTGGAATGGAGTATGAGTTTGTTTGCGATGATGAAACCACTGCTTTTACTGCCAACAATTTTGAAATTACCATATACCAGTGTATGTACGAGCGTAAACACCAAAAATCACATTTTTCCGCAAGTGAGGAGGCTATCATGGAATTCCAACTCCTGTAAGTCAAATAATTGTTTTTTTATGCCAAAACTCCGTACTATCAATTACACTGGAGTCTTTCGAATATCTAATACATTTATTTACCTTTTTCAGACCTGCTGCATCCAGCCCAACGGCATCACCACAGACACCAAGAAAAAAAGAAAAGCTGCCAAATATTAAAAAGGAACAACCCTCTGTTCAAGTTCAGGATATTGACAAACCAGCCCTTCGCAATGTGCCTACGCAGTATGATGGCGTTGTCGAGGCTGTGGGCGAATTGCATCTCTTTGACCCTAGGACCAACCATTTTATGACCCAGGCCGATAGTGTCCGCTGCCAACTTCTCAGAACAGCCAAGTACAACTGTAAGCTGTGAGTCTAAAAAGAGCTGGGGAAGAGGCTCGTTATGAAATGACGGCTGATATTAACACATATCCTTTTCATGCAATAGACTGGCTTGTAGTTTTAGGTAGAGATGACAACCAGCATCTTGCTCAGCCTGTGGAGCCAAGGATGAATCCAGTGTTTAGCCCAGTAATACAAACGGTGTATAAAATACATTTATGCCCACCATAATTCTGGGAAGATACTCTGTTTTAACACATCCCTTTTCGCTTTCTAGAGCAATCGTTCCTTCATCTGGAATTACTTTGACGAGCAACATAACGTCTTCTCATGGCTGATTCGCTTCCCAACTGAAGCCGCACTCAAAGAGTTCCAAGATGTATTTGGCGAGTGTATGTACGAGACACTCAATCAATCATCCTGGGACAAGGTTCCTGTGAGTACAGAATAACTTTACTTACTCAAATAGCTGATCGCACAATGCTTGATGAGAATTGACAATATCTGCACTTTTAACAATTTAGGAGGCTGACCAGGATTACATGATCAAAACATACCAGGACGAAGCCGAGACTCTAGAAGATGAGGAAGAGAACGAAGAGGATGTTTACTCGAATGACGGAGAAAGCGATAACGATGAAGAGCACGACAATGAAGAAGGAGAGGAAGAGGACGTTGAAAAAGAAGTTTTTCAAAAGGACGCTGCCAAAAATAGTCAACTGGCGGTTGGTTACAAAGATCGCTCGTTTGTCGTTCGGGGCAACAAGATTGGCGTGTTCAAACACGATGATCGCGATGGCCTTGAATTCTCAGCCACCATCAAGAACGTCAGTGACTCCAAGGGCAAAGCAATCAATCCACATCGCGTAAGTAGCTGGCTTTTTTTTTTTTTTTTTTTTTTTTTTTGCCTAGGTACATGATGTTATACTTGATATTAAGTGATACTTTTATGGACTTTTCCCTATAACACTAGGTTGTACTGCATGAGCAAGACACTGCTATGGTGATGATGGATTCTAGAAATTTAGACACAGCCTACAAGATGGATTTAGAGTATGGAAAGATCGTGGAAGAATGGCAAATGCCTGGAACCTCAGGTGTATTGAACTTGGTTGGAGACTCGAAGTATTCTCATCTTACAGATAAAAAGACTATGGTTGGACATTCCCAAAATGCCATGTTTCGAATTGATCCCCGTCTCTCCGGATCAAAGATCGCCACTTCCGAATTTAAGCAATACGCTAAAGGCAACGACTTCACGTGTCTTTCAACTACGGATAATGGCTCAATCGCTATGGCAGGGTCTAAAGGTGAAATCAAGCTATTCAATTCCATTGGCAAGAATGCAAAGACAGCATTGCCTGGGTTGGGAGATCCTATTATTGGTATCGATGTGACGGGCAATGGACGGTATATTATTGCCACATGCAAGACCTATATCATGTTGATCGATGTGCTCAACCCAGGCAATAAGAAACTGGGCTTTGATGCTAGCTTCCCAGCCAAGGATAAGGTATATTCAATTTTTCTCCTTATTCATTGCTTCCAGATGCATATATTCTTGTACTCATAATCGTACTCTCCATATCGTCCATTATATGGATATGGAATTATAGCCAAGATGTATTAAGTTACACCTTAGACCAGAACATGTGGCAACAATGAAGGAGGCTGTCTCATTTACGCCTGCACGCTTTAACACAGGCAAGAATGAGGAAGAGAAGACGATTGTGACCAGTACAGGGCCATATGTCATTACTTGGAACTTCCGTCGTGTTAAGAATGGACACTACAACGAATATCAGATCAAGCACTACTCAGATAATGTGGTTGCGGATAACTTTAAGTATGGTCAGGACCGTTCCATCATCGTTGCCTTGCCAGATGATGTGACTGCACTGTCTAAACGTAACATGAGTAACCCAACAGACGCTTTTAAGGTAGTGTGGTTTATCTGATGAAGAGCGCATTCGAACGCTTGTTTGTTTATTCTTTATCTATGAGTTGGTAACCAACTGTTTCTTTGCATCACCTTGTGTTTAGACGATCAAGAGAGAGAAATAAGTTACAAAACAGCTTCTTCCATAGCCAAAGAAATAGCTCTAATTTCAGTAGAGATGCTTTTTATACATGTACGATGTGTCAATAAAAAAAAAAATAGGAAATCTAAAGCTTGGCTGTGATCTCCATGGCTGTTGTTGCTGTTATTGGTTTAGGACTTCCTTCTTTTGGTACTGGGCACAACTCAGTTGGGTATTCGATTACAGTGGACCTGTCGACCTTCTCACGCAAAATAAACTCATGTACGCCTGCGTTGTAGTCTTCCATGTACCTATGCCAATCTATGCCTCTTCGGAGGCCACTCTTGAGCTCTGTGGGGGCTGCATCATCGAGAGCCAATGTATTGGTCACATCAAAAAACCACTGATACAGGCCAAAGGTTTTTAAGGTCATGGGCACGGCCATTGCCTTGGAGATATGGACTTTAAGCTTTTCACCATCTTTGTGTTGGGCTAAAAAAGTTCGGACCTGCTCTCCAAAGCGGGCGTCAAATCGACGTTTGAATTCTGCAGTAGGGTAAAGCTCGAATCGGATATCGTCTGAGGCCCACTGACGTGGTCGTTCAACTGTGCGCCAGTATGCAGTCAAATACATACCAAAGACACGCCAGGTAATGGGACTAACGCAACTAGTGCCGACATGGTATATAAGCGGCTCCGCGAGTGTGCGATCAGCAGTCGTTGCAGAGAGTAAGGTTGTTTTGGCCACAATATCAACAGGAATAAGATCTGTTTTAGCGGTCTAGAGAGTTATTTTACAAATAAAGAAACGTTAATCAATATTCTATATAGTTTTGATGAAGAGCTCCTTTTCCTATGTACGGATTATTTACCTCGTAGCCAATCCATTCTTGAACTTGACCAAGAGCGCAAGACATGATCACTTTGTTAGCTGCAGTAGCACCTTCTACCCATCCAGGCACTGGTTCCTGGCAAGCAGCGGTGACAATGGAAGGACGGACAATAACAATAGGGAGAGCCATATCCTTGTACCGCCTTTTAATCAAGTGCTCTGTCAAGGATTTGGAGAATGTGTATGTGTTCGGGTAGGTCTTGAGGACAACGGATCTTTCATAGTCTCTTATCTCTTCGTAGGACATCTTGGTGGTCAGCATCTCATAAATGGCCTCTGGATCATCTCCAAATGGATGAGGATAGATGACTTCATCAATATGTTGGCCAACCATGGGTGTGTTAACATAACAAGTCGAGATGTGAACAATGCCAGCTAAGTTTTTGCAGCCTTTGGCAATCTTAAATGTGCGGAAAGGGCCCTTTGTGTTCATCTAAAAAAATAATATTAAAAATAATGATCAAGTTACTTACTGCATCTTGTTTGTCGAGGATAGTTGCTGATGTGTTTCGTGTATTTTACCTCAAGGGCACTGTCCAATGAATCATCAAAACTGACAGAGGCAGCACTATTGATGAAAACTGTAGCATCTGCTTGGACCATGGCCATATCCTTGTCTGAGAGGCCCAAGTGATTGACAGTAATATCTCCCTTCACAGGCACAATCTTGCTGACAATCTTTTCTTGAAATTCTTGAGCACTTGAGAACTGAGCTTTTAAGACATCAAAGATGCTGTTGCTAAATAGATCCTCAATACGGCCCTGCAATGTCCTGTCCTCCGAGATCCTAATCAACAAGTAGATCCTGATGTTTCCAAAAAAAAATTATTGGCACTTGTTTTACAGTCGAAAGCTTTATGTACTTTGAAATGATAATAAAGCTAGAAACACCTACTTTGTGATCTGAGGGAAAGAACGCAACAACTTCTCTAAGATGGCCTTTCCAACAAACCCTGTGGAGCCTGTCAAGAAGATGACTGTGTTTTTATTGTAGAATTCTACGGCTTTCGCAGGCCCGTACTTGTATTGTGGAGGTGACATTTTTTTTTTTTTTTTTTTTTTTTTTTTTTTTTGTTATGAAGTGGAATTAGAGTAACGAAGTGATTATCGATTGTTTCGATAGTAAGGTGGAATAAGAAGGAGTGGTGATCGAGTATATAAGAGCACTGCTTTTGCTGCGTGTCAATGAGCGGGGATCTACCCTCCTTTTATTGCCTTCATGTTTTTATAAAGGGTTATTTTTATTTTATTTATTCTCACTTGTGTCTACAGTAGGTAGAGGCGCTTTACTCTTAAAGAGATTCGGAACCATTGTTCGTTCTTCCCATAATGCACACATAGTCACGTAATCGAACACATATTCAGAATATAAAGGCTAATTGCTGTTTGTAAAGCGATCAAGCAGGTGGATATTAAAGTAGTTTCTCTCTAAGACTTTTTCATGATGGCTTGAGGTGTTTGAGTAGGCCGAGGGAGCTTATAATAATAGGTTTATCTCCTAGTTCCTGAGTTACATAATATCGCTATAAACTGGTTCCATGATTTATGCCCCTTGAAAGGGCCAAGCCACAGCAAAAGCTTAAAAGCTCAGGTGCAGGGGTGCCGTTTTCAATGCATGATGCCCTGATATCCTCTGACACTATGAAATACCTTCTCGATAATGCGTAAGCAAGAAGAGCGAGCTTAGGAGTCGGGATGCGAAGAAGAGAAAGGAGCTGTCCAGACAATGATGGCATTAAATGTGAAGTTTCGTTGACTTGTTTTTATCTTTAAAAATAAAGAAATATCAACCTATTTTTCGTTCTTTGGATCTTTGGATACTAATCGCCGTAAGATTGAACGAAAAAATATGACACTTGAAGACAGCACTGATTGCATAATATATATATCTTTAATGATATTTTAATAATCCCTGCAGGGTGTGCGACTTAAAATTAAAGTTTGACCTCAAGATGTCAGTGAGCACTCATGCACTACACAAAAACTAGAGACGAGCCTACTCCAATCGGCCGTTTGCTGGGTTCAATTCTAATGGTTGAAACCCTGTTTGAAGATAGTACTCTCGTATGTTCCATCAATTGCGCTGTCGTTTGTGATTGCTGCAGCAATGGATGTCCATGAATTCTCCTGGTGAAATGCTTCGTTCTTCAGTTGGATGAAGTTCCGGTTTTCAGTCGTGTAGGAAGGACCGTTGCTGTCATGGTTAGAGCTTTGCCTATGAATACTGTCAAGACACTCAGCGTGTCTTCTCCTTTGTTCATCATCGTGGATTTTGTTCTTGGATACCGACAACGTCATGCGATTGTCGACCATAAATCCTAGATGTTCGATAGTCTACTTCGCCTTTAAGTACGACCTTTTGGCTCTTTTATCTTGAACCTTAGGGATGCTAATCGTCGAAGCACCATTTTGGGGTTTATCTATGCTAGCTGTTGTGGTGAGATGGCCATTAATATGTCGTCTAGATATACTGATATTCCTATACCTTTCCTTTTGGTCTATTTCAGTAGCACTGGGGAGTTTTACCATCTTGAACACGTATGGAACGGGTGAGAAGCCCTTCTGATGAAACTAGACATTATCGATATGTAGGGGAGTGTATTAGAACATGCAAAAAAGCATCTTCTAGGTAGAGAGTTGTATCTGTCACTCTTTGCTGAGATCCTTTCAAATAGAGACTCCTCTTTTAGAGAGGCTTTTGTCAATTATAAGCCTATTATAGGTTTCATTTGGTCGCGATACCTTATATTTTATGAATACTTTCGAGTGTATTGGTAGCCAATTAGCTCACTTGTTGCGAGTATTGTTGCAAGTCCGTCACGTAGTGAGATGCCACCAGAACAATTCAATCATCGTTTTTAGATTAAAAATATAAGGTATCGTGACCAAATAAAATTGGCGATACTCAATAAACCTTGGTAATTGACCAAAAATGGCATCCAATGAGTTTGCTTTGCAATTGCCAAAAGGAGTAAGCATATTTGATGAAGTAAGCAATTCACTGGATTCAAAAATAGTTGAGTTAAGGTTTTTTTTTCCCACCACAGACAATCTGTACTGGAAGTGGAAATGGAGTATACATGTATATATTATATATCCTCCAACTCGTTTGGTCAGTGATTCATATATTTTTTGATTGATTTGGTGGCTGATTTTGACATTTCGCCCCGTGACGAACTGGTGCCAAGGAATATAATTGGCTCCCAACCAATCAAATTCAAAAAATATATGAATCACTGACCAAACGAGTTGGAGGATATATAATATATACATGTATACTCCATTTCCACTTCCAGTACAGATTGTCTGTGGTGGGAAAAAAAAACCTTAACTCAACTATTTTTGAATCCAGTGAATTGCTTACTTCATCAAATATGCTTACTCCTTTTGGCAATTGCAAAGCAAACTCATTGGATGCCATTTTTGGTCAATTACCAAGGTTTATTGAGTATCGCCAATTTTATTTGGTCACGATACCTTATATTTTTAATCTAAAAACGATGATTGAATTGTTCTGGTGGCATCTCACTACGTGACGGACTTGCAACAATACTCGCAACAAGTGAGCTAATTGGCTACCAATACACTCGAAAGTATTCATAAAATATAAGGTATCGCGACCAAATGAAACCTATAATAGGCTTATAATTGACAAAAGCCTCTCTAAAAGAGGAGTCTCTATTTGAAAGGATCTCAGCAAAGAGTGACAGATACAACTCTCTACCTAGAAGATGCTTTTTTGCATGTTCTAATACACTCCCCTACATATCGATAATGTCTAGTTTCATCAGAAGGGCTTCTCACCCGTTCCATACGTGTTCAAGATGGTAAAACTCCCCAGTGCTACTGAAATAGACCAAAAGGAAAGGTATAGGAATATCAGTATATCTAGACGACATATTAATGGCCATCTCACCACAACAGCTAGCATAGATAAACCCCAAAATGGTGCTTCGACGATTAGCATCCCTAAGGTTCAAGATAAAAGAGCCAAAAGGTCGTACTTAAAGGCGAAGTAGACTATCGAACATCTAGGATTTATGGTCGACAATCGCATGACGTTGTCGGTATCCAAGAACAAAATCCACGATGATGAACAAAGGAGAAGACACGCTGAGTGTCTTGACAGTATTCATAGGCAAAGCTCTAACCATGACAGCAACGGTCCTTCCTACACGACTGAAAACCGGAACTTCATCCAACTGAAGAACGAAGCATTTCACCAGGAGAATTCATGGACATCCATTGCTGCAGCAATCACAAACGACAGCGCAATTGATGGAACATACGAGAGTACTATCTTCAAACAGGGTTTCAACCATTAGAATTGAACCCAGCAAACGGCCGATTGGAGTAGGCTCGTCTCTAGTTTTTGTGTAGTGCATGAGTGCTCACTGACATCTTGAGGTCAAACTTTAATTTTAAGTCGCACACCCTGCAGGGATTATTAAAATATCATTAAAGATATATATATTATGCAATCAGTGCTGTCTTCAAGTGTCATATTTTTTCGTTCAATCTTACGGCGATTAGTATCCAAAGATCCAAAGAACGAAAAATAGGTTGATATTTCTTTATTTTTAAAGATAAAAACAAGTCAACGAAACTTCACATTTAATGCCATCATTGTCTGGACAGCTCCTTTCTCTTCTTCGCATCCCGACTCCTAAGCTCGCTCTTCTTGCTTACGCATTATCGAGAAGGTATTTCATAGTGTCAGAGGATATCAGGGCATCATGCATTGAAAACGGCACCCCTGCACCTGAGCTTTTAAGCTTTTGCTGTGGCTTGGCCCTTTCAAGGGGCATAAATCATGGAACCAGTTTATAGCGATATTATGTAACTCAGGAACTAGGAGATAAACCTATTATTATAAGCTCCCTCGGCCTACTCAAACACCTCAAGCCATCATGAAAAAGTCTTAGAGAGAAACTACTTTAATATCCACCTGCTTGATCGCTTTACAAACAGCAATTAGCCTTTATATTCTGAATATGTGTTCGATTACGTGACTATGTGTGCATTATGGGAAGAACGAACAATGGTTCCGAATCTCTTTAAGAGTAAAGCGCCTCTACCTACTGTAGACACAAGTGAGAATAAATAAAATAAAAATAACCCTTTATAAAAACATGAAGGCAATAAAAGGAGGGTAGATCCCCGCTCATTGACACGCAGCAAAAGCAGTGCTCTTATATACTCGATCACCACTCCTTCTTATTCCACCTTACTATCGAAACAATCGATAATCACTTCGTTACTCTAATTCCACTTCATAACAAAAAAAAAAAAAAAAAAAAAAAAAAAAAAAATGTCACCTCCACAATACAAGTACGGGCCTGCGAAAGCCGTAGAATTCTACAATAAAAACACAGTCATCTTCTTGACAGGCTCCACAGGGTTTGTTGGAAAGGCCATCTTAGAGAAGTTGTTGCGTTCTTTCCCTCAGATCACAAAGTAGGTGTTTCTAGCTTTATTATCATTTCAAAGTACATAAAGCTTTCGACTGTAAAACAAGTGCCAATAATTTTTTTTTGGAAACATCAGGATCTACTTGTTGATTAGGATCTCGGAGGACAGGACATTGCAGGGCCGTATTGAGGATCTATTTAGCAACAGCATCTTTGATGTCTTAAAAGCTCAGTTCTCAAGTGCTCAAGAATTTCAAGAAAAGATTGTCAGCAAGATTGTGCCTGTGAAGGGAGATATTACTGTCAATCACTTGGGCCTCTCAGACAAGGATATGGCCATGGTCCAAGCAGATGCCACAGTTTTCATCAATAGTGCTGCCTCTGTCAGTTTTGATGATCCATTGAACAATGCTCTTGAGGTAAAATACACAAAACACATTAGCAACTATCCTCGACAAATAATATACAGGACAGAGCTAACCTTTTTTTTCTTATTTTTTTTTAGATGAATACAAAGGGCCCTCTCCGTACATTCGAGGTTGCTAAAGGCTGCAAAAACTTAGCTGCCGCTATTCATATCTCAACTTGCTATGTCAACGCACCCATGGTTGGCCAACATATTGATGAAGTCATCTATCCT